TAGCAGACTCGACGGGACAGCAGTTGCGATATTGAACACAGTATCAATTTATATTAATTAATTATTTTCTTTAATGAATTATCAACAACAAAATTATATTCCAAATAAGGTTCCACAGGACAAGAGACAATAAATTATCGAACTTTAATAATTATTTCCAGTGGTTTCATTGCATGATAAAGTCAACCAAGATTATTAAGAGCAATATTTAATTACAATTCTTCCAGATATTCAAATAAAATTGTAATTTTAGACATTATGATATTTAAGAGTGATCAATAAAGACTATCCATTAAGCTAAGCTAAATATTTTGTGATATCAAATTTACAACATGAGAGCATTAATGAAACAAATTGGTAAATTAAAGTGCAAAACAAAGAAACCTTTAAGCTTACTGCTCTAACTATCAAAGAGCTATTCCTAGTGTCCAAACCTCAGTAAGATCCTTATATTGAGGAATTAGCAAATTTAAAAAATAAAATAAAAGAGGAATAAATTATACAAAGAATTCAACAAGTAGATTTAAAGACCTTATTCCAAAATGTACCTGTGACAGAATACAAGAAAATAATAGAAAGTGGAAAGTTACTTGAATATATTGAAAAATTGCCTGATTATAAATTATTGACTCAATATATAATAGAATTGGGAAAAACAAATGAGAATTTTGCTGGTATATATTATTACAAATAGTAGATCATCTCATAGAATAAGATAAAAAGATTAGGAATTAAAAGGCTGAATTGATTAGTTTAGCAGCTTACTTCGATAGACTAAAAACAGATGTCATAAGCAAGGACAGAGAATGTAAAGAAGTTCAAAATGTATAAAATTATTCATAATATTAAAGAGATTGGATCCATATCATATAGTCCGTTAGTTGGATGAGTAAATTAATTAGTTAGATGAAATAAGTAATGAAAAAATAGAGGATTTAAATGGATCTACTATTATATTGAATAAATAATTTGATGAGGATTTATAATAATACTTGAACTTAAGAAAGTAACAACACAAATTATAAATAAAAAAAGACAAATTGGAACAAACACTTCTTTAAAGGAAAATGGAACAAATGAAATAATAATAATGATGTTTTTATTCCTGAAAGTAAATATTATCTTTTTTTATCTATTATGAATGTATATGAATGAATTTCTTTTAAACTCCATCATCAAAGAAATAGAATAGAGAAACATAGAAATCTGTTTATCAAATCATTAATCTTATTAATAAATGAATTCAAACGATAATAATTTTTGTCTATCACATAAAGCAAGAGAGGAATTTGTTTGTGTGAACTCTTTATGCATTGATAAACAAAAGAAATTGAGCTGTTATAAATGTTTAGAAGCATAACACATCCATTAACACAACCCTAGAGAAGATTTTAAATCCATATATACTATTGTTGAGCAAATTAATTTAGAAAAAGAAGAAAGACTAATTATTCTAAGAAATGCTAAATAATGGAGCATTAATTAAAAAAAGGAAAATAGACAAGCCTTAGAAAAGTCAAAATTGTTTTCTCCATAATTTATAAATGAAATGTCATCTAAGATTGATGAATAATATGAAGAATGTTGTCATAAAATAAATTATTTGTAAATTTGTTTAGAAGATGTCAATCCAATAACTCCATATTCTCTACCAACTTTAATTAGGTTTTATAAGTAAAGCACTAAAGAGTTTTCTGAAGAAGTAGAAATTGTTAAATTTAAATCTTTTGGATCCTCTCAATTATCATAACGATAATCAGATACAGCTTTGATTGAAACTCTAAAAAAGTATATTCAATAAGTATGATAGAATGTAAGATTAAGTTAAAGCTTTAGAACAGAAGGTTGATCAACTATCAACATAGAACCATGTTTAACTAGGAAAAAATCACTATTATCCTGCCATTATTATAAGCCTGATTACCATTATTGTAATAATATTCTTATGCTAAGATTATTTAATTTTTCTCACCTTAGTCAAAATTTTAAATAGAAATTTAGGAGAAATTTGAAGAAGCATATTCTGAGTGTAAGAACTTTAACTCTGAAATTAATCAAAAATTTTAAGAAGCAAATAATGAGTTATAAAAACTAAACTCTCAACATAAATCTATAATTGATCAAAAATTTGAATCCTATAAAAATTAGGTTAATAATGCTTAAATGGATTTAGAAAATAATTATTTTGATTTAAGAGGGTAAACTGATAATAATTAGTTAGCTTTTGAATCCCTTAAATCATAATTAAATAATTTTAATCTTAAGTTAAATGAATTGGAATCTTAAACAAAAAAGATTTTGGATATTTTCAACGAAAGAGCCTAAAAATTTCATCATCATGACCCTAATATGCGTCATTTTAAATAAAGATTTCATGATTGGGCTTGATCAATACTTCTCAAATAGATGATTTGATTTTTTGTGTTTTTGTACCAAATATTTATAATATTTTAAGAAAACAAAGGAAATATTGAAAACAGAGTTATTTCATTTTTCGATGATTATTATTATTTATAAAAAACAACCTAACTGTGATGGAAATAGGCTTATATAGTCAACATTTATGTTAGACATGATTAGAAATTGCGACATGATTTAAAGATTTAATGTCTATAAAATAAAAATTTAAGAATTTATATATTCAATTAAAAACATACATACAATGTCTTTTTAGGTTTATAAACCTTGCAATTAAACATAAAATAAAGAAGAATATATTTGTACAAATAAGTAGTGTTTGGCTGATCATAAAAAGTAGTTACACTGTTATCCTTGTTTGACAAAATTGCATCGGGATAAAAAATAGAAAATTTCTCATCTTGATGATTTTATGGAAATGTCCTAAATTATGTTTAAAGTACAATAGAAGAAGGACTAAAGAATACTATTTTTGAATTAGATTTAGCAAAAGGCTATAGATTTTCAGAAGGAGAAAGTTCAATACATACAAAAATATCCCTTTCATTCAACCGAGTATTTGGAGGAAGTAGTTTAAAAAGTAGAGAATGAAATATCGAAATTCTCAAATTTTTGGGAGGTTAGTAATAACAGTTGAATAAGGTTCAATTTTATAATTAGGAAAATCACAATGTCATATTTGATCTGTTTCATTCTAATGAAAATCAATACAATTCAAATACTTAATAGAAACTTTATGAGTTATTTACAAATGTGAACAAATTCTTGCAATAAAAGGATCTTAATGTTTACGAAACCTTATCAAAGTATATAAATATTAAAATGTCTTGATAGCTAAAGGAAAAAATTCTAAGTGCTAGAAGAGAAAGTAATGGCTTTAGAGAGACCCTTCACTATAAATAAGCTTCTGAAATATACTTTTTTCATTCTGTTGATGGTTGTGTTCAGTAACTATTTTTTGCACCCCAATAATTCTAGTAGCAATGTAGTTTTGAGGGATGAATCAAAATTGATTGAATAGATTAAATAGACAGTCTAAGAATAAATGACTCTTTTGTAATTAGATACTAAAAATCAGATAGAAGAAATGAAACATAAGTGGTTTGAAGAAATTATGAAAGATATAGAGTACATAAAATTATTTAATTAAAAATTAAAAATAGAAATAATAGAATTCTAGAAAAGCTATAAAGATCACTTTTATGCTCAATCTTAAATTAATAACAATTAGAAAATATAGATTGAAAATTTGGAGTAATAAATTGGGAATCAAACTCAAATGATCATGAATTTAGATATGAAATTGTAGAATTATTCGAAAGATAAATAATAATCTTCATAGAAGAAAGATATTAATACTTAGGATCTTGAGGCTTAATTCTAAGAAACACACAAATAAGTTAAAGCAGTCGATTTAAAATTTGAGACAGCATTAGAAGAAGTGAAAAAATTTGTTGTAGACAAGATAGAGATTAATCGTCATTATTATAATGCTTAATTAGAATTGTTAGGTAGGATTCATACAGATTTTCCTTTCATATTATTATCTGGATTCCAATAATATTATTTAAAGGATTTTTCTGTTAAATTTCCCTACGAAACAATTAAGAGCATTTAATAATCTTTAAGTCACTAAGCAATAGTATGTCTTGGTGGAATTGACATGAAAACACCAGATCGTTTTATTTTAATGGCTTGTGATTATGCATTTGAAGTATTTTAAGAAACAGTCAGCAAGTCAAAGGCAAGAAAAAGTAGAAGCAGTGATGAATTGTATTGGTATCTAGTAAGGAATCACTCAATAGGATTTTCTCCAAAAGAAATGATTGATCTTAGGTAAACTGATAATTATGATGTTGATGATACGAGAAGATTCAGTCATCTTTTAGATCATCCCCATGGAGGAGGAAGAAGAATAGGAAATTAACTCACTTTATCATATTCAACTGATTATGGTTTTGCAATTTTTGCCATTAATTGATAAAATATAGATTTTACATAAATAGATTATAAATTTTTATTAGTATTTAATTAATTAAAATATTAAATTAAGTGGAAAATGAAGAAGACTTGGAAGCATATTTAATAATAAGGTTTAGAGATGCCATGTTGTATCTGATCAACCTAATAAAGAAAATTAAGATTCAAGACAATTAGGGAATTTCTTTTTTAAGTATAAAGATTTAAGACTGAAAGAAAGATGTAAACAACAAAGATGGACACTACTTCAAAATAAAATTACAACCTAAATGAATAAAAGTAAGGAATGAAATAACTATAATTTGAATTGATAAATTCCTTAATGTGTTGGATTACACAATTATTCAAATAAAAGGAAATGATAATTGAATTAAATAAAGATTATTTTTACTTTTCTATTTTAAAAAAAATAAAATATAGAAAGAAATCCATATCAAATTAAGTAATTTAATTCAGATGAAGCTAGCTATTATTATAATTATTAATTATAAATATCGGCTTAAAGTGAGATTTTTCTAAAATCATAAATTCCTTTTCCAATTATAACATAATAACATTTTAATAGAATTTAGAAAATAATTCATTCTAAGTAAAACCTATGTGTCAATCCTCAAAAGACCCAACTTGAAGAGTGAGACAAATGTATTATAATAATAATATATTTAAATTAAATATAATAACATAATATCATGAACAACTTCATTGATAAAGAAATAAAAGGATATAAGTTTATTAAGCTTATTGGAAGAGGAGCCTTTGGAAATGTAAAATGAAAAAATAAAGTAGGTTTACTAAGGTAAAAAAATGAGCACTAAACAAATTGTGGCTATTAAGGTGATAGAAATCGAAAGGTTTGGAGAAAATGATGGAATTTTAGGTGAACTCGTTGAATCAGAATAAAAAGCTTTGCAAAAGGTTAAGAGCAAATATGTAGTTGGATTTGTGGATACCTTTCAGGATAATATATATAATTACTTAGTAATGGAATATTGTGATTGTAATTTAATATCTATATTGTAATAGCAGGAGATTTAGAGCAATAGATAAAAAATCCAAATACTCATTTCACAGAGCAAGATGCCATTGGGATACTTAGATAAATACTATAAGGATTAAGAGATATTCATTCTGTTTTTATTATTCATAGAGATTTAAAATTAGCAAATATTCTAATCCATAATCATTCGATCTATAAAATTGCAGATTTGGGCTTTTGCAAGATATTGCAACATGAAGTAATGCCCTATTATATATATTTAGAACGATTAATCTCGTTTATAGCTTGGATCCCTTTATACAATGGCTCCAGAAATCCTTAATTCAAATTCTTATGGTTTATCATCAGATATGTTTTCGGTTGGAGTCATCTTTTATTAAATATTATTTGGAAGATTTCCATTCACTTAAAAAGACTATAAATTAACGAGTTAGCGTATTTAAATGTTTTAAACTTAGCTTTAATTAATTTTACAAGGAATAAAATTGATGTATCTGACGAATCAAAAGATCTTCTTGAGAAAATGCTTTAATTTGATCCAAAAAAGAGAATTACTTTCTAATAAATCACTCAACATAAAGTATTTGAGAAATAAATATTTAGTAAATTGAAAGCTTAATTATTTTTAGGTTAAATAAGTAGAATTTAAATTGAAAGTGCTAGAGTTATTATGGAAGAGCATGCATAATTTTATTAAAAAGAAGGAGCTAAAATTGAAAGAGAAAATTAGAAAGATATCGAAATAACCTAATAGCGTTTAATGTCTATGGGGAAACCACATTTAGAGTAACAGCAATTTAATTATGAATAATCTCAAAATATTTCTAACTTTAAAATTGAAGAGAAAGTGTCAGAAAACAGTATTGCAGATATTGATATAAAAGAAAAAACAAGGAAAACAGATGAAATGAATCTAAAAATTAATCATTTTAACAAACAAATGAATGATCTTTATTTCTTTTCAAATACTATTTTGGAAATCTTTTAAATTCAAATGAGAGCTCATTATGCTGCTGTACTTTTATGCTATTAAGTTAAAAAAATGATTTATTCAATCAAGGAATAATTAGAAGTATAAATTTAGGTTAATATGAACGACTCTGATTTATCACTTGATTTAACTCATTTATAGAAACTTTTAGAATTAACAGAATAATAATAAATAATTATTGATCTTTAGTTTGATGATATTGCAGAATAATAGATAAAATCTGGTGATACAAGAGTTCAATAGATGATATAAAATCAGCTAAAATAGGATACTTTTAATGACAATCTCTATTCAGAAATTAATGCCTTAATAAAAAAGCAAAATAATTAAATTACTTACATTTTATTTCACATGATTTAGTGTTGTTAATATTGTTTTGCTCTAAACAAATAATTGAATCCAATTGAATTAGATAATAGTATCTTTGATTTAAAAAAGTCGAGCTAAATATATCCTGATTAACAAAACATTAAAGCCTAATTTGAAATGTTACAGAACAGCCAATAGTAGTACTGAAGAATATCATTTTAAATAAATAATACACATTAGATTATATTAATTAATTCTTCTTTTTATTTATTTAAATACCAAATTTTTTATTAAAAATTGCTCTACCTGAATCATTTTGTAAATTTAATTATTGTATTTCTTTATTAATTTAATAGCAGATGCTTTTAAATAGGATATGCAAAGTTGCCATTCGCTTAATGTTTGATTTTTTTCTATGAAATCTTATCTTTCTGTTTCATTACAGATAATCATCTCAATAATATCTAGTTAAACACTCATCAAGCTATAGAATAACCACTGTTTTTTTAAAAGTGTAAATAGAGGCTAAGCAATCGATAGATGATTTTTTACTTGATTTGGTTGGAGATAAATATAAATAAATTCTTTAAGCAGAAGCAGATATGATTTAAAAGTATAAATAAAATATGAGTCTATTAGCAATGATTTATAAAATAAAATTAAATTAGTATTTGATTTTATTGAAAGTAAATTAAGCAATAGAAATGAAGATGATCCTTTTATGACTACATTTGCTTAGGTTTTATTTAGAAATGAATACAATTGTGAGACTGAAAATGATCTTATTAAAATAGGATGCGATGAAACTATTTGTCTCTTCATTAAAGAATTATCTTACACACTTAATTTAAGATTTTTATAAGAAATCGCCTATTTCTTATTGAGCTATCGAAATTATATATTTAACAATCATAATATCAATTCAAATTCATCTCCATTGTAATTTGGAGATTTAATGAACCATTTTATGTAAGAAAAGATTACTTATTTTAATGATAACATTTTAGAATAATTTTATTAAGAACTTCAAGATTAAGATAAGTATTATTTTATTTTTATCAAAGAACATTTTTAAAATTAGATAAAAGTGAGAAATTGTAAATCAAAATAGGCCTTCATTTTTGCACTTGGTTATTCCATTCTAGATATAATCGCTAAAATGTGTAATTTAATGAACTAAGAAATTAAATTTTAGTTTCTTTATTCTGATAATTATAGTTTATAAATTCAACTTAAATTTTTCATTTATAATAAATAAATAACACAAACTTCCTTTTATTCTTCTAAAATTTTTTTAATGAAATAAGAGAGACTAATAGTTTGAGATATATTGTTTGATTAATAAATATTATTGATAATTAATTTAATTGATTAAAGGATGGATGTTATTATGATAAGGAATTGATGATTTGATTTAGTTTATGTAAATACCTAAAGTGTGGTATGAGTAATAAGATGTATTTTAATTAAATAAAACAATAAAAGCCATTATAGTTTTCATTCTTTAAATCTATCAAAATTCCATTAAATTATATAAATATTAAAGAGATTATGAATTTCATTGATGATCCAATGGATATTGAATAAAGTGATGTGAAAGTTCAAGAAGTTCATTAATAGAATAGATTTCTACATTCTAAACGAATGATCATAGTTAATGAGAAATCTTAAGCAATAGTTCCAGATAAACCTGAAAAAACATTAGAAAAATTTTAGAAGCATGTAAAAGTAGTTATTTTATCTGTAGAAACAAAGCCTAATATTTCAAACAGAGCAAATCTAGAATCTTTCGGATATTGATGATTTATTTACTTTTCGCATCATCCTTAATCTTGAACTAGGCAGATTGAGACTACAACAGAAGATACAAAAAAGAAAAATAAAGGGTTCAGTGGTGATGGTCTGATTTTAAGTGGATTAACTCTAACTTAAGAACAAGTAAATGAAAAGGCATTGATGTTTTTGAAGCTAATGGATTATAACATTATCAAAGCGAAATTTTATTTGTTATTTCCAAGCTTAACAATTTATAATCAATTTAAACATAGGCATGCCTTAAAATTCACTGACGAATATATGAATGAAAAAATTCAATAGTACATTAGCAAGTTAAATGAAGATAAAATGATGCAATAAAATAAATGGGAAATAAGATATTATGGGAACTCAATAAACAGCCAAATAAAAGGATTTCATTTGGGTCTTAATTATAAACATTATTAGAGGCAAGGAATAATAATTAAAATACGGAGGTACCTGAATAAAATAAAATAAATACAATTAATCTTCAATACAAATACAAAAATAATTAAACAAATTATTTAAAGAAAAATAAACTTTAGAAAAGCTAAAATCAGCTTTAGAAAAATATGAAGAATAAATTCCAATAATAACACCTGAAATATAATAATTAAGGGATTAAGTTTAAAAATCTGAACAATTTTATTAAAAGTTGTCTAAGCTTCCTATTCCAATTAATGAAAATGAAAATTTTGATCTAATTTTTGATAAAATGATATCGAACTCATTATCATAGAAAATTTAACTTAGAAATCTTACTAGTTGCAATTAAGAGTATAAGTAAATACCTATAGAAATCAAGGCATTTGAACAATTACACAAAAGATTATATGAATATGTTTTAGATTTAGTTGAGAAAATCACAAAATTCACAAAAACATAACAAACGAAAACAAGACTTGGTTAATAGAATTCTAACTAGGGAGAAAGAATTGAAAAAATAACCTTAGCCTAGGCTGGAAAGTTTAATTAACAAATCCTCTAATTGATTGTAACTTGCGATGAATTTGATTCATTTAATGAACTTTATGAATAGGCAATAGAATTAAATGAAAGAGCAAGATCTTAAATAGATGATCCTGAAATGTAATAGAGGTTACTAATGGAATTATTAGATTGCCCATTTTATTTAGATGTATAAGAAAAATTACAAAGCATAATTGATTATTCCTAGATTTTAGATTAAATAAAACAACATATGTCATCTGGTTAGCATCAAGAGGCCAATGATTAAATTTAGACACTTCTGAATAGGGGTATAATAAATGAAGATCTTAAATAGTTATAGGATATAAATCTTAAAGTCTTAGAATGGAATTAATTGGCAAATGAAATCATAAATTATCATGATAGTATATCATTGGTTGATGTTTATCAAGAAGATTTTGAAATAAAATAATATCCAAATACTTTATTTCAACCACCTTAAGATATTATTAAATAATTAGACCCAGAGAAGGTTTAACAAATTAATAAAATAGCAGAGAGAGTTTAAATTTGGAAAGATTAATTGATTTCTTTAATTGATAATAAATAATTATAGGTTCAATAAACAAATAAAAAGAGCAATTAAAATAAATCTTTTAATAAATTATGGGAATTATTTAAAGAAGGTCTGAAATATAAATAGGAATTATCTTTGATGGTTAAAGTCAGATAAATTATACTTCAAATATTAGATTGGCATGCATAAGTTGGTATAATAAAATAAACATTAAGAGTTAATGATGATACAACATTATAAATTGATGGCATGGAAACAATTAGAAAGTTATATATTTAAAAACATGGTTTTTAATAAACTCAAGATTAAATAGATAAATTATAATAGTTTCAATCTCCATTTATAAGTGGCAATAAAGATTTGTAAATTATTTAGGCATTAACCCAACATATAGAAAAATGGAATAAGAATGCCTAAGAAGCTGTGCAAACTTAAAATTAAGAATTAATCAAAAATTTATTAGATGAAGCTCCAAAATTACCAGTTGAAGAATAATTAGTAAAAGAACTATAAAATTTGCATGCTTCTTCTTTAAAAGTTGGTTGGATCAAATAAATAATTCAAAGTTAAGATCCATTATTTGAATCTATTATGATTGCTCTATAAAATGATGAATCAATAAAATAGCTAAAGGAAGAAATGCTCCGAATATATGCACAAAATCCATAAAATAAAAAGAAGAAAGAAGGCACAAAATTATCTAAACTTGCATAGAATTTTTTTTTTAATTTTCAGAATACAATCAAATATTACTTAAAACATTTAACAAATTTAGATGAAAACAAACTAAAAAAACTCTAACCAGTAAAAGTTTCAAAGCTTAAGGATTATTAAAGGGATTTATAAAATGATGAAATTTCTTAATAAGTTGATGAATGGATAGATTAATTCCAATAATGGCAATATCAGATTCTTAATTTAAATGATGAGCAATAACCAAAAAAAAAGAAAAAGTCTAAAGACTCAGAATCATAGCCTGAATCTTATTTCTTAACTGGAGATTTACTTTATTATTTTAAGGTGCCAGAGTTACTTTGTCTTGTTTTGTCAGGAATAGAGAAAAATTATATAAGTTAGGAATTAGTAGGTTCTATTGAGAAATTAGTGACAATAAATAATTAGGCTGATATGGCATTGAAAGTTTCAAGTATCAAAGATGTTCATTATTATTCTCAGGTTTTTATGCCTGAATTTTATGTAATGGATAAAAAATTTAGAGTAATCAATAATTGGTTATAAATGGCTTAAGAAATGATTAATGACACTCCAAGATTAAAAAATTTAATCATGGTTCAGAAATTGAAGCCTTTCCTAGACTATGTTGATTAAATTTAGCTTTAAGAATTAAAGACTTCTTAATCATAATAATAGTAATAATAATAATAATATTCAACAATAACTTAACAATAATAATCATAAACATAATAACAATTATAATAGTAATAGCAATAACAATAACAATAAATTTCAAACACCAAAAAAAAAATGTTTAAATCTATAAATAAATTAAAAATAAAAAGTTAGGAAGAATCCTAACCAATTGTTGATTAAGAAAGTGTTTCAATAAAACATTCTAAAAGAGTGAAATAGGTTTCAAAGTTGATGAGAGATGATAATATTGCATTTTACGATGCTAATGTACCCTTAGGAAAAGCTTTCAAATAAAGTCCTAATGAAATTTAGACATAGGATCCTGTAATTTAATCGATAAAAAAAAATAATAATAAAAGATGCTATAAAAAAGGATTAAATAGAAAAGTGTTACCAAATTTAGAAGTGGAAATAAACAATCCCAATTTTTTAGAGTGGATAAAAATGTAATCATAAGAACTATTGAATCTTTATAGTCAAGAAGAAATCTACTGTATTTGTAGACAAGGAGGTGAATCAGCAATCTCAGATCTTTAAATCATTAAAAGTTTAAACGAAAATAATGTTTAATTATTTCATTAATAATGTTTAAAATAATAATAACAAGTTAAATATATGATTTTTTGTGATATTTGCGAAGAATGGTATCATTATGAATGTATGGGAATAAAAAAACTGAAAGAATAAAGTTAAGATAAATATATTTGCAGAAGTATATAATAATATTTATGTAGTTTGTTTGATGAAATTTAATATGCCATTTTTAATTCTAAATGAGAATCTGTGGGATTAATATATAGATTCTTCATCAGAACTTCATGATAGTTATTAAAAATAAAAGCAAGGACTAGAAAAAAACATACTGCCTAATTCAGGAGAATACATATACTCTCAATTATAGTTACCAACGGTGGATGAGTTCAAAGATTTTCTGAAAATTGGAAAAAGTTTACCAGCATAACTTGTTGAGCTTGAAATTTTGGAACTTCTTGAGTAAAAGTTAGATTAATGGTTAGTATCTTATACTAATTTGAAAAACTATTCTTTTCCTTAAATATTAGCATTATATGCAGAAGGTGAATGGCTACCAATAAACTTGCCTTAATAAAAGATTCTTTTATCAATTATTTGCCAAAAGGAATTTTTATGCACTGCAAATGAACTATTGTAAAGTAGAGCAACTTTTAAGACAAAATAATTGAAAAAGCCATAAATGGATAAGACGGAATAGCTATATGCCTATATTAAAGAACAATAACCTGAATTATTATAAGAAAGTGATCATTAAGTTATTAAGACTATATAAATGCTAAGAGTTTAATAAGACCTAAATAATTAATTTTAATCATAATTAAAATAACAATAAACATTGGAGTAATATGATTAATTGGCAATTCAATATGAAAAAGAAATCAAACTCTAAATTTAGAAAACTGAAATCAAATTTTCTTTACCAAAATTAAATGAATTACGATAGTAGATTACAAAGATTCAGTAGTGGAACGCAGAAATACTTGCTATTTTTAAGGATGTTGACGATATTTATACATCCAATGTAAATCTAAATATTTATTAAATAGTTAAGTTAATAATTTTATGATAGCAAACCTAATTTTTCTGATATTTAAGTGAAATTAAAAGAATATGAAATGATAACTCTCAAAATTCCAAATCTGTACTATGAATTTCTCAAAACCCTTCAATCAAAAGCTGAAGATATAATTATTAAGATAGATTCAAATGTATGTTAATTGTCATTTGATGAATAATTTGACTTATGTAGAACAGCATACTAATTAAAATGTAAAATCCCTTAATTCAAGGATCTTGCTAATAAGTAACCATCATATTTAAAATTAGTGTAAGTAAGGATGTTCAGATGAGAATTCTTTAATGGCTTCCATATATCAAAGCAAGATTATATTGATTTTTAGTTGTTAATTTTAAAATGATTATAATTTTATCACTTGAATTTGAATAAAAATTAATTGCTGAAGTAATTTAGTGAGTTAAATTCATGTTTTACAAATTCATAAATCAAACAAAAACTTTAAACGCGCCTCTATTCTTAAAAAATAAATAAACGAAATCTGAATAAACAAGAACAGCTAATGTTCCTCCAAAAATGGTCGTTGAGCACCACCAACCAGCATGAAATACTCTACAATACCAACTTATCACATAAAGACCTCTATAAACTCCTAAACATAAGACATAGTATCCTGCTAAATTTTCCACGTCTTAAATTTTCTACATTAAATTCATTTGTGGTAAAATTGCTAATGCTTCTAGCCAAATAGAAAATGATTAGCATATCTAAGACAAGGATGTGCCTGTATGGAAAATTAAAGTGAGGAGACAAGCTGCAGGATAAATATATACAAAGAATTAGGATTAATCCTAATCTTTTTGATAAGTCTAATGTATTAGTTAATATAATACCAAACAAAAAGGCTTTTAAAATTTAATCGTATAAATTAAAAGGACTGTCAAAGTTAAGTAAAATAATCTAAGCACATAATCTATTGTCTCAAAATGTATATTCAGATCACAAAATCTTGTTAAAAATACTAACAAATATATCTCTTGGGTTTTATATGATATCCCTAAGCAACTTCGAGTTTTCTTGATTTTATAATAAAGCAACACAAAAGACAGAAAGTGGATAAGCTCTGCTAAAATTAGAAATTTGTTCATATTCTAATAAATAATAAATTTAAATAATATTTACATTAATAACTTTCATAAATAGCTTTGTGGAATGTAGTTATAAAAGTAGCATCTTCATTTTTTTGCTTATTTTAGTTTCTATTTTATAAATCGTTACTAAAAGATTGATACATGATTTATACTTTTAAACCAAGTAAGTTTCTGCTTAAAGAACTTATTTATATTTATCAAATAAATCATTGATAGATTGCTTGGTCATTATTTGGAGGCTCTTAAAATAATAATTATAATTCTATAAATTTTCTATATTCATTTCTATGGGGAATTAAATATTTTGGTGCTATGCTGAATAAGAGGGTGATGAATAAAATCGAACGTATGAAAATAAAAATTTGAACATTAAAGCAGTTGTCCAAGAGGATGTGTCTCTGTAAAATTAAGAAAAAAAAAAATACATATTTTTTTAGTAAGAATCAAATCAAGCATAAATATAATCTAATAATTTAGATAGTCAATGTGCTTTTTGCATATCCTATTTAAAATCAACTGATAATAAATTAAAAAAGTAATAAAAAAATTGTAATAACAATTAACATCCTATGCATCATGAGGATTTTAAGGAATTACACTATTAGTTGGAACCTTTAGTTTAAATTCACAATGATTCGATTTCAAAAATTGTATCTACATGGTTTCAATTAGCTATTGCTTTACCAAAATTTGTGAAATCTCATGAAATTACATAAGAGATTAGTGATAATGAAGATCTTCAAACCTTAATTTGCTTGAAATGGGGTGTTGTAGACTTTTTTAAATTAGCAGTTTTGAATATACCAAAAGATAAAATCATAAGAGAATGTTTTGAAATTTTTAAAAGGATCCTTCATTATTGCCTTTTCTTCAATGAAATATTCCTTGAAAATTATTCATAAACAGATTACTAGGCTAATATTTCATTTTATATCAAATGCTATTAGTATTATTAAAGACTAATGTACGGATATGCAAATCAATATGAATAATTAATTGATAAAATGTAATAGATATACTAACAATAGTTTTCTTTTAAGAATGAAAATAATTAATATCCGAATTTTAAGGTGATTGGATATATGATGAGATTTTGGTGTTAAGTGATGCTGACCGATAGAATTTAAAAGATCTTAGAAGTAAGCTTCTAAAATTTGAATTAGTTAAAGGATTCAACACTATTTTATTAATATGTAATATATGCATTGGATGTAAATATAAATGAAGATAATGTTCATTGGATTGGACATAGAGAGAATTTTAAATATGATAAAAAACTATTATCTGATAAACACTGGCAGAATATGAAGATAAATATAAATTTGGATAACGAAAATTACCATACTTAATTAATTGATAAGTTGGCTCAACAGAAAATATTTTACCCTTCATGGTATTATGAGGTGGAGATAGAATACGATGTTATTAGGAGCAATATTAAGATGATAGTAGAAGAACTTAAATAAATAAAACGGCGTTTTTATTATAGTGAAGAATTTGAAGATTAAGTATAATTAGAGAGTTTAATCAAGAGCTCTAACAATATTTTTGAATAAAAAGAATCTCCTCAATCATTGTAGAATTACATAAAATAATTTTTAAACAACAATGATATAATTGAATGTTGTGATTCATTAGATTCAATAGAAAAACTGGATAAAATTAAAACGAGATTATCTGATAGCTCTAATATGTCTACTGAGATTAGTACCTCGGTTAATTTATCTAAAATAGTTGAAAATATGGAAAAGTTGATTTCGGATTTAATACTGATAAAAAAAAAATTAAAATAAAGAGAATTCATATTATAATTAAGAGCTAGCAAATGGAAATTAAAAACTAAACGAGAAATTGAATGGCTTTATTATTTTAATAAGACATCTTTTATCAAAATTCCTGATAGCCGTCAAAATCTTTAGGAATATATACTAGAAATTTTACACAAGTTAAAATTCATGAATAATGGCTACTACTAGAATCAAATATAAATGTTTTATTGAACTATTTTTATGTATCTAAAATTTAATTTAATTTAAAGATTCTCTGCGTGTTGACATAGTAAAAAAATTATACTTTTCCAATATTTGAATATGTTATTATCATATTACTAATAAATTTTTATTTTAAATTAATTGTCATTAAAAAATGCTTAGTTGGTTCAAAAAAAAGAAGCCTGAGACTAATTAACCATAATAAGAGGAAAAAGATGAGAGTGATTTTGTTGAAGTAAATATTTAATAAATTTGAAGGATGATACTTAAGTTGTTACTAATGAGGATAAAGAGTTGGAAGAAAAGGGATTTGATCCAATAGCATAAGTTTAAGAATAGGACAAGGAAAATGAAGGAATTGCTGATCCTGATAAATTGGAATATGTTGGTTATCATGATATCTCAGGAGATGAAATACTTTAATTAGTGCTCAACTTAAAAAACTTTCCAAATGATGAGGAAATTCGTCATGTTGAAGGATATGAAAAAGGAGGACGAATCTGTGCTGACAAAAAAGTAGTTAGCAAGGCCAGAAGTGTTGGAAAGGAAATGGTAAAATAAATAGGAAAGAAAATCTTATCAGGATCGTTGAATCTTACTAAAGTTAGTTTTCCTATTAGAGTAATGATTCCTAAAACTGCCTTGGAAACTGCTGTTCATGGAAGTAATTAATATGAGTAAACTATCATAGCGTCCATATTTCCCTTATACATTACAAAGGCAACAATGACTCCAGATTTTTTGGAAAGATTCAAATTAGTTATCACAGCAACATTATCCTCATTTTTTTGGACCAATACATTTTTGAAACCTGTATATCTTCAAATAAATGTAGCTTAATCCAATATTGGGTGAAACTTTACAAGCATCCTATAATGATGGAACACAAGTATATTGTGAATAAATTATGCATCATCCACCTGTAAGTTACTTTTTAGTTTATGGACCAAACAAGAAATACAAATACTATGGATATTATTTGGTTGAAGGAAGAGCAGGCTTAAATTCTGTGACAGTATAAAAAAATTCTATATTAGATTATTAATAAAGGAAGACGATCAATAGAGTTCAATGATGGGTAAAAGATTGATTTTGATTTCCCTAATGAACTCTATAGCGGTACCTTCTTTGGCTAACTTAGATAGGAATCAATCAACAAAATTACATTCCAAGATAAAGCCAATGGATTATCGTGTATAATTGATATTGGAAAAGTTAAAAAGAAGTAAATTTAAATTAAGAAATTAGAACTTCTGATTACTTCTAAGCAGATATCACATGCAAAGGATAAAAGGTTTCAACAGTCTATGGTACATACATAGGTTTCATTAATTTTGATAATGTGAGATATTGGGATTATAGATATGTAGTTCCATTCAAGATTAAGATGGATAAATAACCACTTGAAAGTGATCACAAGAACAGAGCTGATTTACAATCTTTGAAAGCAGGAGATATTCCTATGGCTTAAACAAATAAAGAAATTTTAGAAAACTTATAAAGAAATGACAGAAAGCTTAGAGAGTAATACGAAAAATTAAAGAAATCCAAAAAGTGATTTCAAAGTTAGTGTTAAAATATAAATAAATTAATTGATCTTTCTCTCTTCAGATTCTACATTAATTGGACATATTATTTAAACTTCAAACTTGTATCTTTATGTTAATTACAACGCATTCATATAAAATATAAATTATCATTAAATATTTCAATAAATACTCTTCAAAATACTCCTTCAAAGACATCATCCGTTATAGTTTTTACTGATTGTGCTAATCCTGCCACGCTAAATCTTGATTCATTAGCAGCCTTTTTCCTTATTAAATTTATGAGATGATGAACATGCAATATAGATTCATCCCTTATATTGATAGATGAGACAATGAATAATAATAATTCCATAGATCGATCGCTCATTTGAACTTTGAAGATCTAGTCCTATACACCATGATATTCCAGAGTTTTTAATTCTTAATTTGTATATGATGATCCACAAAAAATATATCCCAACCTTATGGCTTATTTTAAGATCACTTAGTCCATTTAATTCAGGTAAATTAAAAATAGCTCAAGTAACATTTAATGAATTTCCAATAAATTAGTTTATGTAATTTCAGTTATGATTTAATACTATTTTCTTTTTTTTGAATTATTAAAAATGTTTTCATATTTATTTTTCATTATTGGCAGGCTGTCTAAGGATAGATGAGTTTAATTTTCTTAATTGATAAAATCCAAATATTCATTATAAACAGTTAACAATAATACAGATACAATTTCCTCTCCATTCAGTATATTTAATGATATAAGACTTGGAATAACACTAATAACTAAAACGTCAGCTTTGTATTATTTCCATTTTTAAGATGACTTTACAATAGTAAACAATACACTATAAAATTGTTTATCATTATCTACAAGCTTTGAAGTTATTAATAAACTAATTCGTTGACTATTCTTCATCAAAGTTTATATTAATTAGCCTTAGGTTCTCAAAAAAATAAATTAAAAAATTTACTTAAATTCCTGCCAACAACTCCTTTAAATCACCATCTTGAGGTTGATAATTAGTTTCTTACATTCTCTTTATGATTGCAAAGCTTTTATCTTCTTGCATTGATAATAATATATAATAATATAATTAATGTAATTAATTATTAATTTTCACACTTTTTCTAATTGATGTAGATCAAAATCTAGATTAAATGAAATTTAAGCAGTTTAATGGCTCTTAATAGCTTTTTTAAATGTACTAATAACTTTACAAGTCAAATTTCCAGTCATTTTCATATTTGTAATTGATTTTTCTTATAAATAGTATTCTGCATTTACCTTATGATACCTTTTCTTCAAATAAAAATACATTATAATATATTTGATTTTTTGTTTTTTTTTCTAAGCTTGTTTATTAATTAATTTATTGAAAAAAATGCATTAATAAAAAGCATAAATCATTTCTAAAGACCCAAACTTGAAGGATGCAGAGAATAATCAAAAAAAACCAAATTTTATTTTATATGAATAATTCTAAGAAGATTATAATAATCAAACCCTATAGGAAATAACAGTTGTTTTAAAAGATTGTTTGGATAAATTAAAGAAATATCCCTTATTGAAAAATGTAGATCATAGACCATTAGAAAAAGATAAGAAAGACGAATTTAATAAAAATGTAGATGATTTATAAATAAAAGTTAATTCTATTAAGGAGATTCTTTAGGAAATAGAATAATTTCCTCCAAAATATGAAAACATATATTAAAATTAAATACAATTACAAATACCAGAAAGTACAAAAAAATAATAAGATGCGCAAAATTAAGTAATTGTTTAGCAAAATATAACACCAATTCCTATAAGCAGTACTTTTTTAACAGATAATGAAAATTAGGAATAGAAAGTTAAGAATACATAGGATCAATAGATTTAAACTGAAACAATTTAATGCATTATAGATCACTAATAAGTATTGACATACTTGCTATAATAAAATGTAAAAAGAAATATAAATATTTTTCCTCAATGTTTTTGCAATGAAAGAATTAAAAAAACACATTTACTAAGTTTAGAGAATAGAAACTTGTTTGATTAGCTTCTATCCTAATAAGTAGAAAATATTTTAGAAAATTAAATAAAAATCTAAAATAAATAGGTGTTTAAGTGCAATAATAGTTTTTGTACATTTAAGTGCTTTGCAGAAAAAAATGTTGATAAAGATAAAAAATTTTATTGTACTCTTTGTGATGAATAATCTGTTCAATTGATAAAAACATATACATTAAAAAAAAATTTGAATTTCTATTGAGTTTGCATTTTCACAAAATGAAAAAAATCATTATTCTCATCATAACAAAAATATATTATATATATAACCATTTGTATTACTAGAATTTCATTAAGTATAATTATAGTGTAGAATTTACATCTTGTTAAATACTTCGAATAATTTCAATCTAACTTTAAATTTTGGAGTTATAATCGTATTAAACTAATTTTTGCATCTCTAAAGTTGACTACAATCTATTTGCTTGATTTATGAATAAATCTTGTGAAAATTGTGAACTCAATTGGTTTTGGTTAAATTTTGTGAAGAGTTTCAAATCTAATACATCTCATTCTTAGTTTGAGTGATATTAATTGAGATATTTCAGTTTAATAATGTTAGGATTAGTTCTTGGCATATGTTTAGAATTAATAAAATCAATTTTAGAGATAATTGTTAGAAATTATTCAGACAAGAAAGATTGATAAATAGCAATTGATATTCTTTGATGAGAATGAAATTTATTTATTAATTTATTTAAATTATTTAAATAAAATATCTCTAAACACTTTGAGAAATAATTCCTTTGATCTCAACTCACAGTGTTGATAATAAACTTATTACTAATGATGAAATATTATACATTACTTATCATAAGTGATGAATGATCCGTTCGCTGGATATAAATATATATATATATATTAAATTTAATAAATGCCTAAAGACGCTAGAGGAAAAAACAGGAAATGGGGGAATCACAAGGATAGATAATTCGAATAAGTCAATGAGGGTGAATTGATTGAATAATTAAAACACCAGGCAGAAGACGATTCAGAAGATGATGAGGAAGTTGAATAAGTAGATTAACCTTAAAAAGTTGAATAAAAAGTGGAAGGCTAAGAGGAGTAACAATAAGAAAAAAAGAAGAAAAAGAAAAAGTAATCTAAATTTTAATGTGTTTAGAAGAGTGACTGCTGAAGGAGTACCAAAACCAAAAAAATAAAAGAGAAATCTTGACATGCCTGAATCAGAAGAGGAAGATGAGTCACAATATTATTGAATGTAATATATAGATGATTAATATTAAACATAATTAATTTGAGACATAAATATATTCTAAGGAAAAAAGGAATGTTACTGTTTCAAAAAGCATAATTTAAAATGAGCATTAAATTATTCTCGACTTTTAATAACAATGCCTAAATAATAATTGTATAGATATATATGGGAATGAATAATTTAATCATTCAAAAAATACTTCATATGCTCTCATCACTCTTTAGTACATTGTCTTGTACATGACTTAATCCTCTGAATAGTTTTTTTTCCTTAATTCAAAAAATGCTGTGTAATTCACTAAAGTAGAATCAGTGTGTGAAAATACTGAGTCAAGTGTTAATAAGATGAAAAGATCATCAACAAGAACTAGCGTTGGAAGAACTTTATGAAGTGAATCTAGATTATTTCTAATTTTAACAATTTCTGGGAAGAGCAATCGAGCTAACCCTAAACTTAGATCATAGAGAACTTTAAAAAAATTCTTATTGCACTCGAAATTAGAACTCATAAATTCTTTATTAACATTCAATTTTTAAAATGCTTTTTCATTCATTTATTAAAATTACTATAATTAATCTTATGATGCACTGTAAACATATTGTTAAGTGATATTTAATTCTTTTTCAAGTACTTTTTTAATTTTTTCTCTATCTAATCCTTCAGTTAGGAAATTTTCCCAATCCGTTTCATTTACTCCTATTGGATTATTAATATCCCAACAACAATAATATTTAAAGTTTTTATTAACTTCCATCCATTCCACTAATCCTCTACTGATAATAAGTTCAAATTTATTTAATCCAAATCTTAGTGATTTCAGATGATCTGAAATGTCTACTTTGCTTTTTTCAAAGATTAATTTATTAGCTAAGGCTAATTCATATTCTTTGACTCTTTAAGATAGTAGTCTTAAGAACATACATTTTCCCTTTTCAAAAGTAAGTCTACTAATCAATTTAGAGAAGATTTCTTCATTTTTTCTTTATTTTTCAGCTTAATCGATAACAACATTAGCATTTTCATGGATTCTTTCAATTTCTTATTCAGAATGATCATTCATTTCAAAATCAAAGTCATCAATTTTGGCTTCATTGATATCTACTGAATCATCTTAAGGTTCATGATATTCAAAAATGTTCAATCCCATTTCCTTTAATAATTTATTCTGAAACAAAGGACATGCAAATAAATCGTTCCAATCTATTCTGTCTTCCTCCTTATATCTCATCATCTATACAATAATTTATTATAAAGGCTATGAAACTTGCATACCATTTTTTGGAAACTCAATAAAGTCTCTTTTCATTAGTTCCATTAATTTAATTTCACTCGCATAGAATTCCTTGTATGGATACTTCTTGAAACACATAAAATAGAGAGTAGCTCCTAGACTCCAAATGTCGCATTTGTCTGTATAATCGCCTAAAAGGGATTTGAAAATGTAAATACCTAAAATAACCTAGGGAGCAATAGTAGCTCTGGTTCCTAGATAAGAATGCAATTAAGTCTTTGAGTTGTGTTATTTTGCAAATCCAAAATCGGCTATTTTTAAGACTCCTTTTCGAATAAGTATGTTCTCCGGTTTGACATCTCGATGGATGATTTATTTACTCCTGAGGTATTTAAATCCATTGAGGATTTCTCCAAACTTGTATCTAATCTCTGGCTCAGTGATTTCTTTGTTTTCCTTAATGAATTCAGACAGAGACTAAGATCATTAAGAATTTATTTATACTGTACCTTTTCATTGCAGAGTTCCATAACCATATAAATAACATTTTGTAATTTCTTAACATCATACAGCTTTACGATATTGGGGTGTTTAAGCAATTTTAAAGCGCAAATCTCTTTTCTAACTGCATCCAAAGTCATTTTCTCTCTATCACTCATTAATGCCATATTCTCTGGAAGTTCCATTTTCTTAATGGCACATTCTTTGTCGTTTTCTTTATTCTGTCTGAAAGGGAATTAGACAAAAATTACACTTAGAAATTGAATCCTCGATACACTTTGCCGAATGCGCCCTCCCCAATTACATCGTCTGGATTATAAAAATACTTATCCAATAATATATAGTTTTTTCCATGCAATTCCATGGTCTGTAGTTTTTGGGATTTGCTTTTGGATTTCTCATTACCTGATTATTAATTCGACATTTATATTTTTAACAATCAAATGTATGATCATCCCTAAAGTGGTTTAATGGAAGCCCACTCCTTCAACTTGGATTGTCTCTCCTAAGATATCCATCAAATCAAGCAAACTCTCTAAGGTTGGACGACCATTTTCAGTCAACTGATGGAAATCACAATTGAAACCCATAAGCAGAATCAATACAATGTAAACACATAGTCTCTATTTGTTCAGGCATCACTATTGCAATAGTTAATAACCACTCAACATCGTAGACACAAGCATTCTCAGCCCAAAGACCAAATAAAATTGTCACCCATAAGACCCCACAAAACAGAACCAGATGAAGTAATCAAGCCAGAAAACTTTTCTAAAATATTTAATAACCCCAAGAAGGTAATCATGTAATCACGCTCTCTTAGATTTCCATTATGCAACTTCAAGGGACCCCATTTGATTCAGCATTTGAAAGCATCAACAAAGAACTCGAAGAGCCTTATAGAGAAGACCAGTATCTATCTGTGCCTAAATCTATGCAGATGTCAGTCGATTTAAACAAATAGAAGAAGAATCAGCAACTTGAATTGCAGCAACCCCAAAGTGCCAAGAACAATTATGAAAACAAACAATTCGCTTTCAATGCCAAAGTTATGCGTTCCTAAGATATTAAAGCCAACAAAGAGAATCATCAACATCACTTATCCATGAACAGGCCTGATTCCAAACGAATTCTAGACTAACCCCAATTATCAACGGTTGTTGAAGAAAACTAATCACCCTGCATGAGTCCGTATGAAAATAATTTCAGATGTAACTATGCATTTCTAAACCAGATTCCATTGCCTAATCTCATAGATAATATGAACAATGCAGCACTGCCAAAACATCCCAAAATAGTCAAAGACCACTTAATTATTTCCAACAATAACCTATGCAATCAGACAACAATAGGTCTTCCTCAAAGTCTTGTTATGGCAATCAATAGACTCAAGTCCTTTCAAATAATACCAACTTGGTCAATCAATAATAGTAGGCTCAATAACAAACATCTTCACAAAACCCATTCTTAAACAACCTTAATAATGCAAGCACTAAAAATGTTAAATAAGTTCCCACATCAACTACTAACCTTCCATTTAAATAGTAATTTGAAATTATGAATCAAGTAAGTTATATTAAATAATTAGATTTCAAATTAAAGAGCTAAAAGTTACAGTGAGTAAAATTGCAAGAAATAGTTGAGTAAACGTTGTTTAGACATTGATCTCTTAGATAAATAATATGAGACTAGTTAGGAATTAATTTGGAAAGCTTAAAAGACAAAAAAATGATTACTATTCTATAATGTAAATTTAATAATTTTAATCTTTTTATATAAATATATAAATATATAGATATAGCCTCACTTAAATCTATTCCCTTTTAATCTTTGTAGATAATTTCAAGATACCATACTTATTACACTATATATAGTATTATAATAGTACATAAATACAGATTCTATTAATTTATTAGGTATGTGAATAATATTTAATAAATATCATTATAAAACAATATTAATTATAATTATTAACAATAATGCCTGTGCCTAATAGTTCATATCCAATACCCTTAAGAACAGTTCTCAAAATAGCTCCAGTTTGTATGGTGCTTACAACCCTTGGAACCTTGTTGCCAGTTTGCTTATACGACATTCTTTATCACTCACATGAAAGAATCGATAAATTCTTTTGGAGATCAAGCAGATTTGAGCGCTTTATTAGATGTAGAGACATGAAATTGCGTACATTTTGGTATGAAGCAATGGATTGGTAACCCACTGGCAGAGAAAGCTTTATTTCTACTAGACCATAAGTAGCAGACCCATGAGAGGAGTGAATATTAAAAATCATATAATAATAATGTTCATTATGTGTGTAATTTCTCATTAGCCCTTGATTTGAATCCATTAAAGTCCCATTTGGTTTCCACTCTTTCAGGCTCCTCAATGTGAGCACCTTATGCATCAACATATGCCAATTGAATTACATCATGAGCTCTGCAATCCCTGCAGAATAAGACCTATCAATAGAATCAAATAGTACTTTAAAGCATTCTCTAATTACTTATTTGGCCTAATCAAGAGTACAATTTTCATTCCAATAATTACTAATGATGGCTTTACAGAAGTAGCTTGCGAATCCAGTTGTAATGAAGTTTGATTCTAAATATGTACCATAGATATCCACGAGTGATAAGTATCTTTCCCCATTATGAAATCCCTAAATTTTTGAGTAATTAATACAGCTATGACATTCTGTAAATATAATGGGTTAATTTTGCATCTTTTTTTATAGGACAATCTTGCTAAGAAATTTCCATAATCTTTAGGTGAAGGATGAACACCATCATCGTATTATAAGGCTGATCTATCAATTTTTGCTAATTCCTTCACCACTTGTTAGAAATCAGAAAATTCACCACTGGATGCATAAATTGTGTTTTTGGATATTTATGCAATCTTTTTTACATTTCTAAAATCATTATTCTCATTTCATACTTGAATGCAGCCATACTTCCATAACTACAAAGAGTATCTGTCCCAACAATTACTCCTCCATTGTAAACCAATGCAATAACACTACCTCCTGTTACAACAGGGGATGTTGTATGTTGCTATTCACCTGAGATTTCGGAATTGAAAATCATGATGTATATATTTAAATAATTAATACTGATGTTGCATAATTTAATAAATGAAAAATCAATTTCCTAAGGCCTTAACCTTATTTATCTGATTGGCAGGATCAAAGAATATCATCATAATATTCTGAGAATCAATCTATAGTTGTTATCTTACATTTAATTCTGGTAATGTTAAATAGAAACATATATATATCTTTAAAAAATCTATTTATTATTTATCTCTTAACTCAAAGATAAAAATCTGTTTTTATTGCAATATATCATATAACTCATATAAATTCAGTTGTTTTTAAACATAACCCAAGGCTAGATTACTTTTATATTATATTTTTTCAAATATTAGGGTTAATAGTATATGATATATTGGAGAATGTAAAATAGTAATACTCAAATATTTTCTAGGAAGTTCCTTATTGTGCTACTTCTTTATTAATATTTCATACTATTCTGACTTAATCTTTCCAATACTTAATTGACTTATGTGTATGGGATCATTTACTAGTTTAAAGTATATTACTTATATATAAATAGTTGTATGCTATTGATTTATAAATTTTGGGAAATATAGTTTGGAAATAGTTATGTTGAGATCTTCAAGATATTGTCATTTTTTATCAAGGGAATATTGGGGGAATATCATATTTGATTTAACAGTTTCTTAAATTTTTAATAATTTTAATATTTATTTAAAATGGACTAGACTCACAAATCAATAATTACGGAGATCTTGCCCAATACTAAGAGAACTCTTGAGAGGAGATAGAAGTAATTGGAAGAGGAGCAGAAGAAGAAAAGAGAAGTAAGATTAGAATTTATATAATTATCTAGTAAGAGACACAACAAAAAGAGTAAGCAGAGAAGCAAAAGAAATTCTAATAATATTTGATTGAATAAGAAAGAATTAAGAAATAGGAGGAAGATCGAAAAAAAGAAGAAGAAAAAAGAAGTTAAGAAGAAATATAATAGATGAATACATTAAAGGGTGAGTATGGTAATATGATGATTGATCTGGCTACTGGAGATTCTAAATTAGATTACACTATTTCAGGATTAGATCTGAGACCAACTTAAATTAGAGTTTTAGTGAAGGTTACAGAAAATAATAATACATTAAAAGGATTATCAATGAGTAGGAAACGTATAGCTGATGAAGAAGGATAAGAGATAGCGGCGAGTTTAGAAAAGAATATGGTCTTAGAAAGGTTGATCTCATAATCTATATTAGATTAGAACTGGAAGGGAACAATCTTGGGCCAAAGACTTTAGTTGCCATTTCAAAATTATTAGAATTCAATAAATCTATTCGTGTTATTGATTTAGAAAGCAATAATTTAACTAATCACGACAAAGATAGGAACACTTACGATTATAGTGGAATATATGCTATATGTGAAGCTCTTGAAAAAAATGATACTCTCTTGTAATTAAATCTATGTAACTGCAAACTCGATGAAAAATGCGGTGAAGCTCTGGCCAATGCTTTAAGAGATAACACAAGTTTGATTTGTTTAGATATCACTGAAAATCCAAAGATGAATCTAAATGATGTTAGAAAGTGCTAAGAATATTTGATTAGAAATAAAAAGATATACGATGATGAGCGTTACAGAGAATTCCAAGAAAGGCAAAGAATTAGAAATGAAGATTAAACTTCCACTATTCAAATGCAAGATAAGGAAAAGGCTATTACAGCTTAAGAGGGTATTGAATAAAGGTATTTTCATTTTTAATTTCTAGAATGAATGCCAGAAGACTGGAGTTGGAGTAACACTGGAAAGAGGAGTTGGAGAAGGAGGCAAAATTGAAAGAAAAAACTGTGCACAATTTAATGAAACAAGCTAAACTACTTGGTAAAAAGAAAGGCAAAGGTGGAGGTGCAAAAAAAAAGTGATAAATATAAATAAATTATTATTTAGTCATTTATTCACATTATTGAATTCAAATAGGACTTGAATGATTTTTAAGTTTCAATAAGAGAGTTCAAGTTTTATTTGATTTTGCTGGATTTATTTTATAAGCTTTTTTTAGCCTAAAATTATGGATTTTCTTAGAGAATTTCTTCATAATCTTTATTCAATTTGTTAAATTCAACCTAATAGAACTATTGATGAGTCTCTAACAAACTCATAGCATTTTATAATAAATTAAGGACTGGATCATTGACTTACTTTGAAGGCGAACATTTCTATTAAACCATCTTTTATAATATATTTTTGATAGTTTTAGTATGTATTGACTTTGAATCACTCATACTCTTTTAATTTATACATGAGTTTGGCATTACTAGTACATTATCCTCGATACAAGTGTCCTGAATATCAAGTGATTTGTGATGGAAATGAAAGGTTCTGCTAGCAGGAATGTGAATTACAGATCGAGTCTTAGATTTACGATGCATTTTCACATAATCAACTAAATGTTTTATTTGATTATTTCTGTGTTGTCTTGCATCTATTTAAGAATCTTTTAAGGTTTATGAATATTTCTCAAGAAAAGTCAATTTAGAGCTAACAAATTCCAAACTTATTTATGTAAGTTAATCTAGCATTGCCATTATCTATTCGAAGTACATTCTATATTCATCATCTAGTTATGTTATTGAAGCCATTGTGTAATCGTTAAGTAAATTTAATTATTTTATTTTAGAATTTTTCTCACTATTTATTTATGTTTTTCACTTAAACATTTTTAAAGAAAATCTTAGTTGCTAAAGAAAAATGGTTTATTTACGAATGTTTGGAATGAAAAAATTTAAAGAATAAAGTTAAGATAAAATATTTGCAGAAATATATAATAGTATATATGTAGTTTCTTGATGAAAATAAAAGGAAGTTTGTGTTATTTATTTATTATAAATGAAAAATTTAAGTTGAATTTATAAACTATAATTATCAGAATAAAGAAACTAAAATTTAATTTCTTAGTTCATTAAATTACACATTTTAGCGATTATATCTAGAATGGAATAACCAAGTGCAAAAATGAAGGCCTATTTTGATTTACAATTTCTCACTTTTATCTAATTTTAAAAATGTTCTTTGATAAAAATAAAATAATACTTATCTTAATCTTGAAGTTCTTAATAAAATTATTCTAAAATATTATCATTAAAATAAGTAATCTTTTCTTACATAAAATGGTTCATTAAATCTCCAAATTACAATGGAGATGAATTTGAATTGATATTATGATTGTTAAATATATAATTTCGAAAGCTCAATAAGAAATAGGCTGTTTCTTATAAAAATCTTAAATTAAGTGTGTAAGATAATTCTTTAATGAAGAGACAAATAGTTTCATCGCATCCTATTTTAATAAGATCATTTTCAGTCTCACAATTGTATTCATTTCTAAATAAAACCTAAGCAAATGTAGTCATAAAAGGATCATCTTCATTTCTATTGCTTAATTTACTTTCAATAAAATCAAATACTAATTTAATCTTATTTTATAAATCATTGCTAATAGACTCATATTTTATTTATACTTTTAAATCATATCTGCTTCTGCTTAAAGAATTTATTTATATTTATCTCCAACCAAATCAAGTAAAAAATCATCTATCGATTGCTTAGCCTCTATTTAAACTTTTAAAAAAAAAGGTGGTTATTCTATAGCTTGATGAGTGTTTAACTAGATATTATTGAATCTTACTTCATCTCTTCTAGGTCTTCCTCTGCTTCCCTACCCTTAGGGTCTCTACATTCCTTTAATATATTCCTATCCATGTTTTGATTTGATGTGAGTGTATAAAGCTGGATAACTTAAATATTCCTTTCCACATCCATCATATGTACATTTAAAGTCACCTTGTAATTCTCCCCTTCTAGATCTTCTTCTCTTTGCCTATTCATTATTAGACATTTAAATAAAATATATATTAATTAAAAAAAATATTAGCAAATACATATATGGATTTATTCATAATTATTTACTTTTATTCATACCACCATTTTAATTCTACTATTAGATTAGAGACCAGTTTCATGCATTTCTTCTTCTATAGAACAAATAGTTTGCTATAACTTAAGTTAGCTCTATTTTAAGAAAGCATGATTCCTAGATAGACTATGACGGTTAACATTTTCATTTTTAGATCCTATGCATTATATATTTATTAAATTTATATTCATATAAATATATATTTAAATAATAATGATTGCCGAAGCGATGCCTGAGGTATTTAAGAAATACTTTCCAATAATTCTAGCCTGTTTAGTACTATTCATATACTTTACATTTATTTACTTTGTTTTTATATAAGTTTCACGATGTATTTAAGAATATTATTCATCATTAGAAACCCCTATAGAATGGATATATGTATGTATAGGTACATTTAGCATTATGATGTTATTCTGGGCACTATATAGAACATGGACAATTGATCCAGGATTTATTCCTAAACATACATTAGTAGATTATGATGAAACAAGGCAAAGAGATTATTGTTTGTAGTGCAGAATAAAGAGACCTGAAAGATCTCACCATTGTTCTAAATGTAAAAGATGTGTATTAAATATGGATCATCATTGTGTTTGGACAGCTAATTGCATAGGTCTATACAACAGGAAGTTTTTCCTACTTATTTTATTCTGGGGTTCTGTTGGTATGTTTTAAGCCACTTTGCTTGGAATAACTAACATATATGCCCTTTGGAATAGGATTTGGGTCTATGATTCATTGGATTTTAATAAAGTCAAGGCTGGATTCATATTTTTATTGACATTCTCACAATTCCTAAATGGCTTTGGCTTATATTATTTTTTTTGGAATAATTTCAAATTGATTGCCATTAACATTTGCACACTTGATTAGATGATTTTAGAAATCGAAGCTACAACTAAAAGAAAATATGTAAGAATTAAATCTAAGTTATAGCATACCGATTTAACTATTTATAATTTAGGATTTTGGTATAACTTTTATTTTTATTTTGGCAAAAATCCATTACTTTGGTTTATACCTGTTGGAAGACCCCTAGGTGATGGGTATAATTGGGATAAGAGGGTCAGTTCAAGAGAGATGTCAGAGAATGCTATATAAATAGAATGATAATTGATTAGTATTTATGTTCTCAATTTTAATATCATTAATATTAGGAATCAAAATATATATAATGTAGTGCGAATTTTCATTTAATACTTGACATGGCCTACTTAAATTCTTATATTTTTTTCTTAATCAATTTTTTCTTTGTCTCTCCTAAGTACTTATTGGTGAAAAATATTATGACATCTAAAAACAAAAAGTCAATCAGGTTAGATATTGTGTAAGAGAGTATCTAAGAATTACAATAAAAAGATACTAATTCAGTTTGATCGCTTATCCAAAAGTATAAATACAAGCCTATGATAAAAGTACTGATTGCAAAAACGAACAATATCATTTTTACTAAATTTAAGGTCAAAATGGATTTCATATATTCAAAATATTTGAATTGTTTCTAAAAATTGAATTTTATATCTTACCTTCCAGAACTCTTAGTTTATTCTACTTATAATTATGGTTGCTAACAAAATGTAAATTTAAATATCATATGAGATGTGAAAAATTGAGAGAATCTCGCCTACTATAAATTAGATATTCCATTTAAGAATTATAAATTGTACATTCTGAAAACGACTAAAATAAAACTTACTCTTAAATATTATACCAGTAAGAAAATGGTAATTCTATTTAAATAAAATTTAAGTACCCAAAAATAATTGACACTAAATTTGTTTTTCTCCTTTTCATGGATATTTTGTTCTGTTTCTTTTACAAAATCATTTTCAGGATAGATTCTATTTTGATCAATTGGAGATGGTTGTTAGTTGTTAAACATCATTCTTATGCTTTAAAATTTTCTTAACTTTATAACTATTCCAAACTTATTAGATTTTGTTAGTTACTAGATTTCTCCATATTGTGATTTGTAAATAACCAAAGCCAGTAAACTCAATTAAAAAAAATAAAAGATAAAAATAAAATTTGGCAATTTTAGATATTAAGGAATACTACCCTAATAGAGATATTGATAGTCATTGCAAATTGTAACTGGTTCAATTTTACTACAAATACAAAAATATGAACTATTGATTATGGATAAATAACAATTATCTTTGGTCCATTCATAAGTTTTAGGGTTTCGACTTATACAAACCAAGTTTGTAGTATCATTTCGAATTTCAAATTTGTATGTAATAGGCGTAGAAATCTCAATGTTTTAATATCTATTTTACTATCTTATCATATAATCATAGAGTGGGTACATTTAGTTGGGATATGGGTAATAGCCGTCATATGAATAAAAATTACTAATATAGACTGCTTGTACAATATCATAGTAATCTAGGCTAACATCTTATTGGAGAAATCTATGAGAACTTAAATTTTATATATTAACGGATCTCTAAATGACTAGGTTTAAAGTACTCATAGATATTTCAAACTTTTCATTGGGTAATAATGCAAGAAAAGATAAATCAATGATGTGAAGGAAAAAATCATTTAAATGATGCATTATTTGATAGTTACTTGAATTAGAAATAGACAAAGCTATATTCCAAATAAATTCAGTACTCAAAATTGCATTCCTCATATCCAATTTACTTAAAATTTATCTAGTATCTATTTAAGAATAAGAAAATTGATTAGTTTATTAGTACTAAATGTTGATTGAATATTAATTTATCTGTTCCATTCTGCTATTTAGATTGATGATATAATTCATTAAGACCTTTAGACATTTGTCGATGCTGGTTTTTGAGATTATGTCTGTGTATTATTAAAAGTAAAGGACTGCCTAACTGTATAATTTAAATTATTCATTATTTGTTACATCTTTTACAACCAATGCTTAAATGCTTTTGAAAATCAGATGATTAAAATTCTCAAATTAGGTTTTATTACCACTACAATCCTTAAAATAGTAACCTGGTGGACAAAGGCATTTTTAATCCACACAAGTGCCAACACCTGAGCATTGCTTTAAACAAACTTACTTATCTTCTTCGTTAATTAAAGATATCATAGTGTGTATACTCTGTAAATTTGAAAAATTGACTAAATTACCAAGATCTTAAAATAGCGAATCCATTTCATAGGTTCTCCTTTAAACTGTAACTTCTGTCCATTGAAATATTTGTGCGCCTTAATTAGATTCAATTTGGCATACAATCCAAATTGGATTATCAGAAATTCCGTTTGGAATCTAAAATTAACCTGAAGTGTTTTAGGAGTTAAAAATCAAAGGAATGCCATTTAAAAGAGATTTAGCATTCAAATCATTTTAAAAAGTTTAGTACTCCACATAATAATAGACACTAGCTATTTAATCACTATTTATAATATCAATAGTATAATTGAAATAATCTAAAGACTATCCAACTTTAGGTTCAATAGAGAATTTAAAAGTATTAGGTATTTCATTTATTTTAAATCCAAAGGAGTCACTTCCAGGAACTAAATAGATGTAAATTGGATGCTTAGAATCCTCTGTAATTTCAGCCATTCTAAATTTCAAAGAAGCATCAGTTATCTTAATTTATTTAAGGACTTTGTGATTTTAAATTATAAAAGCGTATGTTTGAGATTGCTTTAGTAAAATAGTAATTTCACTGTTCAAATTTACATAATCTGTTGGTTAATTACTATTTATTACGAACTCTTCTTCTATATTTAAATCTAATTACACAATTAACTATTCTTTAATAGTCCATCTGTTATCTTTAGAGGCTCTAACATAAAAAACAAGTGTTGAATTTTGAGTTTCAGTCTAAATATTAATGATTCTTCTTGATGCAAACTCAAGTATTTTATTTTCTTCGCTTTTGCATGGTTAAAGATCATGTAAATTAGTGCATAACCATTAATATTATATGCCTTTGGTACTCATAATTTCATCCTAAATGTTTTTATCAAAGGCTCTTGCATTAATTTGGTCATCTTAACCAATAAACCTGTTTTTCTGTAGCAAAGATACTTCTATTGGTTTAGATTTTAAAATTAGAACTTCTTGTATGATGTAGCTTTGAGTTTTGGCAATAAAGAGTAAATGTACTTACTTAGGTAAAAATGTTTCATCTAAAGGAATTTTACGGATAGAATTTATTGGCTATTTCAAAGAAATGTATATTTGATCTTACACTGATGAATCTGTTATGTCAATTTATACATTTTAGTCGCCTTCTATGTCTGAAAAAGTAATGTGACAATCAAAGATGTAAATGTTGGCAGTCAAAGGTTAGTAAGTAAGATAGACATAAGGTGTTTGAGTGGGAATGGTATTGAAAGAAAATGTAGTGTAATTAACTCTTTAAAATATATTGATGTATTTTGCTGTAATTAGATATCTTAAATTGGGTTATAAGGTGTTAATGGGTATAATAATCTCATTCTTTTAGGTGGCCAAAAATGAGTCCATTGATAAATAGTAATCCTCATTTTCTATTGGATGTAACTACCAAGAGATTACTGTTTATATTTTAAAGGCTGTTCCTGATATCAAAATTTATCTGATTTCAATTTATTTGCAACTACTAACATATTACGGGACATCAAATAAAATATATGGTTTAATGAATCGATTAGGTGCTAGCAATTTATTTTCTATGAATTATTTTATATACTCTTAAGCACAAATTCCTTAATCTACATCTCTATAAAAAGACTATTTAAATTCCAATGAGTCTCCTATCTTAATTGTTGAATATGGAGATAATTATATATGTACTGAATTTCTATTCCAAGCTAAGTAGCAAGTAGAATTCTATCCAAAGACATTTGAATTATCAAACCATAAAGAACAATCTGAAGGTTAAAATGGATTAATTAAATTGACTGATACTAAATAGCCAAAATATACAACTATTTCATTAAGATCATCTGAGTAATATATTTTAACCTTTGCGACTTCACATGATATACACCATTCATCGTTTAGTTTTCTATCACAATTGCATTTTGGAATCTAAAGATTATTTCTGCAAATCTAGCAATTATCCTATGATATGCATTCATCACATGGGCATTTCTGGCAATCTTCATATAATTCATCATCATAATAACCTTTCAAACAAGAACAATCAATAGAGTTTCTATTACCTCCTCTGCATTTAACACATTAAGTTGAATTTATACAACTTAAACATTTATGTAGACATTTTTCGCATTTTTACTAATTTTTATAATAACCGTTAGGACATTCTCCTAAACAATATCCATTTTCATTTAAGTTGAATAACGCTGCACAATTAATACAATTATTGTTCCCATATGTATAACATCCATTGCATTCTATTGAACATGGCAAACATCCATTTTTATCTTAATATTATTAATGATCACATTGTAAAACACACGTATAATTGTCAAGATCATGTAAATAGTCACTAGGACACTAAAATAAACATTAATTTTAGTAGGTATATGTGGTTGAAGGACATTCATTAGAACATTTGTTCTCAATAGGATTAGAATAGGATTAATCTGGACAAGATTCCAAACATTAATTTTAGAATAGATAATATCCCATTTTACATGAGTAACAAACAATTTGATTTGAACAACTCAAACATTAATAAGGGCATTATTCACATATGAAATTGTTTGAACCATAATAGCCATTAGGACATTATATAGCGCAAATAGATTCAAATTAATATGTATTAATAGGACAATTTTAATAGCATATATTTTAGAATAGGAATGTCTCACAAGATTCAACACACTTTTTAGTTTTCAAGTCTTTGATAGATGTACATTGTTAATCACATTGGTTATCTTCTAGAAAATAATTGGTATCACATTCTGTACAGTAGTTCAATTCATTACAAGCCAGACATTCGAGTTTACAATGCTAACAAATGGCATTTCCATAATAACCCTTAGGGCATTATTCTAAACACATGTTTTAATGTGTAATCAAATTGCAAGTAGCTAGACAAGTGTGATTCATAATATATGTGTTAGGAGGACACTCAGACAAACAAATCCGATTGACAGTATCTTCATATGGTAATGATAATGGACAATGAAGGACACACTCACCATTAAATAGGTAATAAAGATTGCTACATTTTAGACATTCAGATTCACTCAAGCACACATCGCATCTCTCAGGACAATCAAAACAAAAATTATTATATTACACAGTTTTTATTGGACAATCTAATAGACAATTTTACTAATATTCGTAAGTATCATTAGGACATTGTGAGTAGCAATGATCTAGATATTAATATTCTTAATTTGTGCATAATTCTACACATTCATGTTTGATATCGTTGTACATAATTAAACAAAGTGAATCACAAATGCCATCATTTAGATAAGATCCAACTTTACATTTAATACAACCAAAAGAATTACACTCCAAACAATTATTGGAGCAATTGAAACACTCAGTATTTTATTAATAAGTTTGAGATGGACAAATATCCACACACTGTTTATCATATAAGAAATGATTACACTTTTAAACACATTAATTTTGTTCTAAGTATTAATCACTTTTACACTAAAACACACACTTCTGGTTTAGAGAATCATAAAGGTAAGGACATGTCTATGTACATATTTGATTATTATCTAAATAATAACCTTAAGTACATGAATAACATTCATCATTATTTGGACCAAAACAAGCTGAGCATTATATGTGACAATCAATACATTGTTGATCTTATTAAAATGTCGAAGCAGGACAACTTTAAATGCATTTAGACTTATAATGAAATTAAATTGGATCTGATGGACAGTTTTCAACACACTGATTTTCAAATTCAAATAAATCTGGATTGCAAGCTTCAACACAAATTAAATTCTTTCTATCAGTTTTTTTGAGATTACATATTGGATAACACCAATTGTCTTCTAAAAATAAGCCTGCCTTACACTTTGAACAAAATGTTATTGATTAACATTCAGTGCATTCAAAAGGACACTATCTACAAAAGGAATTCTCATTGTAGAAACCAGTTGGACAAGATTGAACACATTAATCATCTAATTTAACGATACAATCAAATAGGCAAAATCTTCTATTATAGGATTCCTAATGATATAACCCCAATGGACATTTAGTAACACAACTTCTTGAAATTGGATCCATATATAAATATTAGTTGGAGCAATAATTTACGCAAGAATCCTGTTCTAGGTAAAAATTAATCGAACATTCAGAACAAGAATTAGATGATGTACACTTAGTGCATTTTGGATCGCATAAAAAGCATTTTCCGTTATCTAAGTAAAAGCCATCTTGTATTTTAGTAAGACATTCTTATTCACAAACAAATTAACCAAGAGAACATTGGAGAACGCATTATTTGTAATCTCTTATAATAAATTTAGATCCACAATTATCAACACAAGCTTTATCATCTTGGTCATAATAATTATCACATGTTTGTTAGCATGAGTGATCATTTAAGTAAAATCCATCTATACAAGAATAGCATTCTGAAAAGGTTGGTCCAAAACAAGTTAAACATTATAAATTACAATTTTGACAAGTATCGTTGTCTAAATACGTAAATTTAGGACATTGCTTCAAACAATTCTATCCATATTGAAAATAACCTGAATCACATTGAAGTTAACAATTTACATTTTAGATTACTAAATTAACAGGACAAGCAGCTTTACATTAATGATCGATTAGATCATAAAAGGAAGGGCAAGTTAGTTCACAAGTTTGGCCATTGAGAAAATAAGGAGATTCACATTCTAAACAATTTCCATTATTAGGTCCATAACATTCTTTACAAATTGAATCACAAGGATAACAATCTCGATCTAATAAATAGGATTTAGAAAGGCAGTTGTCAACACATTATTTTTTATTCGCAATTTCGTATCTCTATAAAAAGGAAGGACAAGAATCAAAGCAAAGCTTCTTAGGTAAATATAAAAATGATGAACATAATGCTACACATGTTTAATCTTAAATATTTCCATAAGGAATCTGATCTGGACAATCTAAGTAACAGGTTGTCTCATATAAATAATACCCTATATCGCATTTATTACATTGTGTTACATCTCTTCCAAAACAAACTGAACAAGGAGATGCACAGCTAATGCAGGCTAAACCATCTTGATAGGTCTAAGATGGACAAGAGGAAACACAAATATTAGAATAGTAATATTCTGGACATGTTTCCTTACATCCATAGTGACCATTAGTTAATTATTATAAAAATGAATCTATGGGACAGAATTAAACACATCTTCGATTGATCAAATCTTCAATGACATTAGGTTCTATTAAACAAGAGTCACTGCATAAAGTTTCTTGATCTATGAAATACCCAGCAACACAACTCAAACATTCACTCTAACTACTTCCAAAACAAGTAGCACAGCCAGTATAACATTCTTAACAAATTTTGGATCCTACTTCATTAAATGTACCAATGGGACATGCAACTGTATAACAAGCATTTTTTTATAAGTATCTGTATGAAATGGTCTAGCAATAATCAACACAATATCCATCTTCAGAAAATCCAGATGAGCATGAAGCAACACACTATTTATTCACTACATCTTTTAAGGGAGCTTCATCTGGACATTCCATAAAACAACTAGTTCCATATTTAAATGCAGTAGGAATACATTCTTAACAATTTGATGAAGAAGAGGAACTACATATTGTACAAAGGGATGAGCAGAGTTCACAATATTAATAATCAGTTCTTTGCAAACAAAATGTCTCTATAGGTTATTGAGTATAACATTCATCTCTAAATTAGAATGTCTCAAATAAACATGTTAGTCCACATACGGTTATTTAATGGTTTAAGATTAATGACATACCTGAAGATTGCTTTGATTCAAGGGGACATTCTTCCACACATCTCCAGTTTATTTAATCATACTTAAGACTCCCACAATCTTGTACACATTCATTACTTAGTAAATAGGAATTCTAATAACAAGCCAGACAATCATTAGAATTTGGACCTTAACATTATTTGCATTAAGAATGGCAATCTTCACATTAGTAGTTGATACAGAATGCAGAAACACCAGAAATATTTTCATAACATTGTCCTCTCCATACATATAAATAAGTAGCATATAATTATCCACACTATTCAACACAAGCATATAAGTTGTTTGTAGAATCTGCAATTGTGTATCCTGAAGAACATTCTGTTTCACAATGCCAATTCATATAGTTTTTGAAACTTTATCCACAAGTTGTTAAACAGGTTGATCCTTTTAAAAATAACAAAGGTTAGCATTAAGTACAAATATAAGACTGATCTATACAAGTTGCACAAGAGACTAAACATGGTTTACATAAAAGAGATTATAGATTACCATAATATCCATCGTCACATGGATACACACATCTTGTATTGTCATTCTAATGGAGGAAAGACTAGTATATTTAATCGGCTTCTATTTCCCCACATTTCCTTTAAAAGCATTCTGCTATTTAGTAACCAAACAAGTCATCATTCCAAAATGTAAGTTCATCCGGGTTGCATTAATCCTTACAACTGGAGAGAGACTTTGTTTTTAGAGCGAATCTTGGGAAACAACTGATTTTGCATACATCATTTTCAAATGGATATTTATTAATGCAAGTTTTGCATATGGTATTATTTTAACAAGAATTGCATAATTAAGGACAGTATTTCCAAGAATACAGTGTTGTACTGACTCCTTCTATCTCAATTATTTTACTCTCTAAAAAGTATTCACTGACAGAGCTAACACTTTTACATATTCCATCTTGAGCTTAGTATCCATCATAACAAGATTGTACACATATGTCACCCTATGTTAATAAATTTGATGGACATTTTAATTCACATTTCCAAATCTTAGAATTATGGTAGATAAATAGATTGTCTCTTTCTTCAGAACAATTTTACAAGCACATCCCAAGATAAGGAGTAAAATACATCCCTTCATAACAACCTAAACATTATCTATAAGTTGTTCCAAAACAATATTTGCATGAAGGATGGCAAATCAATGGCTAATTTGGAGCATATTTAGAGGCTAATAGGGGTCTGCAACCTACAGACTTACCCACTTCCTTTTAACTACCAGATAGACAAGTGTATCCAAGGTCTATTTCATCAGCTTGACAATCAGGAGTTAGCGAACAAACTAAATCAGGTTCTTTTCCTCCATCTACTGGACAAGGGTGATTGAATATATACTTATATGGACAATCCTTAACACATTTATTTATGTAATTGAATCTGTCTGCTTTGTTTTTAAAACATGTTGATACACAAATCTTCAATTCTGTTAAGTAATATGAATCCTTACACTCAAAACATAGTCCTGAATAATAAGAATATTTGCATGACAGAACCTAACTACCAGCACATTCATATTTTGTATTATATAAGTTAGAACTACACAATCGTGCTCGTTATACAGATGTGAGTATTTAACTTTTTACAATGTCAGTTGTCTAACATAATACTACATCTTTTCCTGAGCATGGATAAATAGATACTCTATTCAACTATGTTTATATTTGACATATTCCTTAAGAAAGAATTGCATTTTTATCACATTCAACACAATTGCCTCCACTTTATCTCAAACATAATGCTATTGGAATTGGTTTACAATATCCATTCTCTAATTTATATCCTGCAGGACATTCATAAATGTTAATATCATCTAATGGATCTTATTCTTTGCAATAATGTGTCTATGATTTGCAGAATGCACAATATAGTCCTGCAAATAGTTTACAGTCTCCTGAGGATTCAGAGATGCCATATCCATTAAAAATCCTTAAATCTTGAATATCAATCACCTCTTAACCTCTACTTTCCAATAATAATGGGCCAATTAATAAACTTTTATACCATTTGAAATTGTAAATTTATTACAAATATACCATCTAATCATCAATGTAGATCTTCATCATCTTTACAGAATTGGTTGCCTTAAAGTATTGATTTCTCGATATTTCTAATATCCCTATCGTAATATGTTTCCATTAATTGGGACTCAAATCCCCAATGTTTATTTAATTATCGTTTTAGTATACCATAAAAGCATAGTTTTAATTAACACCAAATCCTAGACTTATTAGTTTTATAAATTCATCAGTAAATGAAATTAGCTTAAAATTTGACACTATTTATTAAGGCTTCATCCAAAATATAATACTAAATGAATCCATTTTATCCTAAAAGTCATACAGAATTCTAGTATCTTTATAAATGTTTAAACCTATAATCCCACTATATTCAATATTAGTTTGCTATCTCAGTTTTACATTGATAAATTAAGAATCAATAATTAATCCTTCACTCTAGTATGGCTTCAGAGAATACTTCAAGTCTATTTAATCCTAAACATATATTTCCTTGTCCATTGTTGCCCATCCATTGATATATTCAAAATTAGCGACATACACACAGGCTTTGTAGTCTTCTATTTTTTGAAATAATTATTCATTTGTTATCCTAGAATGTACACCAAATCTAAAATTTAACCTATAATTTAAATTGCTATTACATACTTTTATGATGGCAACGCATCCAAAACCTATTGGAGTTGATAATTGTAAGTGCTAAAAAGTTTTAAATTCAAAAATGCATCCCCACTCGTCTAATCTATTGAGATCAAAAGATAATTCCAGTACCCTATAAAAAAATCCTTTTATCTCTAATATTATTTATATTTACTAATCCACCAGTATGCTCATCACTTCTGGATTGACTTTTTCATTTAAAACATACAATGAATAATTTGATGACTCAAGATTAAAGTAAACCATCAGATTAATATACTATGATAGTAAATGCCATTACAGAATCAATATCGTAACCATCTAAAAAGGCGAACAGTATTTGTTTACCTGGTAATCTCATTTTTGAATAGACCATAAACCACAAGCGAAAGGTAATTTTATCCAAGTTAGTATTTTAACCATAATTGGAAAGTTTTTCGTAAAAATACTATGAGCCTATAAATCCATTATCACCTAGATAATATTAATTTAATACCTTTATCGAGTTATTTGCAGTTCATCTTTTTTGAGGCTGGGCCTTGAAGAATTAATTTATATTGAGTTACTGCTAACCAAAATAAGAGAGTAATGCTGATTAAATTAATCATTATCAAAATTAATCTAAAATAATCAAAATTTGAAGAATTTAAATAATTTAGAGAGTGAGAGGATGTTTAAATCGGAAAAAAATAAGACAATTTAAAAAAATATACTTTGGATTATGAACTCATTTAGTTTAATTAGAATATATATTTTTTGAATTTATTTTAAAATATTAGCAATTTTATAATACCGAACAATAAAAGATTTATTAGAAATTAATAAAAATATCTATATTGCTATTATAGTTTAAATTTTTTCATAGTGATAATAGAAATAAATGCTTTATAGATTATTTAATTAATGTCAATTTATTTTCATCTAACATACATCTTTTATTGCTGAGGATGATTTATTTTGCTATCTTCATTTACATTGTTAAAATTTTATTATTGTTGTTTCGTCATTTAATAATTGATAATTTTGGCATTGTTATTTTGAAGAGGATGGGGTATTTGTTGTAATTCTGTTCTTTGATGAAATTGTCTATTGCTTTAGTCGCTGTTATCAAGATTTACTGGAGATGTGGCATAATGCTAGGCTTTGGAATCCAGAATAGCTTATTGTTCATCAAAAATATTTTGGTCTCTCTCTGATTTCAATCTCTCATCGAGGATTTACTCATAGAAGGTGTCTCCCCAATCTCTCTGTCCATTTTCTCTTTTCCCTTATTGCATCATTTCAATCTTCTATAGGACATTGCCTTCTCTTGCTATTTCCTTGAACTCCCTCCTCCATTTGATGATTTTATCAGTTTCAGTTGAATAAAATTCATGCAGTACTGCATTGATCACCAAATCAAATATAAACACAATGCAGTTAAGTAGTGCGATAATCAAATAAAAGGTGGGAGATTGAATTAGGTAGATAGGCGTAAACTCTGAGTAGGTTCCTCTAAAGTAGTTGGAGACAAAAAAGTATGCGATGTAAATTCCAACAGAAAATAAGAGAAGTGTGATCACATTAACGCAAGTCCAGAATTTAGTGTAAAGTGCAATTTTAATATCAACAATCTAGGAGATAAGTGAAATAAAAATACAAAAATGATTGCAGTATATGCTGTGATCGAAAGGGTAGCAAAACCAGCATTTTATCCTTCGATATTAACAAATTCTGTATCAAAGCAGGCATATGTAATGAAGAAGACAAATACTCCATGGATAAATCCTTGGCCCCACCAGAATATAAAATTGGATAGGGTGAATATAGTTTACTTTTGGCCAACCGAATAAAGCAGAGGGAACTTACCTTTAAGATATTGAGTTGATTTCTTATAAATGTCAGTGTAGTCTTGATTTCTTACATTGATTTTTGTAATAGACACTTCCTATCCAAGGTGGCTCTGGCAATCAAAGGAAGGGAAGTAAAGAACAAATTATAGAAGGTGATATACCAGTCATCAAAATAGGTTTAGGCACTATAGGCACTATAAAAAGAGAACAAAAACTAAGGAACAGTGAAAATCATGTTCTTGTAGAAGAAGTAGAGAATCATTTCTGAAATTCTGATGTATGACCAATTGCCATGTATTAACAAGAGTTTCCACAAGAATCTAAATTCTCCTAAAGCATAATCACTACTTTGGACAGCTCTCATTCCTTCATTGCCATATAAACCTATTCCTATATGTGCCTCTTGTATCATATTGACATCATTGGCACCATCCCCAATAGCTAGTGTTATTTTGTTTAGATTTTTAACTAAATGTACAACTTCTGCCTTTTATTTTGGAGTGACTCTACAACAAACAACACTATCACAACCCATAGCCATTTTAGTGAATTCCCTCTTTAATTATTGATTGGCTGTCAAGATGACCAAAGCTTCTCCTTCTACCAGGACTGACTTCTTCTTCCTCTCTCTAATGCAAGCTTAATATGTCAATTTGTTTTCAGACAATTAAACTCTTAATTTATTAAGATCAGTTTCTGAATACTTCATGACCATGAAATCATGTTAAATTAATCGACAACTCTTGGCAATATTTTCAGCAGTTTCTAATTTATCCCCGGTAAGCATCCAAACCTTAATATTAGCCTTCAATAAATCTGCGATGGTTTCTGGGACATCATCCTACAATTTATCCTCAACTGCAGTTGCTCCCAATAGATACAAATCTTTTTCTAAGTTATTTGCTAATTCTTCCCTTTCCTATTCTCTATTTTCAGAAGATGCCAGAGCTTCCTTTTGTCTCTCAAAGGCAAGGTACTCTTATTCAGATAGTATTTTCATTGCCATCAATAAAGTTCTTAATCCAATAGTACTAAATTCTGACAACTTATTTTAAATAAACCCTAAAAAGGGTTAGTCTGGTCTTAGTCTAGCTTTGATGATGCTGTCTGCTCCTTTGATGTACAATTTGTAAACTCCATTATCCTTGATGATCACACTCATTCTTTTTCTATTGGAATCGAATTCAAATTGAGAAAGCAGTTCTACTTTTTTTTATTTACCTTTGATTGTAAACTAAGATCAAATAATATCACTTACTTCTTATTCATTTGCAGATTATCCTTCAAACCTATACCCTAAATTCATGGCAGCATCCACCAATGTAATTTCATCTGGAGAAGGTCCTTAATACACAATTTAAGAATTCTTGTCTTTCTATGCTATACACTCATGAGCACTAGAGAGTAACATGAGATATTCATGAACCAGTTATTTTTATGTTTTGATTTCCAGTGTAGTAGTCTTATCAGTTGATTAGATCATTAATTTCCTTTGCTAGTCAGAATACCTTTAACAATCTTGACTGTTTTCAATGATTCCAGTAAGTATTGGATCTTGAAAATTAAATACTGAATGTTTGAATTGAGCAGGATCTTGTTACGCATTATTTTTATTTGAAATAGACTCTGTCATATTTTTGCTTTTATCACTTTTTCCATACAAAATATCTCCAATTATACAATATTTGAATTCCATTTGATTGCAGGTCAATGTTCCAGTCTTGTCAGAGAAGACATATTCAACTTAACCCAGTTCCTCATTAATGGTTGATGTTTGAGCCTTAGCAAACTTGTCTCTTTTTGAAGAGTACATATCCCAATCTTTGTTAATGAAATAACATTGAAAAACCTTCACGAACTCCATTGATACCACTAAAGATATGGGTATCATAGTGTTGTAAAGTAGGAAGAAGGAAAAGAAGGCAATAGCAGATAACAAAGTGTAGTTTGATTCTGATATGATGATGTAGATGTGCTTACTGAAGGACTTATACAACCACCAGGAAGACAAAACAGCCGACAAAGCACAAGCTATGATTTATACACCCAATATTCCCAATATCAACTTGTTCATCACTCCCTCTATAGTACTCTGTTTTATCCTTGACGGTTCCGCATTTCTCATTATTTTTGTGTCCTCTCCTGTATAGACTATCACGCCTACTATGAATTTTGTATTCCTTAGAAATGCTCCTCTCAATAGTAGCTGTTTGCCATTCAAAACTCTTGATACTTATAGACTCTATACTTCTTAGACCCATTTTGGAAATGAATCGAACCTTCAAAATCACCTAAGGCTGGCGTCGGAGGATTGCCCTGAGCTTTGAGTTGCTGATTACCAGTCATACTCATCTAAATTTTTGAATCGACCTCCTTATACTGAAATAAGGTTTGAGTTTCTTTGATTGCAGACTTTGGTTTCAGGTTCTTCTCACCATCTAATGATGAAGTTTCGATGTAACAAACCCCACTCTCAAAATAACTGGTCAATACTATTATATCAGCAGGGAACATTTCATTTTCAGACACAAACAACAAATCCCCTACTCTCACATCAGCCCAAGTTGTTTTTACTTACTTATTATTCACAATCTTGGTGCATTCCATCGCATTTACCTCATTATCAGATTTGTGTCTGCTTATATCCTCCATAGCTTTTTAATAACATTGAAATTTACCTTCTCTTATCATGGATAATCCTAAAACAAATACGAGTGGAGCTATTGCTGAAATCGGATTTAAAGGTGATATAATAGGGAAACTTTGGATTATGGCAATAAAAAGAAAATAGATATTCGCATATCTCCGAAATTAACCCAACAGAGATAGGGGTAAGAATGTTACTATATTATACTTTGAAGTCTTAATGAAATTAGTTGGGAAAACTTCGCTTTCTACCTTTCCAGTTGCATTTATTGGAAATATTCTTTCCTTATTGTACTTCTATCTATCCGATTTAAACATTTTAACTTAATAATTTAAAAAACTATGAATATAGATTATAACTATTAATTAAAATCATTCACTATGGATTCTTCTCCTGCCTCTCGGTTTTATCTCATCTATTTATTTTTGCAATTCAGCATTCTACTCTTGGAGTAAAGTCAACTCTTAATCTAAATGCACTTTTGCAAAATTAATTAATTATTAAATATCAGGTCTGTGATCTGGAATTATCGACACCATTTTTTTAATTTACTATTTCAACGATACTGAATAATATGATAAGTTATCAAACTTTTACAACACCAAAGCACTTATATGACTTAACTCTTTCTCTAACATTAATTCCATCAACAAAATGCCCAATTAGTAAATATCAGACAATTTGCTCTTTATCTTCTCAGGTGCTTAATGAACTGTATTATTTGAATATCCATAATCACTTAATTTGTATTTCATTTATTTACTCAGCAATACATTGCCACCATGTATATGCAAATGGGGCTAAGGGAAATTCTAGAGAGCCTCACATACATCCACTATTATCTATCTGATTTCAGATTCATAAACTCTTTGCATCAATCTTTATTTTAAAGAATACTCACAATGCTCCATTATAATATACAAGAATCCTTGATGCTGATAACAACAATTAAATTGCACCTACCCATCCAATGTCAAAGTCTGAATGTTATCCTCCAACGGCACTTTTTTAGCTGCATAATACAACCCATCAACTTTTGATAACACTTTATAAACCACTCCTTTTGAGCCTCTTCCTATCTGATGAATCACCTCAAAATCTCCTGTGAATTTCGATAAGTCAGGTCTAAATTTTCTTGATTTCAAAAATTTATTATTGTCTCCTATTATTTGCTATTGACATCCTGAAAAGTCATGGAACACTTCAGAATTGAATCTTTAGAGTGGCAGATTTCGAGCTGCTTGAAATGGGGATTGCTAATCATCATCACATAATAAACTTTAAGATTTACTAGATAATCATGTCACAACCAAATACAATAATTAAAGATCTGGAGCCATTTCATATTACAATAATGGGCTTCGTTCAACATCCATTAGCACTTTCTATATATAATTTTCTTCAAATGGATGCACTTTTGGCGGAAAATACATTAAATTAATAATTGTATTAAATTATTGATTTATATCTGTCCATTCACACATATTTCCAATTATATATCTGAATCTTCTCATTTTCATCTCACCTATTAATCCAATATTGATATTTAATCATCATAAATTATATATATTATGTTCCTAAGAAATTTATAATTTAAATTTGAAATAATTCTCATTCTATGAAAAAAAGAACTCATCCTCAAATTTACAAATATAATCAAAAAATATAGAAAACAATCATAATTTATCAATTTTAGAATTCATTAGTTTTATATTCTATTTGTCTCATAATTTTAAAAACCTTATTTAGAATTAATTTATTTGACTAATTAATAATGGGTTTTTTTACTTTATCAATTTAAGCGCAATTAGTATTAAAGAATGATGTTCCTTTTGCTTTGGACTTCTTATAAGCGGATTTATAGAGTTATTTAATAATCAATATGAAAATAATTCTCAACTTGATACACTCGTTCCATTATCATCTTCATTATTAACAAAGTATTTAAACATATTTTCATCTTTTTTTGCAAGAATGAGAGGAGTATCTTCCTTTTCAGACCGATCTAAAAAGGTTTCTAGCTAGTTAAGAGAGTTTAATAATTTTTTATCAAATTTGGACATGCTAATTGTATTTTTCTTCATTTATTCAGGCTGGTTAATTATAGCCATTACGTCCCTCTTTGTTAAATCGTTATCTTCTAGATAATGCTTAGATTAGATACCTTGGTTTTATTCCAGAATCTTGCTTTTCTAATCTTAATATTAATTTTTGAAATTTAGAAAGGCTTTTTTAGTAATTGTAATTTAAAATGAGTATTATCTAGTTTTACAATTTTTTTTCATATTATAAAAGTTTAATTAATGCAATGCCTTTCAAGTAGAATTTCGTTAAGTATTCTTTATTTATAATTAATGATGGATGTCTATGCATATTCATAATTAACAAAAATAACATATTAAATTTTATTATAATTGTTATTTGTATTTATGCTTTGTTTGCATTGATTTCGTAGTGAAATGGATTAAAATAAAAGTACTTTTTTAAAACAAATGATATATTTATGACGATTTTAAATGTAGAATAAAATATTCATATATTCTCTGATTTAACTATTAATTAGCCCAATACCTTTTATTACTTTAAAATTTATGTTTGGTTAATAATTTTTTATCTTTATGAATCAAAATATTCAATTAATATTAAGCATTCTAAGGTAATATAATATTCTTTTTGAAACTATGGAATATCAGACTAATAAAGTAACAACCATATAATTTTGCCATAGCTTGTGTTATTTTACTTTTAATTAAGTAATTTGAAAAGTTCAAATGGATTTAAAAAAAACTTGGTAGACATAATTTTAAATCATGGCCTATCTTAAAAACGATTAAAAAATATTGTGGAACCAGAAATAGGAGTAGAATAAGGCATCTAATTGTGAAATATTATTAAAATCAATTTTAATTAGTTAACTGGTAGATATTAATAAAATATACTGGAAATGACTAACTCATAATTATATATTTATATTATATATTTGATATTATTATACTCTTTATGTCTTACAAATTATGAATAACAACTAAAATGTAATCATGTATACATCTCCTAAATCAAACTCTTATGAACTTAAAAATTTTAGTTGTATTTTGAGAATGAATCACTGAATTTTTGAGAATTTTTAATTTAATGGTTATTTTTAATTACTTAAAATGAAGTCTTATATAAATTTAAAAATTGATCTCACGTGCTATTATATACTAATATTACTGGATATTATGCCATTCTATTATTTAAGTAATAATGTGATTTCCATTTTCAATAGAAAGTAGAATAATTAAGCACTTATTTAAGATTTTGAAAATTGATCCTCAATTGGTATGATTATAGAATGATTTATTTGTGAGTAGAAATGTTAAAATATAAGATATAAATCAATTAATTCTAGTTGTTCTAGAAAGTTCAAATAGATATTTGTTGTTACTTCTTTGTTTAGGCATCGATCTTTGATGTATTCGATTAAAGGGTTTGGTTTATTGTATGAATGATTTTTGTTTGGCCATTTCATTGAGTTGAAACGTAACATCATTAGGATCCATATAGTCAAAATTCTGTACCAAATCCAATGTTGTTAATTTCAAAGTATTTAGAAAGGGATCCTTATTTAGAAAATTATCAACTTTAGGGAGATAATTGTATTTTATTTTTTCTTATTTTCTATTTTATTTCTAGAGACTGTAATTTTTTGTATGTATTTCGAAGGGTTATTCATGCATCTCAGTTGTTTATTGCTCTACTATTCTCATTAGCTTTCTTGTTTTCATCATTTATCAAAATTAAATTATAAATATATTCCTTGACAAAAATAAATTAAAACAAGGTTTCATCGATAGATTAATTACAGCATTCTATAAAGCAAGAAATATTTTATTATAGTGATAACTGATAAATATCCGTAATTATATTGAAAATGTAGTTCATTTTGATAATAATTTTTATATCTATATAAAATATCAATCTGATTTTTCTTTGAGTTTCAAATCAGCATGGATTTTTTGTTCATGTTTTTCTTTCTTCTCTACAATTCTGTGTTTGATATACACAACTATAGCACTTATAAACTAGACACCAGCTGTTGCAATTAGCAAATAGCCAAAAGAAAAATTCTTACTACCAAATGAAGACAGCGTAGTAACGATAATAAACTTCTCTCCCCCAAATATCTGGGTTGGATAATCTAAAACTTAATTAAAAATATTTACTATTTTAAATTACAATACTGTAGGTTCCCTTTGCTAAATCATTATCATATCTAGCATAGAGCTTTCTAACCAGCGGTAAGGATTGAATATTAAACCAATTTATGATTTTTTCTATATAGAATATCAAGTATGACATACCATCATCTAGATCCAACCATTATCTAAATTAAGAATTCTAAGATCTAGAATACTTATAATCTAAATCAACAGAAAACGCAATCCCTGTTGAATTAAGAGCTAAAGATGTGGCAGTTTCAGTGTTAGCATCGAAGAGTAGGAAAGAATCTAGTTTAATCTATTTTATATACCATTAAAAATATATTTAGCTGCTATACCACAAGGACTGACTTTCTTATTCAAGTCTACCATAAAACCAGCATAACTTTTATTGAACCCAACAGGTCTCTAGAGAGATTCGAAAGATTAAGTGTCAGGACAATATACATCATATTCTTCATCTGTCAATTCTTAACCCTTCATTTATTTTGGACTAATTGATTACGCAAAACTTATCTATTAATTTTCTAATATTACTCAGAGTGACTTGTGTAAAACTCATTTAATTCATAGTATATAAAGAATGGTCCATAAGTGTTTTTCTCAATTTCAAAATTAACAATACATTGCTACTTGCCTTCACATTCCTTTCCATAATTCAATCTAATCTGCATGTATATAATTATTATTACTTCGGTTATACTGCCTGCTATTCCTACAAAAACTAAACCAAAGATAAGGAAGTAAAAACAGCAAACTATGTTACAAAATAAACTGCATTTTCCTGTTGGCAATACAGGCATTCCTTAAATATAATCTCCTGAATATTTTTGCCACAGAGACATCTCATCTTCTTTAGTTGGATACAAAAAGTCATCATCTTTGAATGCCTCATACGGATCAGTCGAAGCTCTTATTAATTTTAATCTTTGATCTTCTCCCTTTCTGTCTTCGGACATTTACTTTCATTTTATTCAATATATTACACCCATTGTCATGGTTTACGGTAAAAATAAGCCATGAACATTTGGAGTATTGGATCCGGAGAATTAATCATCATGAGCTTAATTTTAAGGCTGTTTAGACTATTTCATTAAATTTATAATAGAATCCTTATTAAGAATTTTTGATTATATTTGAATCATATATTTTAATCAGATTTTATAAATACATAAATTTTGGTCTACTCTCAACCATTCAAATTATGGAAAGTTGTCAACCAGCTTTAGCGAAATCTTCTTTCCAAATGGACAAATAATTATTTAAATCTATAATCACTTTTTGTAGATAAAATCATTTATACTCTTAATGAATAAATAATTCAAATTTTTCTCAGAATTTCTAAAGAAAACTTCTATATCTTGAAACAAAATTGATTTTTCAATTATTAGAATATCTACTGCACATTAGATCCCACTATCTTGATAATCTTAATAATTATTATTGCTAGCATCTGTAAAAAAACGTTTGTTCTTTATATGGATTTCAATATTCATCCAACTCAAAATCTAATTTTTAATTATGATTTCATCATTATTATTAGAGTATCATGAAGTTTGACATTAAGATGAAATTCCCATTCGATGGTTATATAATGCTTCAATAACACATTTTAATGGTGGACACTTTACATATAAAAACTTTGTAATTACCTTTAATGAGATTATAAGAATGGATAAACAAAAATAAAAGACAATTTATAGAAAGTTGTATATTCTTATGGTGTTATCGATTAAATTTAATATTTGTTATAGATTTTTAATTTTCAAATGGAGACAATAAATTTCTAAACTTTATCGTTTTATTCTTTTTTATTTGCTCTATATAATTTAACAGCATCCTTTTCTGAAACTAATTTTAAGATTTTCTCATTGAATTCTATGATGCAATCTTTTTTAATTTTATACACTTCAATTAATTATTTCACAAAATCTTCATTGCTTAAAGTATTTTCTTAAATATCTAATGAATAATATTTTTAAGTCTCATTATTCTTTGAATTTTAATTATCCCTATTGCTATTTTTGTTATTTTTGATATTTTTGTTATTTTTGTTATTTTTGCTGTTTTTTATATTTTTTTGTTCTTTATTGCCCCTATTTCTAAATTATTGAATTTCATTCTCAAATTTTTCACCTTTTTCTTATAATTAATTTTTAGTTTATTATTATTCCTTCACATTTTCTGTAGCATTATCCATTTTATCATTTTAGTTTTCTGTTACTTTTTGCTTATCTTTATATCCTTTTAAATTCTATTACTGATTTTTATTTTCCTAATCTTATTATTTTCTACATTAAACTTCTGGTTATTAATTTTCTTTTAATTATTTTTTATTGTTGCTCTGATATAGTTGTTAATATTATTCTGAGTGTGCAGCATCAAATGTATGATTAGAATAATAAATATTAGACGATTCTATAAGCAAATCAGAATTCATATTAAATTTCATATATTTTTTTCCATCTTTAGACAATGCAATCCAACCACTTGGTTAGCCTTAAGAATCATAGTAACAACCATCTAGATCGCACCAACTAAGTTAAAAAGTCTAATTACCCTCCATCTTAATCCAATAAATAAATAGTGTTAGTCTATTCATCAGGAAGTCTAAAACCTTAATGATTTTGAATTTCCTCATATTTATTGAATTTATTTTGATCATGCTTTTCAAATAATAATTGTGGATATTCTGATTCTTCCATAATTTTTAATTTTAATAATAAAAATTTTAGATTCTTATTATACATATTTTATTCAGATGATTATAGAATTTAGTATTTTAGATTTAAACATAGATTGAATCAAAAATGATAAAAAAATCATCAATTTTATTTTTTTACAAGGTCAAATATATTTTATGCATTATTTTTTTTTTTTTATTTAGCAAACTTAATAAAAAAATATTAACTAAATAATAGTTTGAATTAGAAACATTATAAAACTACTACTTGATTTATTAGTTATTTGGATATAGATTAATATTCATTAATTACTATGTTAGTTTATATCAAGTAGAAGTAGATTTTATAATGAATACCATTAATTCATCCATGTTTTAGACATAAATTATAGAAAAATTAATCATCAATAAATTTAAATATAGAATAAAAAGAAATAGAATCTCATTTTATAGATCATAACAAAAATTCTAAGAAATTAAAAATTATGTTGAAAAAAACAATCTCTTTTCCTTTTAAATCTGAGAATTTAAACCAAACAAAATCTCCTTTAAATACTCAATAATAATTGAGAGTCTAGAAATTTATGAATTAAAGGAATTCCTTTAATAAATTTAGGTGTTTTTTATATTATATATTTATATATATTTACATATAATTTTTTGTAAATTTTCAATATGGAACTTTGTATTTAGGGTTGTCTGTTAAATTTCCTCTAATGGCTTGTTCTAATTCAATGGATTAGAAGAGGGATTTGAAATTACCTGCTCCAAATCCTGAATGATTTCTTCTTTAAATGATTTCTATAAATAAGGTTGGTCTGTCCTCTAAAGGTTTAGTAAATATTTGTAGGAGATAGCCTAGAAATATTAAAATTAAATATACCTTTGTCATCATAATCAACCAAAATCTTATTCTTTTGGATTACATCAATATCTTCAGCAATCTTGAAATTCATATGGGGGATGTTCTTTCTCAAATTATCATAATAAGTATCAGGGATAGAAAGGAAATCAAGTCCTCTAGCTCTCATAGCTTCTACTTCCTTTAGGATATTGTCTGTCTTCAATGCTATATGTTAAACCTTAAATATAAAAAAATAATTACTCCAGATCCAGTGTAATAGTCAACATATTCTTAAATCTAAGATACTTTTCTGCCATGAGCTGGTTCATTAATTGGCATCTTAATGACTTCATCATAATCTGCGACCACAATTGATTAAAGTGATGAATAATCAGTGTGGAGAATAGAATCGTCAACTGACCAAAATCTGTGGAAATCCAATGTCTTTTCATACCATTCGGCAACAGGAACCATTTCATGTTCGGGTTGATTACCGACAACATGATCTACCACTAAAAAGTCAACTGGTGGTAGGAGTGAATTGATTGGATCTACCTTTGGATGTTTAGTGAATCCAGGTAAAAAGAATCCCTTGTAATCATTTCTTTAGACAAAAGTGTGGATGGTATCACCATAGGTTTAAATGGAAGCCAAAACAACGCTTCCATTTTCATCCTTATCCTCTGTTGGTGGTCTAATTGATTTGGCTCCTTTGGCAATTGCTTTATCATAGAGAGCTCTGGCATCTTCAACTCTAAAAGCAACATCTCTCACACCATCACCATGTTAAGATTAGTGAGTGTTCATTATTACATTTTCTGGACTATAAGGACTTGAGAAAGCGAAGAATACTCCTTCACCATTTCTTAGAACATGTGTTGCCACATCTCTTACTCCTGTTTCGAGTCCTCTATGCAATTAGACATATCAAAATACCTATAAGCATAATATTGGAATCCGAAGCGTGTCACATAAAATGAGGCAGCTTGGTAAGCATTTCCAACCCAAAAATGAATGTGATCAAATCCCAAGAATTTACCACCATCTGGTCTTTGCTTAAGTTAGTCAGCCATTGTCTTTCACTATTTTTAATATATCTTATGATATAAATTTATGTGCCATATATATATGATGAAATATTTATAATGACGTATGATTTTTATTTAGTTTAATATCATTTCTCATAAATTACATTTTACATTATATCATCTAATACGCTAAATTTATTTTAACTTTATTGAAGAATTTACTAATTTCCTAAAATAAGATTTCATGAAACCTTTTTACTAATTCTAAATAAAATAATTCCTAAAAGGGTTTCATCTAATATTTTAATATCGCTATATTGTCTCTTCATTTAGTTAACTATCTTAATATATTTATTATGTATTTCTCTTAGAGCTTTGCAATAATATACTAAAGCTAATAGAGTGTTGCATCAATTTGTTGAACTTTTACTGTAAATCTTAAGAGAAATGAATTTATTTTAATATTTAAGATGTTATATATGTTTATATCAAAATCTTGAAAACTAAACTTTGTTAAAATGAATATTGTGAAATTAATTTAAATTGCTGAAATTCAATAAGGAATTGGTTAGCTCCTTTCAAATGAGACTAAATTGGCCTTTCCTCCAAAAACATAATCATACAATTCCTCCATTTTGTCAAAAAACTCTTTTCTATTTTCTTCTATGTTTTCAAATTGATTTGCCTCTTCCTCATCTGACTTCATGTCTGTATCAAATAAGATAGTAGTTAATCCTTTTGTTCTAATTTGACCTTCTCTATAATAATGACCCCTAAAAGATTTCAATTCCTATTTATCCATTTATTTAATTTGCTATTTGGAAGCATTATTACAAACCTTATGTGTAGCTGTTGAAATCAGATCATAAGAATTCTATTTCAATTTATTGGTTTCAGATTCAATTTCTTCTGAGTTAATAATTTCATAGGATTTTTACTTTTATTTTAATTACAATTATTATTATTATTGTTATTATTAATTAGGTTTTTTTTTAAGTTATTTGTTATCTTCATTTTTTTTGTTCTTCTTAATTAACATTGAATATTCTTCCCAATCAGATTTGGCTGCACATTCTTAGAATAAGTTGTATTTTGATTGCCAATCATTTTCCCAGATCAATAATTAATAGATCTTTGATGATTTATTTTCTTCAATTTAAGGAAACAACAAAGGATGCCTTCCTACCTAATCCTAATACAAATTGATGCTAATTTATTTTAATTCATTCACATAATCAAGAAAGAAGGCTATCTTTTTGAATTCTCTTCTGTTAATGACTTTTCTATAATGTTAAAACCTGTCGATTCTTTCATCTTCATGATGTTCAGCTTGGATTAAGAGCAATTATTCAAACTTTTCAGCTGATCGCTTCAACTCCTGAACTAGGAAGTCATCCAGATGTCTATTAATTTCTACTGCTCTTAGGAGAATATGTATGGAGACATAACTTATTCTACTGTGAAACCTTTCTTATCCTAATTGCCTATATTTGACCTTGATCTGATTGAAAAAGGACTAGCACAACAACTTGATGGCTTATAATAAGAAATTACCCACCATTTTACTATATTGATTGACATACAATCTAAATAGATTTACTGATATTTACTTTTTTCCAGTCAATTTAAAGAATTCTTCGTTTCCTGCTTTATGACGCCCTCTACATCGAACTCCAGTTGCGTATAGGGTTTTGAGTTCCTCTTGGGAAAATTCTTCCTTATAATTAGTAAACATTTCCCATCTATGATAACAAATTTCAATAACTTTTTTTTTAAATCAAATGTATTTTACACTTTGATACCGGTTGTTAATTCGAAAATACGAGCAACTTAAGTCCAACTTTTGCACTTTTTTCCTCCATACGTTTCGACAACTTCAATTAATTGTTTCTATATATCTTCATTATACTGAGTTCGAGCTGACATAGCAGAAGATAAATTAAATTTGTTATTTTCGTCATCTATACATTTAGAATTAGAATTTTGGAAAATTATTTTATGCCCAAATCAAATTTTTGCATCCTTTATTTTTATATATATTTTTTTTTTCCAAAAGATAATAATAACGAAGGGTATACTTCATTCTTTAACATTTTATCAAGAAGGAAAGAGATATATTTTATATATATTATAAATCCGTTTTTATTAATATGTAAAAATTATACATATTAGCCTTGCTATTGGCCATAGCGATAGGTCAAGAGAGTTTTCTTGAAAAACAAAAGCATATAAAATAACAGAAGGATTTATCGACAGAAATATATACAATTAAAAAAAAAGGATTACCCACATTTTTGGGAAGAAGTTCAGATGACTCAATTAAAGAATAGTTATCATCTCTCTTGAACTATGAGGAAGCTCTTAAATTAACACCCTCTGAAACGGGTGAGCATACAATCAAATTTGTCGAATCAATGTTTATTATTGATTAACCAAATCCAAATGCAGTCAGAGCTACAGAGAAACCAGACTATCATCTTTTTGAGAATAGCGTATAATAAGAGAAAGTTTATAGCAATGAAAAAGTGACTACATTTTAAGATGGTTGTATTTATGTTTTTAGTGAATGCAATTTCAAGGGAGAACATGCAAAGTCATGTCCAGGAGATAATGTGACATTCTTTGGATTACCTTTTGAAGTGTTATCCATTCATTTACCCGAAGGAGGATCATTGAGTCTAATCTAAGAAAATGGAACGACTGCCTACACAGTTACTAATAAATGTATGAGAAGCAGACCTATTGAATTCCTTTTTGTTGAAGGTGCAATTCAATAATCATTTGGAAATGGATAAATATACATAGACTAATGAAAATATTCATTAGAATTATCAATTTTATTTCATGAAATTCACTCTTGATGATCATCAATTTAAACAATTCTTGATTGCTAGATGTTGCTTTACAGTATTTTCGATTTATTCAATTTTCTAATCTCCATAACTTACTATTTGACTTCATCCTTCACTGATTATTTCTCATTCTCATATTTACTATCAATAACATATCTTAAAATAGAATGTATGATTACCTTTCAAACTTTGTTTGTTTGTCCTCTTCTCTAAGTAGATGCTCATCATCAAATTCAGGGAGATAGGGATCTTCAATGTTGTTTTCATATCTAAGTTGAGATTGAAAGATAAATGGAATCTAAAATTAAAAGAAAGGACTCTCTCCAAAATGACTGAATTTGATTTATCTTAATTAATCATAACTAACTATTCCATGAGTACAAAGAATTTGAGCCAAGACATTCAAAAATTCATTGAGACTTAATCTTTCTGCACAAAGAGACATCATTTGAATTATTTAGGATCCTTCTCTGACTGTAAATTTCTGTACTCTGATCAAGAAAGTAATAAAACTTAAATAGAAGAGTTTGTTTTCTAATGTAATTAAAATTAAGCTTACTTTGATCTCTCACTTTTTCAGCAGATCTATACAATACACACATTATACTATAAGATAAGATTAAGCCTAAGACTTATAGATATCCAACAGGTTCAATCCAAAGCATTGTAATATACACCACAATTAACTCAGTGAAAATGCCACTAAAAAAATAGGTTTGAACATTCCACAGAAACATCACTTTAAATGAGCTATCATTATTATTTTTAAATCAGTACAATATTTTTAGCAATTAGAAAACCCCCAAAAATATAGTTATCCATACATAATAAGAAACATGGGACATTGATACATAGTATCCATTTGAAAATAAGTCATCGTATTCGTGGTTATAGAAGGCAGCACAGAAACAAAAGATTCCCTCAAAAAATGAAATTATCAATTAAATATAAGGTGTTTCGTCATCCCAAATGTACTCATGTATACCATAATCTTCAAATAGAATTTCGAATTAGAGATTGAGATACTTATCAGAGCCAAATAATTCCTTGTATCTTTGATGCTCAAGCTAGATTTCATAGATCTTCTCCCTAATTAACCTTCTAAGTAAAGTGTCTTCTTCCTTATAAATGGCAGGATCATCAATGGCTTATCAGATATTACATCTAAATTACCTTCTTTGTTGAAATTGAATATCTTGAATTACTCCATATACTGAAAACTGTAAGTTAGATGATTATCAAAATAGTCCTTGATTAAAGATCGTAGTTCCTTTTAAGAGAGTCCATCAATTTACATAGAATTTGTCTCGCAATGTATTCTTAATTGAGCCTCGAAGTATTTGCTGAACAAACTGTTAACTACACACAGACTATAAGTGATTTTGTCTGGTTCGTCAGCTATGTAGTTTGACCAAGAAACCCTGTCGATAAAAGCTTTTTAAGTTTAATGCATTTTCATTGACAAAACCTTAAACATCCAAATGCCAAGAGTATGAGAAGCTGCTGCACAAATAACCATTACAAGAGGTTGCCAATCAAATGATTTTTTAACTGAAAGATACTTATTCTAGAATGCAGTTCCTGGGAATGAGTACTAACCAATCTTCGAGTAAATAGACTAAAGCCATTAGGAGGAATGAACAAAATATTGTATTGGGAGTGACGTTGTTGATCCAACTACGAAAGAAGGCTCTGAATAATTGGTAAAGAGCTAAGTAATGAACGATACTGTAATAGGCTAACTTATATTTTATACGATTGTTACTGCGTGAATTGTCAATGCTAATTGAATAAATTCGAATATAGCGCAAGTGAAAACAAGAGAAAATGAAAACCGGAATGGTTAAGCCAATTCATGCGGGGAATTCTTGATTGGATGTTGCAGGCTCAAAATTTTGCTATGGATATTAAAACATCAAATATACTAAATAAAGGCGATGAGGAAGGCAGCAATACACCAAAGTCTAATGAAAAACTAAGAAGCATAAAGAGCAGCGACATCTGACTTAACAAGATATCGTAAAAGGGAGATTGAAATGATTGGCTGTGATCCAAGCCATCCCACCGAATAAACTGCATTTTATAACATTATTAAATTAACTATTTCTAAAGTTTTCGAAATAAAAATGGCCCACATCCCAGTTTACATGATTGGCTGTTCCTCCACTCATTACTTTATTAAACAAACAAGTGTTGAAAAAGATAGAGATTGTAAAATCACATAATAGATTAATACTAATTTTATGATTATATACTTCATAAGAAGTATCAAAATATATTATATACTTCATAAGAAGTAGGGTAATACACTTTTTGGGTTGACGCTTTTGGCACTTTCAGGAACTTCTTTGAATGTCTTCCAAGTTTAATTCAAATTTTCATCCAAACACAAAATAGAAGCAACGTTACCACATCTATAGCAATAATTGGGAGCAGACCAGACAGTCACTAAATTTTAATCCTAAAATAGGACTAAAGAATTACTGGGAACCAATATTTGTAGCCTTCCATGACCAATTGATGTGCTCTGCAAATAAGTGTGAGATCATTGAGTCTGCAAAATTCCTTAGTCACCTTAGCTCCGAATAGATAGCCAGCTCCTCTGGAATTCACAGCCCAGTATTCTACTTCTTCTGGATCAGACCACATCAAATCACAAAAGGGTCCTTCATGGGGGATTTCAATCTAAAATGGGAGAAATTATTATATTTTGATTTACCTTTCTGTCAATGGTTCTTATTTGGTCAATTGTTCTCATGTCTGGCGATAAACCACCGTGAACACATAGGATTTAACCCTCGATCAAAGCTGCCAGTGGAAGACAATCGAATACATCCATAAATAATCTCCATGGACTGCAATTACCGTATTTACGAAGCAACTCTTCATAGAAACCGTAGACCTGAGTGCATTGACGGGATTCATGATTGCCACGAAGCAACATAATCTTGCCAGGGTACTTGACTAAGATTCAAAATAATCATGTTACCTTTCAAACACAAGAGGTACTCCATGGTTTCAACAGAATTATATCCTCGATCAACGAAGTCGCCGATGAAGATGTAGTTGGCAGAGGAGATATCTCCACCTTCTTTCATGAGAGCTTGCAAATCGTAGAATTAACCTGGATGTTATTAACAAGATGATACCATGAATATCTCCACACACATTCACAGGTGCACGTACCGGTTATACGTTGGATTCTTCAAGAAAGATTTCCTTTGCTCTATCGCAGATCAGTTTGAGGTCTCGCTCTGGTAAACACCCTCCGTTTAGGAGTGTAGCAATATGTCTGTCTATGTCCATTTTTGAAAAATAGTTAATTAAATTATTATAGATTAATTAAGTTTCTAAATGCTTAAAAATGATAAACCCGTAATTATAGATGATTAATATTTGCTAACATCTATTTATTATACTGGTAGAAACTCTGTTTACTATAATGCAGTGCTAGTCAAAGATGATCACAAAAGTGCTGACATACTAGTATAGATAGTATACTTTGGAACACATTAAAATAGGTTACTAATCAGTCATAGTGCTATTGCAGATTATATAAAAAAACCAGCGACAGTATAATTCATACTCTAAATAAGATGGTATCACTCCTAACATTCACCAATTTGGCATTCTCAAAGTAGGAGAAACCTCTTATCATTACATTGTACAATAGAAAGCAGGACCCTCATTGAAATTGTGTTTTTAATTGATGAAGCGTAAATTTTCAATTTAGACTACTGCTTTGATTGCTTTGAAAATGGTAATGCTGTGTTAACTAAGTTAAGATTACTCATCTCTCATAATTGCATTCCTTAAATGTAATCCATCGATGCTTAAAATTATCCAATCTAATTACTACTCTCTCATCTGATATCTATTTCACTCACTTCGAATATTCCTCAAAATACATGGATAAAAACGGCAAGATCCTACTCAACAACAAAAACAAACTCAACCTTTATATCAATAAATTCTCATCCATTGGGACACATTTAAAACAATGTAAATTAACATCCTTTATATCTAAGTTCCTTGTCCCAGAGATGACCTAGAATCCTTATTCTATGTTTTGTTACACATCATTACCTCTGGCAAATTTCTGCCTTCTTAACCTAATGTGAAACGCTCAGAGAAACTCAAATATTATTACGAAATAAAACAGAGATTCGTCCCTGAAAGAGAATTAAAGGGATTCCCAGAATAATTCCTATAATTATATCATGCCATCAGGTTGCTGTCTCCTCATGAATTCCCTAATTATGATCTATTGAAACAACCATTTTTTTAATTATTAGGCCAAAATGATCTACAATTATAATTTGATTGGATTCATCTACTCAGACCCAAGAAGAGAAATAGTACATCCCTCAGTCCTGTCAGAATCAGTAAATTAAAACATGCTGGCAGTGTTGATAATATGGCATTTATTCAATAAATCAAGAAGTAAGATTCAATTACAGATGCTATCTCTCCAGATAGATAAGGAAAATCAACGATGAAGCATTTTGCATTCCCCACCAGTAGAAATACGACTGCAAACTAATTGCCTGCTATACAAGAAAGGCAAGAAGGAACCCAAAATTCTATTAATTAATAAAACCAATATAAGAAGAAGTTCGGAGGACTCTCCATTGTCATTTGCAAACAGTAAGACATCAGTTCCTCATCCTCAGGCAATGTGAGTTCTATGAGTGATGACACTTCAGAAGTTGACACAAAACCATTGAATGGAGTCATTGGTAAACTGGATTTTGATTGAAAAGTATGTATATTAATTATTTATCAACTAATATGGAAGAAAATCAAAATCTAAAAATTATTCTTCTTGGAAACTCAAATGCTGGCAAAACAAGTTTAATCATCAAATTCAAAACAGACAGGTTCTCTACAGATTCTGTCAACACTATTGGAATTGATTTGAATATGGAGAAAAATGTAAAGATTAACAATCAGCTTTACGATATTGCTATATGGGACACAGCTGGATAGGAAATCTATATTAAGATGGTCAAATTTTCAGCCAAAGTATATGCATTCCCTGAAGATATTTATAGGATGCAAATACAGCAATGATTTGCTTTGATTTGAGTGAGTCCAATTCTCTCGAAAATGTTGCCACCTGGATCTAATTGCTAAGAGAAGAAGGCCCGTAAAATATTTAAATAATTATTATTGGGACCAAAAAAGATCTACCCACCAAATATACTTAAGAGTAACTTTAACAAGTATAAAATGCATGGAAAGCTAATTTTAATTATGATTTTCCTATGCTATTAACTTCCTCCAAAACTGGAGAAGGTCTTAAGGAGGCTTTTCAAACAGCCTTTGAATTAGGAGCAAAGGCTAAATAGGATTCCACTATATAACAAGATTAGTAGGCCTATAAAAGTTTTAAAATTAGTACATCTTAAATTAAACAACAACCATAAAACTAAAAGGTTATTGCCTTAATCTCTAATACTACAACTCCAAAGGGCAGTGAATTGAATCCTAAATCTGAATCAAGTTGCTGTTGAATTTATTTTAATTATAATTAATCATGAATTAATGGCTCTTATAAATTTTAGCATTTATTTAATTATTACTCTTTCTTGAATGGATTAAAGATAAAGAGAGCAGATATTTGAAGAAGTTTGACTTTTAAAAATATTATAATATTTTAATATCTTAGAAGAAGATAAACAACTATATATTCAAGTGAATATGTTTTTAGGTATTAAATACTGATAGTTCTTGAATGTTCTTTCTGATTTTTAAGTAAAATTGTGGATAAAGTTATTTAATTAATTATTTAAATATGACAGATAGAAAGGCTTGGAATTAAAAAGTATGTAACCTTAAGATTGCTCTATTTTAGGAAGACATGGCGATTCTATAATTAGTTAAGTAGTATGGGATAAAGAAGTGGACAATTGTGGCAGAAAAGATGAAAGAAGTTTATGGACTTTTCGGAAGGTCTGGAAAATAATGTAGAGAACGGTATCATAATCATCTTGATCCAACAATTAATAAAGAGCCTTGGAGTGAAAATGAAGAAAGAGTGATCTTTGTCGCACACAAAGAACATGGCAATAAGTGGGTATGAAAATAGTTAAATAAATAATTAGGCAGAAATTGCGAAACTGCTACCTGGGAGAACAGATAATGCAATCAAAAATCATTTCTACTCTACTTTAAGGAGAAGTCTTAGGAGAATCAATAAACTCATTGGAGACAAGAATAGTAATCCGCATGATTATATATTTAGCAAAGAAAAGGGTACCCAACAGATCAAGGATATCAAGCCAGGAGTCTTGTCTAAGATTTTTATACTCGCAGAAAAAAACCCATCTGAACTAAAAGATGATCACATGAAGAAGTTATGTTAGGCATGCAAAGGATTACAGGACTCCATCTTAGAATTCGCTTAATCCAAGTAGAAATCTCACATTAATCAATTCAATGAGGAGAAATTCAAGCAATTAATTGACAAAATTATGGAATTCAAGTATTTCTTGCAATTATCCTCAGTGCTCTTTACACAAAGCAAAGAGAAAGCAGATTAAAATTAAAGAAGAAAAACCACAAGAAGAGAAAAAGCAGAATAGATGATGACGATGACGACGATGATTATACTAGTGATTACAAATACGAAGAAGTTAGTAATTACGTTCCTTTGAAGAGATCTTCTAGACTAAATGCAAAAAAGAAAGTGGTAGAATTTTCATCTCATCTATAGCACATTGATAAAGAAGATTACATAGATATATGCATCAGAACCAAAAAAGGTCCTCTCTTCAATATCATTCGTGATGAATTCGAAATCCAACAGGACAATGAAGAAGTACGACTATCCTAATAAACCTATAGCAATAGTCCTCCAACAATTATCATTAACAATACATCTATGATTATCAGGGAACCAATAGTCCCAACAATCAGCAAATGACTCCAGCCTTCCCTGTTTTGACTCCCAGACAGATATTCTTTTAAAAACCCACTAATCCATATCATGAAGAATTAGGCTTGCATGATGATAATAATCCCTTGAGTAAATCTAATTTTGTTCCTATTGTCATCACCAAACCTTACACTTAATGCAGAGAGAAAAACCTTGATAGCATTGCCTAGTAATTATAGCAAAAAATAAGTAAACTTCTAAATCAATCTTAGATGCCAATGCCGATAAATATATATATAACTAATAGGTCTCACAAGATTCAGATTTGGAAATCAATATTGGAGAGGCTTTTGAAATTTAAAAGGATTACAAATCCCCAACAAGTAAATTCGGAATTGGTGGTTACAGTCCAAGTGCATTTAGAAAGTATAAAAAGGATCAGGAGACTGGTTTAGTTAACTTCATGGTTACACCTCATAATTATAAATGATGTATTGATTAATAATGTTTTCAAAAAATCCCATATACAAAATGAATTTTCATCTAATTTTTAATATATTATTTTTATTTGACCTATTTATATAATTAGTATATTCCCTTTATCAGTATTAAATTGATTAGTTCCATTTTTTATCTTATTATTTTAATCTAAATTATTCCTTCAATAAGAAAAACCTTTTACTAACATATTTCTCGTTATTTTATTTATAAACTATTCATCAAAAAATACTTTTGCTCTTTTAATTTAGTGATAAATCAGACTTCAATAAAATGAATAAATATTATAACTCTTTTTCTCATTATAACCAGAATTAATTTATTAAACTTGTAAGAGTTTGAGAATAATATAATTCTGAATGATAGAACAATGAAGGATTATTAATTAAATTATTTAATGTTTAAACCATTAAGTGGCAAGGTTATCACAGTTATAGGATCATCTGGATATGTAGGATCTAATGTAATCAAAAATGCTCTATAATATGGGGCAATAGTGAATGGAGTCTCTAGAAGTGGATAACCAACAAACCAATAAAATTGGACTAGAGAGGTAAACTGGATTAAAGGTGATGCAATGAAAGCACATGAATTTAAAGATGTTTTATAAAAAAGTGATATTGTAATTCACACTATTGGAACACTAATCGACTCATCAGTTTTAAACAATAAAAAACCGTATATTTCATATTGACTAATTTAGAGGTGATCAAGGGACTTATGAATAAATGAATAGAGACACTGCTTTAAATGTTGTGAAAGAATTGATCAATACAAATGTAAAGTTTGTTTATGTGAGCGGTTCTGCTCATCCACCCTTTTTAAAAAGATACCTAACCACCAAATAAGAAGTAGAATAACATATTTAGAATCTCTATCAAGTATTCATGAAGATTAGCATTTTTAGCAATAATAGCTGAATCCTATCATTGTAAGACCAGGATTCATTTATAGTTTAACTTAAAGATGGTGGAGTGTTCCTCTAAAATATGATTTGGCAATATGGAAATGCGTACATGACAATGCTTCAAAAATAATTCCTTAAAAATCATTTGTGGGATAAATCTTCAATGAATTCAAAGTTGATAGTTCAATTGATTTATAAGATGTCGTTGATTCATGTTTGGCTCCTTTAAAAATAGATTTGGTTGGAAAATCATTAAATAATTAAGAAATGGAAAAAGTGGCTTAACAGTTTAGAAATCTGTAATGATAATTAACAAATCTAATTATTTCTATAAATTAAAAATCATTGAAACCCATATTAGGTTGATCCATCAATGCTAAATGGCATTTTAACTACATATGCAGGTAGATTCTTTTCTCCTTTTCCATTTATTAGAGTGCTGTAAACTTTTATTTCTGATTACTCGAATAAGCTATAATAAATATTATTCAATGGTCCATAGTCATCAAATAAATTAGCCATGAATATATTAGAATCAACAGCTGTCCAATTTCCCACTAAAGTTGTCATGTGAGGGAATTTGTTTTCTATAGGCACTGCATAATCCTCTCTCCTAACAACACATGCGATAACTCTCTTTGGCAATAAGGCTACGGCATAAATTTACATTTCTTATGGGAGATTTACTTTGAAATTTTTATAATACTCTGATTATTCTGCATCTTTATTATCTCCTATATAAAATGTTGTGATGTGAAGATTAGGAGGAGATCTGTATGTTTTATTATTAGTTAGTTCATAGTACATATCTTTAATTAGTTAATTTCTTACATTAAACATCTTAATCTTAAGGGTAGCGATTCATCAATATTTTAACTGCATCCAATACTTTTAATCTCATGTAAACTCTCGATTCTGATTAATCATTTGCAAAGATTCCCAAGTATAATGGAAGTGCTTGAATTGAGGCAATTAAGGAAATCAAAATAATATTCATAAATATTTTAATATTCTAATTTTAATCTTATAGTCTCAATAAAATCAAGTATACTCTTTTTATACAATAGATATCTAATATAATTTATGCATTCCTCTTTTCGCATTATTGGACTGCGGAATAGCTGCATATTTTTAATTAGTAATATAAACTCCCTTTTCTGATGACATTCTAACAATAAAAACTATTTTATTTTTTTTTCTGATCTTTCAATGATATAAAATCAACAAATAAATATATTTCTAAGATTTTTTATGCAAGTAAAAATTAGAATAATAAATTTAAAATACATTTTATATTGAAATTTTGCCATGACATAACATCCTGTATTAGTTGTGGTTATTATTTAGTATACATTATAATAACCATATTTGTTTTTAATGTATAATTTATTCAAACGAATATATTATGCTTCTAATCATCAGCTTTTTCATTTATTTTAACACTTTTTTACATTTATTTTCATTATTAAGGTATAAAAATTCTCTTTCTGTTACTAAAAACTGACTGCTCTCTGATATAATACTAAGTTTCTGATAATATAATCAAACAATCTGATGATTTTTTTTTTCTTAAGAAAATGCAAAAATTGATTAATTCTTTCTATTTTTTATATGTATTTGTGGCATATTCTTGCTCTTTTTTTTGTCTAAAGCATGTAAGCAAGATTAAATTATTTTTCTGTTTTTTTTTCAAAAACTTAAAATTGAGGAATAGAAAAATCATCTCAAGTACTAACTAACGTAGATTTGTATCATTCCTGAGTATTACTTTATTTATTTATCAACATCGATCATCCTAATTATTCCGAACTAATATAAACTGATAATAATAACAATATTGCATTAATAATAAGAAATAAGTAAATATTATTATTACAATTTTACTTTTTATGCCCTATAAAATCACTAGTGGGTGTTTGTAATTATAAAAAGACTAAAAATTCTATTCAATAAATATTTATTTCTAATTTTATATATTTACTTGAAATTGTTAAAGATATCTGTAAATTTTTATTTTACTAGGGCTTTGTTGTTCACTAATCTGCATTAAGAATCTAAAACAAATAGTGAATCATGAATAATGAAAAAAGAGAAGACATATTCAAAATGAATCAATTAATAGTGATATTATTGTATTACTCAGCGATAATTGTTATACCCTCCGAAAATTTATGTCATATTCTAAATAATAGAGAATTGCTTCTACTATTATTTAAAATTAAAACTCGGCCTTTTATATTCATCATTAGTTTAATAAATAAATTATTAAATAAATTGTACATTCTAAATAGTATTTAAATGCCGATTTTAGTATAGATGATATAATCTAGCAAATATAAAGAGTTTTGATGTAATTTTATTTGATGTTTAATAAATCAATATTTCCTGCTCCAAGGTTTGTCATCAGGGATTTCAGATTTTGGTTGGAATTGATTGGCTTTAGCTTATGGGTTTTACTCAAAGTACTTCTTAGCCTCTTCATAAATTTAGTAATCTTCGCCATATTTTTACATATCTAGGAGATTGGGATTTATGAATACTTTCAGAAAATTAACTTAGATCTTATTCATATTGCTCTTGTTGACTAAAAAGATTTTCAGAGTCCATAAACATTGGTGGTTATTATTTCATAAACACTCTCTATTCGATGAATTCTTCATCCTCATATTCCAGAGGGAAATTCAACTCAGCTACTTTTTAAAGAGCCTCCTCTTCAGTTCCTCTTTATTATTTTATTAGTCTCTCATCTGTGTCAATGACAACCTAAGATGAACATTGAAAATACTTGTCTGAAACTCTTTGAAGTTTCTTCACCATGAACTTATGCTAATTCCAATAATTCCTATTTATATTCTCTAAGGATTTGCAATTCTTGAGGTGTGATATCTCTTAAATATTTGGCAGGAGACCCAGCCCAAACCTCTCCTTATTTAATTTGAGTGCCTTCTGGTACAAGAGATCCTGCTGCGACAATTCCTTAGACAGAAGCACCTTATTTAATTGTTGATCCCATTCCAATAAATGCATCATCACCAATTAAACAACCTTATAAATTTGAATTTGGTCCTACGTAAGAGTTATTTCCTAAAGTCACTGGTTATGTTGCCCTGACATAGACATTATCTTGTATTAAGGCATTTTTGCCCACTGTTATAGCATTTTAATCAGCACGCAAAGTGGCACCATACCAGACAGAGGAGCTAACGATGAACATTTCTAATAATACTTCTGCTTTAAAATAACATTTCCAACTAAAACTGAATTAGGGGCAGTAAATAATGCTTCACTGATTTATGGAGTTTAACCATTAGCTTGCACTTTTCTCAAACACTACACTAAACGATCATCGCTGGCTTCGCTTCCAAGGATATCATTTCCTTGTGAGAGGAGGCTTTTTCCAATTCTCCTATAGTATGGCCCGACTGTATTTAATACAAAGGAATCAAATAATTGGAGAATCTTGACTTTGAACATAATTATTTATGTAATATTAATAAGGAAAAGTATACCTTAGTCTTTTTATAATAAAATTTAGACAAACAAGAAAACACTCAATAATAAATATTCAAACTCTTATCACAGAAAATAAGGGTCTAATTGTAGTTAGTATGGGAGAAGTAGATCGTTTAATTATGATTTTTGTTTTGACCATGTCTCTAATATTCGAAGTACATTAAGGATTATCAGTAGAACTAACTAAGCAACTTGTGCTTCTGCCAATTCTAATTTTAGCTTATTCGATTTCTGTTTGAGTGAGTTTGCTCAAATTATCATTCTGAAACTCTTAGAGTTCTTTGAATTATTCGTTATCATCAAATTGCACTTAATCTTCTTCGAATGAGTTTGCAAACTATCGGGCTCCCTTGTTTTCACCCTTTTCCACTTCTTCTTTAATTGAATTTTCCAGATTCATATTAAGAATTATATTATTAATATTAAATTGAATGTTAGCTAATGACACAACTCGAGAGTGATTGGGTATTTTGTTATGTATCTAACCAAATAATTCAGCTAAAATTAAATCAAAAGGTATAATTACTAATTAAATCTCTTGGCACAAAATTGTCTCCATAAAACTTTTATTATTATACGACGTCTTCCTTGTAGATTAGCCAGAACCATTATTATTTTTTACTTTTGAATTCAATGGCATCGCCTTCTCTCTTACCTTTAATTATTTACCCATAGAAGGTATCTCCATTTTTGTAATGCTGAACGCAGAACCCATCATATTCCCCTTTCTTTGTGAGTCCGTAGGTTATCATGTTAGTAAACCTTTTGATTAGTATTTTATCGCCATAGGAGTTGTTTTTAAAAGGGATTACTTTATAGAGGAAACTTTTATTATGTATATTCTCAGAGTCGATCAAATTTGAATTGTCATCAAAATGCAATTTAATACACGAATTCTACAACTTGTAGATTCCAATGTTAATTGGCTCAGAGTCTTTGAATTCCCCATAATAATATGCTAAATTATATTGGTTGTTATTTACATCCGTCGGGGTTTATTAGCAAACCAAAGCCTTGGAGATTTCCTCTAATAATGGTTCCTACATAGAGAGAACCATCAGTTTACAAAAGCATGTCTTTATCAAGGATGGAGGTTTAGAATTATTGCATAAATAAAAATTAAATAATTAAATGCTACCCAAAATATAAGGATAATCAGTTGGAAGAAAAGAGAATTTGGCATCTTAATAGATTGTCGAAGATCATTTAAAAAATATACTAAAAAAACAAGAAAATCAAGTATTTTGTTATTCCAAAACCTTTTAGAATTACAAGGCATGGAAGACACCCTATGCTCCCAAGAATCCTCATTCACCATTTGGGGATTTTCCAAAGGAATACATCCCAAAGGAGAAAGCCAACAAGCAAAAAGTGATGGAACCTGTTCATGAGACCACTTAAAATGCCTTGATTACTAGTAAGAATGGTGATTTAGCATTTTAGATAAATATTAAGGGACTCATTAGGGAACAGGGGGAAGAACAAGTTCATAATTATTAAAGAAGGAAGAGTATAAGCCAGCACCACCAAAAGCAGGAGCCTATGATTAAAGAACAATTACAGTTTCAGATTTCAGGAGATATTACGATAGAGGAGATTTACCAATTAAGGTAACTCATACACAGTTATATTGATAGGTTGATCATTAAGGGAGTGTCAACAGAATCATCTGGAAGATATCCCCAGAATAATTAGACTATCACCATTATTTGCCCATCTTCTTTGATGGATTAAGGGTATGACCACTTTATTAAATCAATAGGAAAAAATGGATCCTTACAGATTCTTAGCCATTTTGGGCACGTATGGTTTACTTGAGAGTGGGGGTAATAAGATATTGCCCGTAATTCCATAATTGATTATTCCAATTAAAAGTAAAAGCAATCTTCTATTTCGATAGCTAATTTAAACACAAGAGATATAAACATTATGGAAGTGTAATTAAAAGTTTTACAGAAACTTGTATTGAGTGGAGAAATGGTGGGCGAAGCGTTAGGTGAGCATTACATATATATATATATTAGTACCTTATTACAGATAATTGTTACCAATAATGAACTTATATAAAAACAATAATTCAAATATAGGGGATAAAATTGAGTATAATCAAAGGAAGAGAGTCAATGTTGGGGATTTAATATAGGAAACACTTGAACTTTTTGAATAAACAGGAGGAGAAGTAAGTGTTTGATGGATTATTTAATAGGATGCTTACATAAACATAAAGTACATGATACCAACATACGAGAGCTGCATTTTAAATTGATTAAGAATAATAATATATATATTAATGATTAAACAAATAATTCTCATATTATTAGTTGTTTTTGTTATTCAAGCCAAACATTAACATTTAAGACACAGCAAACATCAACTGGGTCACAATTTAACTATGAAACCAGGTATGATTTTATATATCTGTAAGGCGAATCCTGCCTACCTAACACTGATTTGGGGGGATAGAAAAAGGAGGAAACATCGGCTAACCAAGCAAGAAAACATTTATCAGTAATTAGAACTCTCATATTTCTTAGAAATTCGCTGATCACTTGACAGAAGAGAATAGAAAAGCCGAGGATAAATAACCATTCCCTAACATTTATACATATTAAGATTAAAATTGTGTAGGAAACGGATAGGATCCATCAAAAAGAGACAGAAGAATGAGAAGAAGTTGAAACCAACTTTTGATATTAATAAAACATTATCATTGAATTTCAATTGCTTTCCAAAGAGTGCAAGTATCTTCAGGCTTACCAGAATCAATACTTAGTAAAGAAACTACAAATAAACCTTCAGAATTGCATAAGTTGGCATTTGTTTACAAATATTACCCAGAGTCTAAGTGTCGTATTCCTAAACAATAGTAGTAGATTTTACTTATGTTGTCTTTGAATTTTTCAATTTGCCAAACATCCCCATTTTCACTTCCACCCACATTGATATAGCCATTGTTACTGTTTTGTTGAACCTTTAAGTAACATTTAGTTAGAGGATGATATAACTATCACTTTAAAAGCTAAATGAGTACTTTAATTAAATTCTCATCTACATTTTCGACAGACCAATTGTCATAATCATTACCACACTCTTAGCAACAGATCACTTCATTCAATCGAGAATTGGGATATCGAATTCTGTGAGAGTGGAGGTATCCTTTAAAATTTACATTTAACAATTAGATTGTGTTATTGCTTATAGAACTCTTTCTCAAATTTGATGTACAAGAAGTTAAATGACTGTCTTTGATTAAACTTTCATCTGGGTTCGATGTACCTGTCTCTTTACCAAGTTCTTCTTTGATGATCATTGTACTCACACTTGGTACCAAAAGAGTTTTGTGCCGATCAAACATACACTGCTCATTCACGCCCTCTTTTATACAGATTCCTTTTCTTGGTTCATAGGAAATTGACGATCTATAAGAACTATTTGGATTTTGTTCTTTTTTACAAAAGTTACCCATTAAATTATCTAATATAAATTACAAACTAGAACAATTAATGTTTCTAATGTATATATACAATATAAAATATTGCTTGACATCTCATCTTTAATACATCATTTAATCTAAGAATTTATTTGCTGAGCAGCTATCGGATCATACTAACGAACAGATTATTCTTCTACTTACTTCTACTTGTTTTTTGGTTAGCTCAATAAGAAAAAGTCTTTAATATGAAAAGTTTGATTTTCATCATCTAAATTTTCCTCTTAACATTACGCCAATGCTTACTCTAAATCTTAGTTTAAGTTTTTATTGGGCGGCTTTAATAGAATGCCCATTGAATGACTTTCTTATAACTTTTTACGTCCAAAGTGATACTGCAAGAACAATTATATTCTTGACAGTTCATATATGATATTAATATAAACAAGTCGTTTTTAAGCCTACTCGACCAAAACTGCACAAGCTTTTTTATCATAATTTACTTTGGAGTTTTTGATTTATTGATAATCAGTGAAATAAAAGCTCAAAACCTAATCTATAAAATTATATTCTAATAATTTCTCATTGTAGTAGAGTATTACATACCTCAACAACAGAAGAATATTGGCAATTGAACCCACTTATGCTAAAACCTCCCCAAGTTTAGGATACACTATCTTTAATTCCTGAGATACAGGATCAAGGCGAAAAATCATATTAAGGTAAGTGTCCATACCTAGAATTTTTTGCCAGAAATTTATAGAAGCAGATGTTGTCAATATATTAGCATCTTGTACAAAGGTTTCTTATTCTATAGACCCTAATAAAACACCATTGTCAATATAAGCCTAGGTTTGCTTGAGGAATACTTAACTTTAAGAAGAAATTACTTTGTCTATAGAAAAATAGTATGACTTTTTAATGAATTCGAATTCTTAGGTTTCTGAATTAAATTATTGTAAATGAATCTAGAATGCAATAAAATTCACAGCAGAATCAAAAAAATTATCAATTTCCTCTTCGCTTGCACAGCTCTAATTTCCAGTTAAATATTTTTTCTCACATCTAACTAATACAAGCATTAATTCTCTCACATTTTCTAAGGACGAGCCATTACTGTTTTGAGACAACGTAAACTGATTTAATCCAAATTTTTTTGTTCCATAATAAGAAATTGATTCATTCTGAGATAGAAAAGAAAATATTGCTGAGGGGAAACCATTTTCAAAATTAATACCCAACGGAGTGAGAATGTTATTTTATTAGTTAAATGGATCAATTTATTAATCTTGGTACTTCCAATAAAAAAATTCAAATAACTTTTGATCTTCATCGTATTATAATTCAGAAGCCAAATTGGCTTTCATTGTGTTTGTTGACTTGGGAAGTAAGCGAAAGGAAATCCACTCATTCATAATGTATGCTAAATAACCTAAACTAGCTGCTAAAATAAAAAGAGATATAATTCCTCCTAATTTAGATTTTTGGCTTTTGACGTTAAGGCTAATTTATTATCTCAACTCCACTCCAAACAGATCAATAAGAGATAAAAAATTCATTAATAAATTATAAATTTAATATTTCTTTTGGCAAATTTTGCAATATCAGGTCCAAATCTTTGTAGGAGTATTTAATTTGTAAGTTTTAAAATCTAAAATTATATAAAAATGTAGATAACTTTAAGAGTTAAGGGTGTCATCAATAAGGAGGGTAAAACCAAATAATAAATTATAAATCAAGATTTTAAATATTGTCATTTTAAACTGATTTTTAGATGACTAAAAGTAAGGGTGAAGAAGTATTAAATTGTAATATTTAAGTTATTGTTTATATGAATATGTATAATTATTTTAAATCATTCACCTTTTAGTTCATTTAGTAATTACTAATTAATTTTACTTTATTTCCTAATAAAAATTAACATATAATTTCTTACTTTCCTTAAAACATTTCAATTTTCAGAATAAATTCACTAATTTTTATTTCTGCATTGTTTTTTAAGACAATTAAATCTGATTCTTGTTTCTTTTCTGCTTAATCTGTTGTTGATAAAAAAACCCAAGTGCCATTTGCTGAATCTCTATCTTTGGATCCATCAAAAATTACCCATGATTTCAGGCTAAAATAATTGGCAACTATACCTTTTTGAATATTTAAATCTGCTTTATTTCCTTGATATAGTGTTGGAATTGATTTTGACATTGTTTTCTTATCCTCTTCCTATTTAAAATTCGATGGAATCCGAATTTTCTAGATGAATAAAAATGTTATTATGTTTTCCGTTATCAATGCCAGAACCATTGAATTTGATAGAAATAAAGGCTACTTTGTATTCTTTGAGCTTATAATAGAAATCTTCAGGTCTAGTTTTTGTATCTTCGCTATCATCATCTTATGGATTTATCCTCTAAAACTTTTGGAATATTGATTAATCATTAAAATGAATTTCATGTTTGCCTACCTTTGGACGATTGAATTTTCTTAACAACCTATAGAAATTATCATCTATTTCAATTCCTTTCTCGTTATAAGATTCACAATGTTGGACATTAAAATTTGTATCACTGCCAATACTATACTTTTAATCATATTTCATAATATTGGGTTCATGTTTTTAAATTTTAAAAAGAGTTCCACACAAACTACCTAAATCTTAAACGTAGGCATGTCTTGGACATCTAAAAATTAGTAAATAAATGTACTCCAAAAATTAAGAAATAATCGATAAGGCTCTTTTAGGCAATGAGGAATTGGATGAAGTTCGTATGCTTTAAATTGCTAATTTGTAGATGAGTTTAATTTTTTGTTCTTTTCTGAAGTAGTGTTTGCAGACTAATTTACAATGAATTCTTGAGATTATTCTATCTTCTGGAAGGGCTAAAAGCTTAGATGATGAGTTCTTACTTATATCATTTGGATAGACATCTGTTCGATGAGATCTTCCTATAAGGATGTCCTCAGAGTCAGCAATCTTATGAGAGCCTATGAGACTAAAAATTCCTTGTAAAATTTACCCATGTTAATTTATGAAGTATTCATTTGAATGATTTGTATTTGGGTAGTTTATATTTCTCAACACAGTAACTTTTATGTAGGGTTCATTTTTGTTTAATTCCTCATTCTGAATTGGAATCGTTCGCTTTTACATATATTTATCGAGGTTGGAGTTCTTTTATCTGAATTTATTAAAATTTTAACCTTGGAGATGAGGGTTCTCGTCTATTTTGATTTTAAAAGTAAAACATAATTTCATCATCCTAATTAGAGGGCCTCGAAGGAAAGCCACTTATCGGTAAAAATGATCTTCCTCGCTAATCTCCAAAGGAATAGAAGTTTAGAAATTAGTTTAATTAAAACTAGGATCCTATCTCTAAAAATGACTCTAGTTCTTAAAGTGGATGAGGAAATGGCGAGAGAAAGTTATGCTGGTTGTTGTTGTTGTTGTTTGGATTATTATTATTATCATTATTCATTATAATAATTAATGAACTGTATTAATAATTTATTTCGATCATATTTTTAAAATCATACACAAAGAGAGCTATAGATTTAATTTTGAATATAAAGTACAAATTATTATCATTTATGTTAAGATTGATTGCATTATTTCCCGTGAATCTTAAAATAACTATTCCCATCCCCTTTAACCACACTATTAGTTGAATTTGGCTATTTCTTGTGAAAATAATTGATGTCCTCATATTCTTTATTCTATTTTAACCATTATTCATATTATTTCTATAATATGAGCATCAATATACTTTGTTATCAAAATATAAAGAAGCATATTTCTTATCCCCTTATTGACTCTCCGATTCCTTCTTTTTTTGTGTTTTATTCTCCCAATTTGACTCTTGCTTTTCTGCCATTTGCTTTGTCATAGGCTTCTTGCTTAATAGGCTCTACCTCTCAGTTATTGGCATTCCAGTTATGATATCCAACTCTACTTAGGGTTATGGCGATCTTTCCATTCTCTAGACTTTCGGGGATAGAGGAGGGCTGTATGTTTATCTTTGAGTTTTGGCCTCTTTGATAATCTGGCTTCTGTCGAATTGAGTGGGATCGTAGTTCTGTTGTCTATCTGCGAATATATTTGAATTGTAGAAGTATTTAACTTATTATTAAGTGAATTATTTTCTAGCACTTTATTAGCGAGGACTTATTAAGTTATTAAATGTTGTACTGTATCCCTAAACTAATATCACTCATACACTTCAAAAAATATCTGGTATAATTATAAAATTAATAAAAATAGAAATGAGTACTGCATATTCTCAAGGAATCATAATAATCTTACCTACTTATTAAACTAGCGATATAATAAATAATGATCATCCTTTTGTTCATATCATTTATGCTATAATGTTAATTATAGAAATAATTGAAGAACTGGAATCAGTACAATTTATTATATAATAATGAACTAAAAGGAGTTAACAAGTCAAATCTTTATTGAACAATATTCAAAAATGATGATTAGAATTCTCTGAAATTCATGAATTAACTTGTTATAAATTCGATTAATCCTCATGGCATTTTCAAAAAGACTTTTAAGAATGAAATTTTTATAGAATATCCCCAATATTCTCTTTATTATATTATTGGAGTTACAAAACAAATTTAGATATATATAGATTATAAAATAGGGTAATATTAATCGATTAAAGACAATAGTCAAAAGATTTTAAGAATTAAGAGAGACAATATACTGATAAAAGTTGAATTTTTGTCATCAAATTTCTATTTTTCCAAAAGAAATGATAATTCAAAAATTTTATTATTTACTTAAATTCAAATATTCTGAGTTAGAATGTGAATCATTTGATTCATTTTTGAAACAGAATATGTACTTTAAGTTATGTAATGAAAATAATTTGTTGAGTATTGTATAATTAAAACAGTAAAGAGTTATAAAACAAGGTTTATGAAATGTAGATAGTAATAAAGAGTTCTTTTCTATTGAGAATTCTGTTCTTTTAATTTAAAAACATTAATTTTTATTTTTTATAATATAATAAAAATATTGGATGAAAAAATATCAAGACCCAAGAGTTAAAAAAGAATTTTATAAAATTTGGGAAACAGCAAATAAAATATTTTGCAATGGAAAAATATTTACTGGGTATCTGTGATAAATAATTAAATTTTAAGTTCCGAGAATCATAAATTATTAGCTAGTGTTAGTTTTATTACGATTCCATCAATTCTATTTTATGTATTTATGTCACCTGTAATAAATAATTGCTATAATAGGAATTTGCTAAGAATGGATAAAATGGGTATACTGTAGTGTTCGTATTGATTTAACTTACCATTTACCTCCTATTATCAATAACAGTTTGTATGGATCCAGGCATAATTCCGAAAATTGTAATCTTTATTTATATAAAAAGAGGCCAGAATATGAAATGGAGGAAGAACTACTTAAAGTGCCCTAAAAATATTCAAAATCAGATTACAGGTTTATTGTAGATTCTAAGATGTTTACAATAAAGGCTCATCAATTTAAATTAAAATATTGTTCAACTTGTATTCAATCCTCAATGAATCTATTAGGTGCAATTTACAGACCAGCAAGAGCATCTCATTGTCCTTCGTGTGATAACTGCGTAGTAAGGTTTGATCATCATTGTCCTTGGATTGGATAATGTATAGGTCGTAGGAATTATGTTTATTTTTACTTCTTTATCATGTCAGTATCTTTTATGCTGATTTTTGTATTTGGAACTTGCATTTCCTATATAGTGGATGAATCAAAGAAAAGAGCTGAATTTATGGATACATCTGATGCAGTATCTGAGACAATTGCCCACAATCCAGTTAGTATAATATTGGTAATATATTCCTTCGGAGTAATGCAAATCATTTAATTTAGTTCTCTTGCTTCGTTGTCGGCTTGTGGCTCTTCCATTCTTATCTGGTCTTAACCAATATGACTACCAATGAATATCTCAAGAAACATTGGGTAGTCGAGAGTAAAAACCCATTTAGAAGGTACTAACACAAATAAATTATAGATAAAATATTTTAAAAAATATCGTTCAAGTACTCACTTGCATTTCCTAACTTAAGTTTTTAAAATTGAGGTAATCAGTTTATGAACCCAAAGATTATATGCAAGTATCATTTATTCTTAATATTTAAGAGTCCAATACACACTTAGAATCACGTTAATGAAGCTAATGACTCATTCAAAAATAAGGATGAAGAGCAAGTATAAACAGATAATAGAAATAAGAATAATTATATTTCAAACAACATTCAAATGATCACAGAAATAAAATCCTGATTATTATAATTATTAAATTCAAATTTATTCTTAAATTATCTTATAATTACTATCACTATTTTACAGATTAACTAATCATTTGATCATAGCTTATAAAATTAATAAAGACAAAAATAAAATTATGAAATCAATCTTATGATTACAACTTCTTTTTTTCAATCATATCTTGTATTCTTTTAACCTGCTCAGTCTATTATATATTATTTAATGACGTAGATATTGATTTCAATAAAATGGCTGGCATTCTAGAAAGATGATGTTAAAGTGCATTTTCAATCCAATCTAAAGTTCTTAATTTATGTAATAAAAACTCAACTTATGTAGAATCTAACCTCTCTGTACAAGGTCCAGTCTTCATCATCGTTGAAATTATGATCTAGTCATCTAATGATGTTAATGCAGTACAATATGCTTCATTAATGTTATTTTTCTAATAATCAAATTATTATTACCTCTATTTACTCCTCTACCTTTTACATTATTTTTTGTTATTAAACAATCTTAGGGTTTTGAATTAAAGGAGATGAGACTTGCTATTTTATTTATTTACCATCGGTAGTAGGAATAGATTAATCTTTATTTCTCAAAGGAGAAACTTCATAAATTGATTTTTAATTATTCTTAGACTCAGTAACACTAATTTCTCTAGAGTTTTGTTCAAAATTAGATTCTTGGAACTTAGACTCAGCCTATGATTAAGACTTTTATGCTATGAAAAATGCATCTTAAAGTTTAGTATTTGATTTTTATGGAACATCGTTGAGAGAGTCAAATATATTTTAATGTTAGATATCATGAGATTATGGATTTTATTGAATTTAGTAAGAATCCTAATAAGATTCAACAGGTAAAACTTTTTATTTTTGAGTTTAAAACTATTAAACCTATTATTAATTTAACTTTTTATCGATAGTTTCTGACATTCTTTCTAAAATCTATTCAATTTTATCTATTCTTTAGTTTAATTGATTCATTTCTAACCGTGTGTTTTATTCTGAAATTTGCAGTTTTTAACTTAATATTTATTCGAAAATGGCATTTTATTTAGCTTTGGCTGAATCATATAATTTTAATAGATCCTGCTTATCCTATATTTACTTTTAAGGTGTAACAGCTTGTTAAATTGATGATATAGGATAGTCTTAACTTTAATTAACATAGTTTCTTTCCTTAGAATTGCTAGATCCTTAAATATTAAAATGATAAGTAGGTTAAATTGCACATTAAGGAGATTAATTTATATTTGAATCTATTAGAATTTGAACAGGTGATGCTCTCTATTCGTTTTCAATCTGATCATTAGAAAGTATAAAGGAGTGTGTTTCATTTTTGACAAGAATATCAGCAAAATTTGATTTCTCTTTATAGAGTTCTTCATCTCTGGGTCTATTCTCAACAATTTAAATATCTGATGTTCTTTCAAAAAATCCTTTATTAGCATTAGATTTAAACACTGATTTGTGTTCTTTAATTGATTACTATTGGTGTAATCGTGAATTTTTAAGTGATGACATTGCTGTTAAAGCGGCATCTCTTACATGTTTAATTTTATCAAATCGCAATTCGCTTATTTTATTAAGGAAATGATCATTTACTTTAAAATAATCAGGGAAAATCACACTTAATGAATGAATTATATCTATTGCAAATTTTCTAGATCTCAACTAAATTAATACCTTGAGCTCCACTCTTCAGAATTCAAGCAGGTTGTGATGGTATGCAAACACTCCTATAAATATGGTTCAAAGATGTCTTCTACACTTAATATAAAACTTAATAAACTCTCGAGTAATCCTTATTAGGTTTTACAATGTGGAGATCTAATTATAAATTGGATTTTAAAGATATACTTTAGAATTTCTAAGGTTTTCATCGTGTATGATCTACAAATTGTCTCCAGTAATTATGCATCAGTTGTTTAAATTATTCTATATAATGATTAAGCACTGATTTATTGAGCAACCCTATTATTATGCATAAAATTAGATTGCAATAGCTCTATAATCTATTAAAGCAAATCATATTTGTTTGATGATGTTTAAATTGTAAATTCATTGATATTTGCAAAGGTATCTGATATGACCTAAATAAATGTAGAATCTCCTAGAACAATCAACACTATTTAATACCCTCTTATATTCTTTTATTTATTATTTATATTATTTTTGGTAGCTACTCTTAAATATCACTACCTCTTATTTCAGCAAATATTCCAAATACTTTAATATAATCCTTTTTAGCTTATTTAGAAATATCATTAGAATCAAGTAGATTGGTTAAAATGGAAAATTGATATTATTGTAATTATGCCATCAAAGCCCTTAACTCGGTATAACCTGTCTAGGCTGTGTTCTAAGAACTAAAAAGTCGTATAATATTGGTTACTGTAATTTTGCTAAGGAAGCTAATAGAATGTTTCTTAAATGCGTATTAGAATCTAAAGCATTGTTCAATCTTCTCGATTTATTTAATGTATTGTTATTCATATTAAAATTTATTTAATTTATAGCTATTTATAATAAAACAATCATAAAATTTTATTCTAATCATTTTACAAGGTTCCTTCTTGGTATTTTACTTTTAAATATTACTAATATAATAAGTTATAAACTGTGCTAATTTTTACTATTAATTTTAAATATACTCTATGTTATCTAGATTTCAATTTCATCAATATTTATGACTAATTTTAGAGTAACCAATGCATAATAATTTAAGGAACTAAAAAAGTAGCATGTCTGATTTAACAATTGAACTAAGTAAAACAGGTAGTATAAACAGAATTTTAATATATAAGACTCAAAGAATATGTGTTATTACTAATTATTAACTTTTGTATTATATCTATATAATAAAAACATAGGTTTTATATTAATAGTTGAATTGATGAGTTTTAATTAAAGATTTATCAACTCTAATATTCTCAAGATTAATTATTACTTTTAATAATAAATAAAATAAGTTTTAATGGCAGAAAAACTTTAGACTTATGGTAGTATCTTCATTAAACATTAGTGAATCGAGAAGAACAACTTGTAAATACAGATAATAGAGCCGAATTCTCATTAGGGAAATTTACACCAATCGAATTGGAATGGGATAAGCTTATAATTAACGCGACAATTAAAGTTGGGAAGGTATATAGATACATAAGCTATTTATAGATGAGTACTTAAAAGTGTTTGTTAAATAACCTAAAAGGAGTAATGAAACCAGCCCATTTCACTGCAATTCTCGGTCCTTCTGGATCAGGCAAAACTACCCTTTTGAACTTTTTATCTGGTCGCTTAATCTCTGACAATTTATAAATATCAGGAGAATTAATGTTGAATGGAAGAAGAATAGAAGATATTGATAAATTTAATGATTAAATGGCTTATGTTATGTAAGATGATATATTGCTCGCAACATTCTCTCCAAGAGGTAAAATAACCTTAAATACTTTTAGAGGCCTTTTACTTTTCAGCTAATATGAGATTAACAATCTCTCCAGAAGAAAAGTAATAAAGAGTAGAAGCCCTGATAAGAGAGCTGGGAATTACAAAATGCGCAGATACAAGAGTAGGAAATACTTAAATTAGAGGAGTTTCAGGTGGTGAAAGAAAGAGAGCAAGTATTGGGGTAGAACTATTGACGAATCCAAGTTTGATTTTTCTTGATGAACCAACTACTGGCTTGGATTCTTCAACCGCCTTATAAGTCATTGATCTTTTAAAAAGATTAGCAAAAAATGGAAGAACTATTGTCAGTACCATTCATCAACCTTCATCTGAAATCTTTAACAACTTTGACAGACTTATGCTGTTAGTAAGAGGAAACATTATTTATTAAGGAGATGCTGAAGAAGCTATTAATTATTTTGGAAATATGGGTTTTTTATGTCCCAATTTTTCAAATCCTTCAGATTACTTTATGAAGCTGATGAATGAAGAAGGTCTTTTAGTTGAGAAAATACAAGCAGGGGAATCTGAAGATTTCGATGAAGCCAAAATAAAAGAAGAGTTTGAAGAAAGACTTAAATAGTTTATAAATAACTATTACTCTTCTAATATGATTAGAGAATTGTAATCAAAAGAGTCTGCTGTTATCAAAGAAAATGATTCTGGATTTCATATTGGATTTATTTAATAATTTGTTTTGATCTACCAAAGATCGTTTTTAAATGAAATTAGAAATCCTATGGATGTGAAATTAAAAATATTTTAATCTATTGTTAATGCAATCATGCTCATGTTGGTTTATTCTGATGTATCATATTAAATTTACTTTAATAGTTAGGAAATTATAATGAAGGATTATAAAATCGTTTTGGAGCACTCTTTTTTATTTGTACTGGTAATGCATTCGGAGGAATCTAAGGCGCCCTTCATACATTTTCTATGGAAAGGCCTTTGTTTTTGAGAGAAAGAATAAATAAAACCTATAGTGTACATTCATTCTTTTGGGCTAGATCTTTGGCAGAATTTCCATTCTAGATTTTATATCCATCTCTTTGTGTAATCATTATCTATTATGTTATTGGATTAAGTGATATTAATGTAGGAAAATTCTTCATGCTAATATTAATTTAATTCTTAACATATCAATATGCAGTGTCATACGGATTACTTTTATCAACTATAATACCAAAAATAGAAGTAGCTACTGCATTAGTGCCTGCTTTAGTTATTCCTTTTATGATTTTAGGAGGATTTTTTGTTAACTAAGATAATATTCCTTACATTTTCTATCCATTCACATATTTATCAATGTTTAAATATGGATTTGAAGCTTCAGTCATTGTAAAATAATTGTCTTAACATTTAATAGAATGAGTTTGACGATGTTATATATGAATGTATGCCAGGATAAAAATGCAATCCTGTTGAAATGTTATCAATCAATCTATCAAAATGGGAATGTTGTTATATATTAATAGGATTGGCTGTTGGAATTAGAATACTTGCCTATTTAGCTCTTCATCTCATTTCAAGTCCTGAAAAACCAAAGCTGAAATCACCTGAATCCATGTAGATTATGAATAACTAAAATTGATAATTATACATATATTATTTGTATCATGAATTAAATGAAATATATAGAATGGATAATCATTCTTACTCTTCATTTTACATATTCTCTAACTCTTCTAATTCCTTTTGTAACTTACATTTTCTATATTTTACAAATTCTACCCAATCTTTTAAATTTAACTTTGTATAGGTATCCAATAGAAATTAATCAAAAACATTTAATCCTTATATTTTTTCTAAATACCACTCAACACCAACGTTTGTTAAATTTTTTCTTATTATCTAAATATCAAAAAACTAATTACACATTATTATTTAGTGTATTGTTCCCACATGGTTTATACAAATTTACTCCATTATCTTAAACTAGGTTCTTACCTCAATTCAATACTTTTTTGGTTTGCTAAAGGTTAGTATTCTTCTATGAAGGAAAAAACTGGAAACTAAATTTAGATAAACTTTTACTGTAAATGGATTTTCAGGATATAATAAGTCTTCGATATTAAAATTAGGTGGTAGATTTGGATTAGTAGACATATATTCCTTTATTTTTTATATTTCTGGATTATTATCCATATGATTTAAGAACTAATTTAAATAATTTATTTACTATTATTTGATTTTATTATTATTATTACTATTACTATTACTTAGCTTCCTATTATTCTTGAAGTAATTTCTCTTCTTATATTCTTTAGGCTTCTCTCTTTTTTTCTTCTTCTAATTCCTTCTATCTTTTGATTTCCATCTCTTTTTTGTATTATTCATAAGTAGGCAAAGAAACCATGAACTTCTCCAAAAACTCCTTCATTCCTTCTTGTTTATCAAATACTGGGTATTATTTTGTTATTTAAACAAATTAAATTTATAACTATGTGTATTTATCTATAGGTTCTCTAATCATCAATGTATAAGAAAGTTGGATGACTTATTTTTTTGGAGTTGTGATATTGGCTGTTCCTTCGAATAATGTCTTGTTTTTGATATTTTCAAGACTTATTTAACCTACTCCTATTTCAGATGATCCAAAGAATCCTTTTTCAAATAGTCTGACTTCAATTTTTTTATTTGAATATTCAACTCCAGTTTCTAATGGAATATCATGATCAGAATTGAATGAACAAGTCTTGTCACAAATTTCAGTTTATTTGCTCACCACTCCCCTAATAATTAGAATTAAGAGTACTTGTTAGTATCCAAAGAATAAAATAAGTAGTATTTTTCATATTTGCAATCAAGTTTTCGAAATTTGATTCTTATGATATTTGGGGGGATATCTTTATTTTCAATACATACTGAAACATTCAAATCTTGTGTCTCTAAATCTGGTAATAGAATCCACTGCATTTTTTATAATTATTTTAGATGCTCAAATGCTTAGCCATAAGAATTTAATCTTGATTTGCTCTCTTCATGAGGATTATAGGTTTAATTTTAGCCTATATGAATTCTTTTTGAGTGCAATGATATTTTATAGAATTCTTTTTCCTTATTATTGGCTTCCATCAATTAATTGAATAGCAAAGTTTATTCTAACATAATTCAACATATTACATGATTTATATTATTATTAATTCATTTTATGAAAGTCTTCTAAAGTAAGTTCCTACATTTCATTGCATAAGTAATTTCCTATTGGGGGATTCTGTCCTTAAGTAAAAAGTTCTCTTAATTGCTTTCCTTTTTCAAGTAATTTAAGTGCTTATTCAATATCTTCTTTCCTCTTAACTTTAGCATGATTTGATAAATAAGTAGCGTAATTGTAATATTCTTTATATCTTTTTAGTAAGGCTTCGTATTTTACGTGGATTGGCAATTAATCTAGATTTTCTTCTAAATGTTTTTAGGCATTTTTATCGATTTTGATTGAATCTAATTTTATATTACTATCATAGTAACAAATCTATACTCCTAAAGCTGCTAAGGTTTCTTCAACGTTTACTTCTATGACTGAGGTATCATAATATTTGGCTTTACTCTTTAAACTATTTGAGCAAAATTTTCTGAAGGATTTTGTTACATCAATGTTTATTCTGCCTTTAAAATATTCATTCTATTAGTAATTCTATAAATTAATAGTTTTTTTAAATACCTTTTAATAAATAATGTATCTCCTTAGGATTATGCCTTCTGTAGTAAAGCATATTAGTCTTTAAATGTTACTGCAATAAACTTCCCATACATATCATCTCTCAATTTTCCTTATTCAACAAAATCAATTAATTAAAGTAATTATTTTTAGAGAGCCTATCTTAAATTTGTATAAAAAGCCAAACTTTAACTATTGCTTTCAATGGATGGCTATTTCATACATGTATTTGTAATAAAACTACACTCCTGTTGTATTAAATTAAAAGATTTAAAACTTGGGACAATAGTATATAATTATTCCTATTCTATAAATTTTGATGTGCTTGCATTTAACTATTTTATATTTGATTCCTTTTTAACAGGTTAGGGTTCATTATAAACTTACTTTTATTGCTATTATTGCTAAATGATCTGCTATTGCTAATTTTATTGAGTAGAGAATTGCTTCTCAATTTATTACATCTGTTACTATTTCTATGTTTATTCAATTTATTCAGTTTATTTTTTTTGTTGATCTGCTTAATAATTCTTTTGAATTGGTTATTATTGAGGTTAAACAGTTTATTGTTGAACTTTTGGGTTTTCATTAATTGGAGGTCTCTATTATACATTCCTTGAATTAGATGAAAATTTACTCAATTTCTAGCATCAGTTTTTTCAACTTCAATTTTGTTAACTTCCTTTTCTAATTAGGCTATCAAATAATCCATATCATCCTCCATCTTTGCTAATTTTATAAATGAAAATTATTAATATAATTATTTTATAATGTGGCAATTTACTGATGATTAATATCCTAAATTTACTACTTTTCCTGAAATTTTGAAGAGGCCTGATGCTAAAACTAAATAAACGAGCATAGATAACAAACTTGCTTAGGAGGATCAAAATGAAAATACAGAAGTTAGACCAAAAAAGGTAAATATGAAACCTAGACTCCCTGTTTTATCGAATTTACTCTTAAAGCCAAAATAGCCACCTACCTCACCATAATAAAATAAAAATAAAGAAGAAAATAAAATTACAAAGAAATAACGTATGGAACCTGTTAAATCCGTAGTTTAAATTAGATCAAATTCAAATGCACCTTAAATGGTAAAGTAACTAACAAATGAAAAATTAGAAATTAAGGAAAAAGTCAAAGTGGAATTTAAACCATTAAAAAAAGTAGAGAGATTAGATGAATATGAAATCTAAGAGATTATTGGTTAAGGTTCTTATGCAATTGTTAGAAAAGGAGTTCATAAGATTAATGGTTAGATTGTGGCCATTAAGGTTTATTCCAAAGAAAGACTCTATGATCCTTAACGTGCTAGAGCAGTGGCCAAGGAAATTCAAATTCTTAGATAATGTAATCACAAGAATATTATACATTTGATCAAGGTTGTAGAATCCAATAAAAATGTAAGTATTATCCTTCAATATTGCTTAGATAAATTTAATAATGGAATACGGAGGCGATCAATCTTTGAAAAAGGTTAAGAACTTATAAGAAGTTGAAGTTCAATTAATTTTCTTTTAAATATTGAAGGCTGTGAATTATTTACACAACAAAAAAATAGTTCATCGAGATATCAAATTAGATAACATACTACTAAATGCATAAAAGTAAATTAAACGTAACTATTAAGAGAGATCAAACTAATTGATTTTGGATTTGCTACAGAAATTGATGGATATATTAACACCACATATGGAACTCCTTCTTACATGAGTCCAGAAATGCTACCTCCAAATCCAAGATATAATGAAATGACAGATATCTGGAGTTGCGGAGTTGTACTTTATGCTCTATTGTTTAACAAATTTCCATTTAGTGGTCATACAGAGAAAGAATTATAAATGAAAATAAAGAAACAAGATCTACATGTCTACTCAATTGATGAAGAGATTTTGGAAGTGTTGTTAAATTGTTTAGAGAGGGATGTTGATAGAAGGAAAACAGCAGATTAATTATTAAAAACTCTCTGGATGATTTGCATAGATTGATTTTAATTTTATGATGATTAAAATTTAATTACTTTTTAAAGTTGATACAAATAAAAGGCAATACAATAATTACCCCTTTAAATTAGTTATGAAAATTATAAATCATAATTCTTCAATCAAACTGTTTTATTCATAAGATCTTTGAAGTTTTGGAAAGTCATCTAAAATATTAGAAAATTATATACATAGTCTTTTTTTAGAAGTTCTATCATAATTTCTGTAAAAAATTCTTTTTCTAAAGTATATTAAGTAGCCAATGTTTCTGCAGTAATAAAGTTCTTTTTATTTTTTAATAATTTGAAACTTATGTCTATCCTTTCTTCTTCAATTAACTCTTTACGATCAAAAGCATATAAAATAAATTCTTAAAAAGTGATCTTTTTATCCTTATCCATATCTACCTTTTAAAAAATATTCATGCATATAATTTTAGTGTTGTTCGAATCCTCAACATATTCAGTATATGAAGTGATAAGTTCGGAAATACTAAAATATCCATCGTTATCTAAATCAAGTGATCGAAAAACCGAATATATTTCTCTTAATTTATCAGGTGGATAATTGTTAATAATGAATTTAAGTAAATACACTTATAAAATGTTAAGTTTTTTTGATTCTCTGAGTCTTAACAAGGTTTCTCTAACCTACTCTTCTGGTAAGACAATTTATTATTTTTTAAACCAAATATGTTTTGTAATGTCGCTTATGGTGATTCTGCTTTTTGGGTTTTTCTCTAAGATTTACTATAACAAGGATTTAGCCTCATCCGATATTTTGTTCTCATAAGAAATATTAGAAGCTTATACATCTAATTTTAGTAAGCTGGCAATGTTGGATTGAAATGGTGATTTATGATAAAGTAGATTATATAGTATTATTCCCAAAGACCAAATATCTCTTTCCTCAGAATATTCTTGATTCTCGAAATATTCTGGTGGTAAGTAATGTGATTCTTCTAGAGTTGGCTTTTTCTTCATAAATAAATGGTACAAATCATATAGTTTTAAGTATTTATCCCCGAAAAGAGCAAAGCATTCTAATGTTAGATGTCCATGAGTCAGTTTCTAATGATGCAGATATTCAATAACTTCAACTATCTAATTAAAAATAAAAGCAATTTCTTTTTCATCATTATAAATTTTTGAATTTAGCACTACTATTTTTTCATTGTTCTCTTCAGCTACATGATATTTTTATTATTCCTCATAAATTTCGAATTATTGTATTAAATTTGGATGATGCTAAGTTAGATATAAAAATATACAAGTTAATATTTGAGTAGCGATGCTATGTATTTTGAATCAGAAGATTTATAGCTTTTAATAATTCTTACAATTCCAGTATTGTTGTGTTAAATAGTGGTGAATGGAAAATCTTTATCTTCCTACTTAAGTAAGCTATAAAAGGAAGAAAAATTTGTATTTCTATAGACCAAAAAAAAATTGATGTTTTTCAAACTATATGCTGGCTGACTCAAATCATTATGAGATTAAAATGCTGAATGTGTATTGTGCCGAGATTACGACCTCACTCCATTCAATTAAGTCGTCTGCCTATTTGGAGTGGTTGTTTATGATTGTTTTTATTTCGCTTCTTGAATCTTTGCTCTCATTGATTACTTAATCTTTTATGAAGAACATTAACCCATTTTAATATCTTACTATATATATTTTTGCAAAGTTAAGAAATTATAAATGAATTTAGAGAATTATACTGACTTGATAAATATAAAAAATATATAAGAATTAATTCCTAACTTAATTTGTAAAAGATTTCGCTCTACTTTATGCTAAAATCATGAAAATAGACATAGATAAAGTTTATAACTAATTAAATTAATAAAGTCAAACACACTCTAATATTAATCAATAATTAAGTTATTAATTGTACTTGAAGGATCCTATTTTAATTAGTTACCAATTAGTACCTTATTTTTGCAACATGTTTTTTGGAATGTTTGAAGATGCATAATCATCATTTTAACTTTAAGTTTGTTCTATATGAACTTTATTTATCCCATTAATAAAATGGTCTTATTTTAAATCTGTTTTGTTATTTTATTAATAAACTTAAGCTGATTCAAAAAATAATTTTTTATTGGTTTGAACATTTGAAAAACTTCTTTTACAATCTATTTCAGAATAAACTCCAAAATTTTGGGAATCCTTTTATTTCTCATCCTTAAAAATAGAAAATTCGCTTATATGATTTAAATCATTAACTTAAATGGAATCAAAAACTTCAATGTCTTTGTTCAATTGAGTCTAATTTAAATTAAAACTTTTAAAAGATTAGAGCAAATTCATATAACGATTTACCTTGCTTGAGAATTCAATAGGGGAATTCTTTTCATCATGAGGCATCAATTTATTTTAGGACTGAGAAGATGGACATTTAGGAAAACTTATACTCATATGGTTGTTAGATTAATTTTGATTTTTCATTTCATTAAAATTGTATTCAACAAATTTTTTAGTTTATGAATAATCGAAATTATTCTCTAAATTATTTTCAGTCTAAATTTTAGTTTAATTTTCATAATGATTATCATTATTTGAATCGATTCTTTTTGGAATTAAATTTAAAGAGTTTAATAGTTTAGTCTAATATGAATCATTTTTAATTCCTAACTTTGATTCGCTTTCTCTATTCATTTTATATAATTATTTTTTAGGTGTATGCATAGGTATATCATATGAACGACTTAATGATTTTTTTGTAGTTTCGATTGTTTTAGCTTTATTGGATAGAGTTTATAATTTTTCCTCAATTATTTAAGATTATTCTTCCAAAAATTTTTGTTTAAATTCAATGCTTTTTTATTGAAAATATTCCTTTAAAGATAAACTACTGTTATGAAAGTAAAGCTATTTCTAATCATTCATTTGTAAATCCTAATTGGGCAAAATTTTGCTTGTTATCTATTTTGAATTCTTAATAAAATAATGTTTTAATTTGTTATTTAAATTACTTTATATTTTAGATTTAAGACCTTCTGCTATGTTTTTTATTTTCTCATCTTCATAATTTTTGATTGTTTAAATGTTAATATTTTGAGATTTCTAATAATTTTAAGAAATTAATTAAGTACTCGTTGATCTACTTCTAAAATTCTGTGTAGTCTAATATTGATTCTATTCCAGATTTTCTTTCGATTTATGCATTTATTTAACTGACATTTTTGTAAAATCTTCATTATTGCATTCACAGTTTTTCATTTCTGTCTTATTTAAATTAGTCTACCTAAAATTTGTAAATGTCTGTAAAGTGCTCGATTAATAACCATAATATTTATAGCTTTAACCTTCTACTACTTTTTTGATTTCAATATAGTTTTCTATATCCTTTCGATTAATTGAATACTCAGATGAACCTTGTTTGGAAAAAGAATTCAATAAATGACCTCCAATATCCCATAAAATTTATCCTTTGTTATCGTTGGATATCATTATAAAATTTATTATTAAATTTTCAAAAGCAATCATTTCAGTCTGATCGTAAGGAATAAAGTTAAAATAACTATAGAGCTGGTTGCAATTTGATGGATGACTATTATTCTATAAGTATAAATTTTTTAATTTATAATATCTTCAATTAGAGATTCTCATTTAGATTTCAACATTTTTTATTAAATGTTGTAAATACGAATAGGTAACCCAAGAATTAAATAAGGTCTAAAAATCAATTAATAACATGTGGCTCGATTCCAAAGAGTGCTTTCATGTATATTATTATTATATTTTAATTTTACATTTATATTACACCATCTAAAAATCATATATATTATGCAAATGTTAAATATCCAGTGTGTCCATAAGCTTAATTTATTCCTGCAGAATAAGTAACTCTCTTATTTTAATCTGTGCATACTTTCTTTTAAACATCATCAAATAGTGATTGTTCCTGTTTAACTCTTCTTTCAAAATGTCTATGATTTAAATACTAATTCTCTTTACCTCTTTAAACATTCTAATGTCTCCAAGTTTTTCCATCCTTATTGCTTTAATTCCAAGGCTGTTTTTTGCACCTATTCAATGCAGGGAGAGAAACAACAAATCCTTCCACCTTTCTTAATCATTTTCTTAGAGTGATCCAAAGCTAACCATGGCTAAGGCAAGTCCAAAAATATAGCATCTATGCTGCTTTCTTATGGAAATTCTCCTTAGTTTTCAGTATCCTCTCCTTTCAAAAAGCCATTAGCATAAACATCTCTCCAAAAACAAGTGGCCTAATTGATTTTCAATTTTGCAAACAATTCTTTACCATTATTTGCTCTTTCCTTATTGAATTCATATGTAAATAATCTGCCCTTATGACCAACAGCTGCTGCTAATGAACAAGACAATGATCCACTACCTGTTCCACTTTCAATTACACGCTAACCTGGTTTTAAACACAACTTAAGTATAATCATTGATATATCAGCCATAAAGAGAATTTAAGTTTTGTGAGGAACTGTTTCTGTTATTAAATGAGGATTTGGAGTCATTAAATAAATGGGCCCTGTTCCATTCTTTGAAAGTATTTCTTCCCCAGGCTTAACAAGAAAAGTATAATGATGGTATGCTCCGTATTTATTTTGATATGTTTAACCTTATGTAACTGTAAGGAATTATTTAGGTTTTCCATCCTCAAATAAAATCATGGTATCACCATATTAAATCATTATTATTTATATATATTTAATATTTCTTATATTATTTCCATAAAAATAATCAATGAAGTATTTCTGATAAAGTTATAGCTTATCCATTCTATACCTTAACATCACAATCAGATTAATGACTTCTATTTTTTAAATATTAAGATATTTGTTATTATCCAAAATGTATTTTTTTACTAATTTAACATTTTCACTACTTGATTGAATTCTTTATATAGTTCATTTAAATAGTTGTTTTATTAATGTATTATATGATTGATTTTGGATTTAAAAGTTAAAAATTCTAAATTTGTATTATTATTTAGATTAAGTCTAATTTTTATTAGAGTATTATTGTAAGAAGTCTTAAAATTACTGATTAATTAAGATTAAGCTTAGAATGAACCCTAAATTTTGTTTAGTTTTCAGAGTATTCACTTTCTCAAAAATGATTGTTTTTAAGCCTAATGTTTTATATTTATTATTTTAAATCTAAGAATTATTGTTTTATTCATTTTACAAATATCTTGAAGTTAAACTCTTTAAATTTTTTGGATTTGAATTAAAATCTTAAGTAACTATGTATCAGGTTATTTAGATATTTAAAAGCGAATGAGTTAAAGAACTTTAAGAAGGATTTCATTGAGATTAGAATATATTATAGTGAATTAATATCTTTTGTAGTTCTTTGTTTTCCACTAATGAAATAGATTTTATAATAGCCTACTTGTTTTCCATTTATTTCAACTTTTCTTGTTTGATTTTTTATTTGTTTTAATCTTTAAAGACAAGTATTTGATTAAAATTAGAATCAAGATTTACTCATATTAATATGTTTTAAATTTTTTACTGAGAAAACAAGTAGGACATCTTGTTGGTAAAGGAATTGGAAATCATATTATTTTAGATTTGTTTGAAGTAGCATAGAATCATTTACTATAAAAAAGGTTATTTATTAATATAATTAAGATGCTATTTAAGAATAGACTATTATTTTATAAAGAATTCTATTACATTCCCTAATTCACAAATGTAAGATTTTATTTAATTTCACTTTTTAGTCTTCACACAAGATAGTAATTTAACTTATTGGGTTATATAATTTAATTTGCATTTCTAGCATTATAATTCCAAATTAAAAATTATTGTTTCACATTGTTATTAATGGTAGAATCTCATTTTTGATTACTTTATGATTGATTTATTTCCAACTATTTCTTTTTAGTTGATATGAATTCTATTAATCTTCATTTTCTATTAATCATCTATTTTACAAGACTTCCATTTTTCTCATTTTATTGTAACACAAATTCAAATTTTAAATAATTACCTTGTTTATAGTAATTGAGGTAGATAATGATGATATTTGTAGAACTCAAACTGCGATTAAATTTAAGGTTAGTATTCATGAAAATAGTAAACTCTTGATATATATTCCTTATTTTCTAAATATATTGTAAATCATCTTGAATTATCCATGAAACTGGTTAAATAAAATATTTTTGTTTTAGTTAAATTTCATTGATTTCTTTTTTGAAATAATCATTTTAAGAAGATGCATGCTTATGATATAGTGTATGATTGAATATATTAGATGAACCAAAATAAGAGTGATAAAATCTGACATATCCTAAGTTTTTAATTTAATATTACAGAAATAATTCCCATATAAATAAATTAGTAAATGTCAGAAGAATTAAATTCAAGTCTTGATTCACTCGAATTGGATCTCTACCACAAGCCAAATCCTAAAATAAAAACTATAATTGATTACCTTAGAGCTTAGAATATCAGATTTTGCACTGATCCAAAAGCAAAGGAATATAACTATTATTCTAGCCAGTCATACAAGCAAAATAATAATTCTGATTTTGGAATGTAGCGAAATAAGTTCATTCAAAGAAGAAAATAGGAGACTGCCATATCATTTGCAATGAATATCTCTTGATTGTTACTTTGTATATGTTATTTTTATGGTTTAATTCAGTAAATATTTAAACATTATTAATTCATTAGATTAAATGTTGATGCGTCAGTTCGATCTTTAGAATTTGTAATCTATGTGAATTGTATATTTAAAAGCCAGCATTTAAGTGGATGAGAATGTAAAGTATATCGAAAACTGTATATTTAAAATTAATTCAGATAATAAATAACTGGTTTAATTAAAGTTAAAAAAAAAAAAGAGTATTAGTTTAAAATAGAAACATTTTGATGATTTTTTACACAAATGATATTTGATAAAAGTAAATCCTAAGTTTTATTTTAATTTTCATATAATATTTATGTTTATAATTTTTTTAATCTAAGCTTTATACTCGTTAAAAGCAGAGAACTTTTTGTGTGGACTACGCCTATTTTATGACGAGTCAACATTTTTTCTGATTGACTAACAAAATGAAAAGTAATAAGTTTATTTAATTACTGAGTACGATGCCTTACATACTAACAAGCCAATCACCTCATTTTGGGTTAGATATCCAGTAAAGTTATAAATCCTCACCAAGTTTGAATAATAATTCATATTTTTTGGTCGGATTTTCAGATGCCTATATTTTTGCAGGTGATGCTAGTGAAATATAATGGATATCGATTTAGGAGTTCAAAGTCAATCAAAATAGAACCAATGCATCAATTCATAAATATAATGGTTATAATGGATATTTTGTTGATAAGGGAGTAGATGGAGGGCATTTGCTAATCTCCACAGAAAATTTGGTTCGAGATTTTTCTTATGGCAAAACGGATGCTGTAGATAAATTTGAGAAAATGGGTTTTATTTATATTGTATCTTGGGGTGGCAAAGGGGATGCGTTGCTGATTTTAAAAAGATTTATACATTTAATCGAAGAATCTGAAGGTTAAGAATATTGTTAACAAAAGGTCGCTTTAATCTCATTAGAGTAAATCAAATGTAATTTAGATTAAAACTTTGAACGCTTAACCTTTCATACACCTGATCTATATCATCCACCTATACACTACCATTTGGGAAATGAAATAATCAATGGGTCCTTGGAGAATAAATATTTTACTAAAAACTATCCGGGACTTTAAGTTTTTGTTGCATAAAATTTGAATTAAGAAATTCTAGAATTGAGAATTCCTCTTAAAAATATGGAAATTCATTAATAAACAATATAGTATCCATTAAGTGGACTAGTTATCACTCTATAACAAGAAAATAGAGGATTTATTCACATTGTAATTTTTGAGAGTGATGAAGAAACTCTTATACATTACAAAGAAGATGAAAATCTAGCTTATATAACTGTTGGTATGACTGATTCAAAAGTCTTTGTCTTTTCATTTGTTACTTCATAATTTACTAAATTCCCTTCAATGGATTTGATTGAGCATGTATTTTAAGATTGTATTTTCATAATTCACTAAAGAAACAATGTTTGTGAAAATACCCAAGGATAATGTGCAGATGTTTCTTTAAACCTGTTTAAACAGCTATAATTTGAATTGCAATCAGATTAATTAGTTAAGTTTAAATCTAATGGAGAATATTAACAAACTCCATTTGTTGAGATGTATGAAAATCATACATAAATCTCGAATGAATTTAATGTGTTATTTTCTTCTGAGATTAACAATAGAGAGATGAATCATGGTGGATATATTGGGTCATATCTTAGAGTCACCTATAAACATTAAAGCATAAATTCTTTGATTATTAATGAACAGAATGAAAATTTAGAAGTATTTTATAGTATTAATGATAATATTTGTAATTCTATTCGATATACATTAGATTTTCATTCAATTCGAAATATTACTGGAAAGACTTATGTTTTGGTATTTACATCTTAAAATGAGTTAACAGACATATAATGCTTGTAATTGTTCAGGGAATTCATTGATCACATCTAAAAGTTATTTATAATTGATTAGGGTACACACTTATTTACTTAAGCATTTAGTTGAAAATCATTGTGAAGCCAAACAAAGATACTATGATGTAACACCCATCTAGTATAAGGAAATACATAAACTAAAAAAATAGCCAGCAGAGTTAATTTAAACTGCTGATTAAGATTAATTTGAATAAAGCGATTTAGAATATTCAACAAATGATGATGAAAGTTGTTCAACCAGTCTTAATACGAATTCAGAAGAACTAGGATTAGTTAGCGAGGCTTCTTTAATACCTGATGAGAACCATCTAGAAACTTAAAAAAATGAAAATATAAGAGAAAACGAGAATTTAACAACCTAAGATCCATCATAAAAAGGCAACTTTGATAATTAAAATTATAAATAACAATAATAAGAAATATCACAATAGATAAATAATTTTGAAAATAAATAAATTTATTAAAGTAAAAGAGAACAGCTTGATTAAAATGAAAAATCAAAACTAAACTAACAAAATCCAAGCTCTAAATAAAAAGATTTAAAATCTTAATTGATAAAACAACTAGGAAGTAAGATGGAAAAAGTAAGTTCGCAGGTTAAAAAAACTTAAAACTCATAATAAAATAAAGTTTAAGAAACATAGACTTAAGGGAGTGAATAAGTGGAAGAATAAGAGCTGTAAATGGATTAAGGAGAATAATATCAAAAAACATTTCATCAAAAAGAAAAAGGATCTTCGAAAAATGACTAATATTATGTTATGGGAAATAGATATTCAAATAGAGAGCATTATAATAGAGATTATGGTAGAAGAGAAGAATATTATGGTAGAAGAGATAATTATTACGGAAGAAGGGGGGGTGATCATTATGGTAGAGGAGATGATTATTATGGGAGAGATAATAATTATTATGAGAGAGACGATTATTACGGGAGAGATGATCATTATGATAGACATAATAGTAGAAGAGGACCTCTATTGACTGGGTAGAGTGTCACAATACCAAAAAATCCAAACGATTAAGAGTTAGGGAAATTCTTAAGGGAAGTTATTAGCAAATTATAGTAAAATTATTATTTATATCAAGTATTTATTCAGATCCATGCGATGCTAAATCTACAAATTATAATCCAAATAATTGTGAAGCAGACAATTACTATGGTTCTTCTTCAATAAAAAGATCAAATCCAAGACAAAGGGATTTTTATCGAAGTGCTTATAAATATGATAATAGATATGAATACAGGGGTACTCTTTATCATTTAAGTAGTTTGTATCACTGTCTATAGTAAGTGTTATTTCAAAGGGGAATCTTTGTAACTCTGTGGTCACCAAAGGAATATTCCAAAATCCTAATAATCTTTATATATTCTATCTATTAGAGCAGATGAAAATTACATTGTTGAATTTTATATGAGAGGAAGTGATGGGAGATCAGAATTATACACATTAAAAGGTACTTAATAGTGTTTAAAGTCTCCATTAAGAGTTGATTGGCTATTACAATGAATTAAAATATATAATTGACTTCCTTTCAATTTTTATATTATAATATTTTATAACTACTTAAGAACATGCTAGATTAAAGTGAGGCCGAGAAAATTGAGGATAAACTTTTAATTACCAGATAAGTCAATACTATTGGAAAGTATGAGAACTTTGGTATATAATAATAGTGCTTTCCAATCAATGAGAGCTAAGTTTTATGGATTTCGAATGAAGAACAAAGCAATACAAAATAAGAAACGATACTAATAACTGGCTCCTATTCATTTTCACATCATAAAAGATGTTTCTCGAAAAGAATATTATTAGTAAGATATATAATGATTATTTTGAAAAGTGTCTTAGAAAACTGGATAAGTTTGGGGAAAAGTAAATAAGTCTAAATTCGCCAGATTCAAAAGAAAGTTGACCAGAAAATGGAGAGCAATAAAGAAGTCAAAAATTGCATAGAAAATAACTAAATCGATTAAACATATCCCAATAATAAATCCAAACAACGAATTCAAATTGATCTGGGATATCTTTCTAGCTTTTATAAGATTCTATCTTCTGTTTGTCATTCCTTATGAAATAGCATTCAGTAATAAACTCTTATATAATCAACTCCTATGGACATTACAGGTTTCCATCGCTTTATTGATCTTTGATATTTTATTAAACTTTATAACATCCTTTTATGAGAAAGGTTATTTGATATCAAACCATTATAAAGTGGCTCGTAATTACATAAGGAACGGTTTCATTTATGATATTTTTTGTGTTATAACATTAGTCTTAGTACTTGCTCAGGAACTCAGTGAACAAAATAGTTATATCGATTATAAACACCAGTCACTTCGAGAATACAATTATGCAAGGAGTGTGATTAGCATCTTAGGAATCATCATCTAATTATAAAATATCATTCGAGTCTTTTAGAGACTATAAAACAGCTAAGATTATTCAGAAACTACTTCATTGTTAATAGACCTAGTAAACTATAGATTTATCATAGATTAAACTAGTGATGTTTTTATTCTTACTGGAACATCTATTTAGTTGTATTTGGTACTTCGTTGGCATTTAAGATATTGCTGAAGATTCCTGGATAAAAGCTAATGGGTTATCTGATGCTCCTTACACTGATTAATATATAACGGCATTTTACTTCTCGTCGGTTACAATGTTTACTGTAGGATATGGAGACGTTGTTCCAAGAAGTAATTACTTCAAAAATCATATTAGATATCTATGAGAGATTAGTGACCATAGGATTTATGGTTTGTTCAACTTTATAATTGTCATATACGGTTTCAGCGATCTGGAATGTGTATTCAAAATTGAATGAGAAAAGTGAAGATCACATTCGCAAAATGAGAGCTATCAATACTTATATGAAGAGTGTGAACATATCCAATCAACTCAAATATGAAATTAGAGAATATTTAACATTCTATTGGAAAGAACAGAAACTAGAGGAGAACTTAGAAGTTAAGGATATAATAGGTTAATTATCTCAAGACCTTTAGGAGAATCTCATCTTCGAGGCTAACTCTATCATAGTCAAAGGGTGTAAGCTATTTAACAACTATTTTTCCCATGAATTCAAAGCTGAATGCTTAAAACATGTTCAATCAATAACTCTTACGCCATGCAAGACTGTGCCATTTGATTAGCCATGTTTATTTTTCATAGAAAGGGGATCTATTGGAACATATTTAAGAAATAATAGACTTCGATTAGCAACCCTCTAAACTGGAGATAATTTTGGATTAAGAGAATTTATGTTTGATGATATCCCATCTTTAAGATACACTTCTGTTGCTTTTAGCAAATTGGTCTTCATCACAAAAAAAGACTTCATGAAAGTCCTTTAACAATATCCTGAAGATCATGAATAATATTGCTAATTGAAAGAACAACTCATCTTTGACAAATCATATTTTGGTATGGATTGTTATTCATGCAAAAGCCTTTAACATACTATTCAGCAGTGTCCTTTGCTGACATTTAATCCAGACACAGATTCAGTCATCAAAAAACATCAGTACCCTTAATTACAAACTAGAAGGCCCTATAAAAGGATATTTGAAAGGAAAAGACGAGCTATTTTTAAGGAACTTAAATAAAATGATAATGCAGATAAGATTTAATTAACTATCCCAACAATAGAATCATCAGATTCTTCTGAATTTGAATTAAAAGAATCTTGGAAAGCTTCTCATTCAAACTACTTTTAAAAAATGTAAAATATCACAAGGAGATAATTTCCCAACAAACAAGCCTTAAATATTAAGTAAATACGATAAAAATTACACCCTACAAACTAGACTGTCTAAATATTAGAATTACATAATCCAAGAGAATTTGATGAAGAATGTTTAAGAGAAAGTGATAAAATATTGTTAGAAGACTTAAAATTAAAACTGAACTAGAGAATTAATTTAGAAATAGATTGTATTAAGAATTACAAAAATTATCATCCTGATTTTAATTCTGCTTGGCTGTTTAAAAGTACAAAAATAAACTTGAAATTCTTTGAATAATGGAAGTAACTCAGTCTCTTTCTTACTTTTCCATATGAATTCATTAAGTAATTATAATTGAAAATATAAGAAAATATCGCTAAACCATTCTTAGAGGTAGCCAGCTTGTAAGTCCCCAGAAAGATGTCAGTCATCATAGGAAAAAGAAAAGGGCAACTGCGTTGTATTTTAAACCGGTTTAGGTGAAATGATTTTGAATAATTAATTTAATGCAATCTTCCTAAGAGAAACTGCCTTATTTATAACTCAATAATCGGAGATCCTGTTCTATGGCCAACTCAAATCCTGCAATCTAGAAGCTGAAAGACACCTTACTTGTTGAGAATCAATCTAGCAGAAGTTATTTAGGCAGGAAATAAGGAGATATTTTGGATTCAATCCTAGAAGATGCAAGCTTGATAATCAACAATAAATTACTTGAATAAAATGTCTATAAATTGAAGGATTTAGGCTTATTGAAATAATATGATCCTACAGTAGCAGTTTAATAGGGATTTAAAAAAAGCAATTATGTTTTGAATGATTATCATAGTAAAAGCACTACTAATGGATATTCTAGAAATTATGGAGGTCTATTCTACAATAGATGATAATATTATATGCAAAAATTCAGTATTTCTTAAATAATACTAATACTAATTCTATATATATATAATGATTTGCCAATAAATTTATTCCATCATTCAACATCCTCAACCTTAGCTCTTTTATTTATTTGTTCCATGAATTTCTCAAGAGGACTGACATTCTTAAGTTGTTCCTCTAATTATTTCTTCTTTTCACTCTCTTTCTGAGCCTTCTTGCCCTTCTTCGATTCCTATTCCTTTTACAATTGTTTCTCGTATTATTATTGGAAGTATTATTCTTATAATTGTTTATCCCTCTCCTACATTTCCTTTATTAATTTATCCTTCTGCTCTCTTTCCTAATTTAAGAGATGATCAATATCTTTCATATCCTTTTTGTGTCCCAAAGTCGACGTCTATACTTATTATTCTTAAGGAACAATAGGCTATAGCAAATTTGGTGAAGGAGCAGGGACCTGAGGTTTTTTGAAAGTATTTAAGATGTCATTCAAGTTCTGATCATCATTGATATTTGCTTGTTTGTAGATCTCTTTATTGAATGACCAAAATGTTCTAGGTGGAGGTTTATTATATTTTCTTTTCTTTCCACTCGCATCTTCTTCTTATCCATTACTAACCAATTACATAGTTGATTCATTTTTGAAATACGCACCTTCTCCTAGTGGCTCTAACATTTTCATATCACAAACCATGAAATCACTTGGATTCCTATGAAATAGTTCAAAACAAGGAAATGGACACAAGAATATCTTATTGACCTTCAAGAGTTTTTCACACAATTAACATCTATAGTATGGTTTAGTCAAGCCTTCAAATTTCATACACACCAAACAATATTTAAATGTATCTTCTTATTTCTAAGGTATAGGAGTATGGAATTGATCAGCATACTGTTTTTATAATCCAAATGACAACTGGTCTGTATTTGATGTGTTTTCTTAGTAAGTGACATTCAATTTACGTTTGGCTTCATTACGATCTCTCTCTATCTATTATCCTTTCTCATTAAGTAGAATCTTAGCTAAATCATGTCTGAATTGCGATTGAGATGTCTGCTGAATCAATAAAAATGTGTTATGAATCATAATTTCGAAATATTCTTCAAATTCAACTCTCAATTGATGAAATCCTTCAGTATTATTCAATTATGATGACTAATAAAAGTTACTTCTAAATTACTATAGATTTGTTATGTGTTCTTGCAATTACTCCTTTATCTTTTCATAAGAAGTCATGTAAGGTCTATTCGATATCAGACGTCTTTATGGGAAAACATCCACTTAAGTTCCCTATTTAACTAAAAATAATTAATCCAATTCGTACTCTCCATCCTATAGCATTTGAATCAAATTATGGCTGATGTTTTAATAGCGAATGACTGGGTAGATAGATTGATCCACCAATTGAATTATCTTGTCTAAACTAAGATCAAATAATATGTAAGTAACATGATTCTAATTAGAATACTTATAAAGCATTCTCATCACTCTGTTAATTCTATCCTCATTCTTCACATTGTTGCAAACAACTAGCAAATCAATAATTTAAGAACTGTCATAATCAAATATGTAATATGCTTTGTATGCCTTCTGATTTTATTCGACAATAATTAACTCTTAATCTGGATTATAAAGTGATTTTAATTTCTTTGAAAATTTGCTGACTTCCAATTGTAATTTTGCTCTTTATTATTCATCAAAGTATGAAAAAATATGAAGATCTACAAATTTGAATCTACCTATTGGCATAGTAACTTCTACTCCTCCTTTTAACCAGGATTCAGCATTCCAATAATCATCCAGAGATGGAAATCTATACACTCCAAACAAAATTTGCAAACCTAAGTAAAATTAAATCTCAGCTTCTTTGTATTTCTTCTTGTGATAAATTTATTGAGTTTATTGCTATTATTTTACATCTTCTTGTAACACCATTAAAAGGTAATGATTGATCATCTCTGTTAGTGTAGATACAAAACTATTAGGCAGGAAATAGTTCAAAACATTTTATGGACTCTACAAAGAAGTCATCTTTAATTACGGGGTGTCCAAATAGTTTAAGATCTCAGTTATTTATGAAATATCTGTTGGTTGGATGTTAAGTGCTTTTCCAAAGCTTACCATAGCAGCGCAATCCCTCTCATCATCAGATACTATTTAAACAAATTACTCTTCACAATCACTCAAAATTATTTCTTATTTCCAAAAACAATTATATTTTTCTATTTCATCAAGTGATTAAGTCTATTAGGAACTTCCAATAGTCTAAGTTGTTGAATTACTCAAAGTCTCTTATTTCATTTCTATGATATTTTATTATTTTATTTTAAAAGCTTTCAATCTCAAATATGCTTTTCATTTATCTTGCAAATAAATAGATTATTATGCCATTATCCTTTTATTATTTTATTAATAAATAAATTATTTAATTAATTAATTATTGTATTAATTATTTTTCACAAAAAGACTAAAAGATAAGTTATATATATATAAAATATAATTGCGACTAAAAATTAGAAAACTTATATATGTTAACCCATATTTCATTAACCACTTTAGTTGAATTAATAAATAAATTAAATCATACAATATCTAAATCAATAAGTGGCGAAAGAGATCCCTCTTAGGTTTTAAATTAGCCTATTTCATCATTAATGTATTCACTTGACTATTAATACAATTATTATTAATTCTAAATTTAGGATTGCTAGATTTAAGATTATTATTATTAGGAAATCTATTGATTATCTTTTATTTTCGTTGGCTTCCTTTTTATTGCCTTGATATCCTCTATGATTTTCTTTCCTTTTTCAATTTTAATTTCACTTATTTCAGTTTCAACATCATTTAGACCTTATTCCTATTGCTCTTTCTCATATAATTTTATATACATTCTATTTAATAATTCCAAGATTTGATCATCTTTTAAAAAATCATTAGTTTTACTTAAAGATTCAACCTTTATGATGATATCTCTAATTAAGATTTTCTCTTCAATATATTTAATGGCTGTTAATAATCCAATAACAGCTTAAAACAACCTTAAATCATATGTTTTGTTAAGCTTGTCTAACAGTGTTACAATTTCTTTGTATTTCTTTTGTTTCAATAAAATTTTAAGGATTAATTTCAATATTTTAGATTTCTAGTATGAAAAATTAAGTTCATGAAAATAATACTAACTAAGAATTTTATCTTTTTCACATTTATACCTATCAATTGATTTGTAATAATAAATTAAGTCTTTTGTGTTCGGTAAATAAACCGATTGAATTGAATTGAAAACTTAATCAATTGAGGCATTACTATGAAATAATAAATGAGTAGAATAATAAAATGATTCAATCAAAAACCTTTATGGTTTTTTTCTAATCAATCTTTTTTTATTCCCAATAAATTCCTCTAATATATTGTTTAGAATTAGGTTTACCTCTAAATTGGAAAATTGTGTATTTTTTTCCTATTCTAATTAATCCTAATCAAAATTTTGGATTTTAAAATGTTTTTTATCTAGTTCAAATTAGAATTAAAGTTAATTTTAAGATGGATTCAATAAATAAGGAAGTTTTTACTTAATGAGTTCTATCAATTAATTCAATTGATTATGTAATTGATGTCTTAAATATCTTCTGATAAATTTATATATTGATATTAATAAATCTTATTTAATTTCTACTTCACTATCTTTTGAATGAAGGAAATACAATATTTAATGGTTATTCATTTGATTAATCAAAGATTTGAGAATTTAAAGATTTTCCAAATTTTATGCAATATCTTCAATATTAATTTTATAATATTTTCTCATTACAACCTTTTCTTAAAGCAGCAATAGTCTAAAGTTATTTTTTATATCAAAAACATTGGTTGGTATCATTTATTTTTTCATGAACAATTTCTCATATACTTATTAAATTTAATTGAATTTTTATTAAGAAACTGTTGTTTAGTAGATATTTTATTATTCCTATAATTGTAAGAGATCCATTATCATAAAATGCTCTTCTAAATAATGTAAATCAGGATAATTCTAAATTATTGATTGTACTCTTTGTTGACAGTTAAACCAATCTACATCTGACTTTTTCCTCTATGATAAATGATTCCTAGCTTTATCAAATAATGTAATATAAAATTCATTCCATAAAAATTAAGAATCCTTATATGCTAGAGCAAACAGAAAATTCTTAAATTGTGAATATTCAGATTATTCATCAAGAATTTCTTGAGCTCTTTATAACAAATAGAATAAATTTGCTTTATAATCACTTTCAATTTTCCAATTCTTTATGTTATTATAATGTTCCTCAAGTGGAAAGCTTTATGCTAACTCTTGATTATCAAACATATATGATTCTAATTCTTCTACAAATACACCGATTTCTTGTTCAATTTGCTTATTAAGTGATGGATATACATTGGTTAGTAAAAATTCATTGATTTATTTGAAATCTGAAACAGTCTTGATGCAATGAGGTAAAAAATAACCCAAAAATTGTAGTTCTATTTTTGTCAACTCTTTTTTGAATTCAGCTTAGAGATAATATTTTTAGATTACTATTTGATATAGTTAAGTACTTAATTCATTAGTACTCATGCCGAACTCGCATTTGACACATTCTTTAGCAAATCTTTTAATATGATTAATAATCTTAGGGTCGCCTACATTAATTTAAATAGAATGATTAATTAGAAATTCCACTGTTTTATTTGAAAATTAGAAGATTTTTTTAGTTATCCTAAAAGAAGATTCAATTTGACTTTCTTCTAATACCATAGTTTTGAATTCATTTTTATACTAACATGGCTATTCCAATTCATCTTCTGATGCATCAGAAAATGAGTCTGGTTGAGGTAATTTAGTTTCAAATTTATCAACTTCCATAGCAAGTGTATTAGGCTAGACAATGAATTAAGGTGTATGTTGAATTTTTAATTCTAGTAAATGGAGTAAATAATAATTTAACTCTAAATCAGCTTCAATATTATTTTTAAAAAATTCTACTAATTAATTGTACTTTTATTTGGATTTTATTTTAATATCAATAAACTCCATTAAAATAGTATCAATATTTACAAAGTTAAAATAATCATTTAGTTTAAAATTATGTATTTTTAGTACTTCTAAAAGAATTAGATATTTATTAATGTTATTTGGTGATGCTAGAAATATTTCAGTAAATTTGGCCAAAATTTCACTAGAGTCAATTTCTATCAAAGAATAAACGAAAGAAAACTTGAGGAAAATGAATCCTATATCTATTTCGAAATCGAAATTATTAAGATTTAAAATTTACAACACCAAGGGTTACACAAACTTTTATATCTCTTTTAAATCCTCAATTCGACAAGCAAACTAAAATTAATTTAGAAAAATGATTGACAACCTTTACAATAAATTATTATTCTTATTAGACTTTAAATATTCAATAACCTATATAATATATGTTCTTATTTTTTCATTATCTTCCAATTTTTATTCTCTCTCTTCCCATTACGTAATAATCTTTAGAACTTACTTTGAGGTTTTGAGTTCAGATTCTATTTTATAAGCTAGTATTTTGTCATTAATTTACTATTTTAATTTACTGTTTTTCAATTAACTAGCAAAATGCTTCGCCATTTTAGGTTAAAAGAAATGAATATCGCTATGAATGGTAGCCATTATGATTGAATACTTTGTCAAATATTCTTTTCTTTAATTGCTATTAATCAAAATGCTCGAAATATCAGTTTGTAGTAATTCCAATTTCATATTATTGATGAAAAGAATGTAATTCTTGATTTTATTTTATTCTTCAGGAGATTTAGGCTTTTTTTCTTTGAAACGTGATTTTAACTCGTCAAAAGCAATTTCTAATAGTTACAATTTTAAAAAGGGATCATCCACCAATTTGTTTGTGAAATATTGAGCCCAAACAACACAATTAATTAATCCTTTGGATACAAAGTTAAAATTTTGAATTGATTATTTATAAGAAAGAAAATCTTGTAGAATTAATATAATTAATTTCTTTAAAAGTTCAATAACAGTAAGGAAACTTTAGTTGCTTAATCGTTCAGATAAAAATTTAGAAATGGAACACCCTTAATATTCATTCTGCTCATTTGATATTTTAGTATTGTTATTTATCATGGAAAATGAAACCATATCCCAACCATAATTTTATTTAATAAGATCGATTAATTTTGTATTAGAATTATAGATATTTTAATCTAGATTAAACTATTATTAATATTATGATTGTTTTGATTTCTGCTTTTCAATTTATCTAACTACTTGACTTGGCTATTCTTTTGAAACAAAAGTTTTTTTTTTGTTTTGATTTGATGTTACAGTAATCCTTGTACTAGCGATTAGATAATTATCTTTAGATGGATTCTTTCTAAAATTGAGATTAATTTGAAACAAACATTTGATATCTTTAAAGAACTTTCTGATATTTTAAGTATCTAAAAAAATCTCTTATTCAAATTGTTGTTCTTAGAGAAGATAATAAATTTAATTCTCAGGTAAAGACTGTAGCTTTTGTTCAATTTGATTATATTCAATCAACAATGTATTAACAAAAGCTGTTTTTTGTTTAGTTAAATGGTAGTTTTCTAGTTCTTGTATCTATTGCTTCAAATTAGTATCATCCTTCATCATCTTAAAATATTGATTGAAATCATCCCAACTATCCATTAAAAAGCTAATGCAACAAGCTTAATATAGAAGAGGCTAAGTTAGAATGCATTATGAACAATATTAAAGACTATAAAATTTTAATGTTAAAATACGCTTTTAAATTTAAATTTAAAGCTCTTGGCATCATTCCAAGTTGACGAAATAAAAGCGACATCTTTCTGTAGGTTTACCAGCAATTTTCTACTATTAATGTGCTCTAATAATAATAATTTAAGGCTTCGCATTTTTCAGAAACATTTTCGCTTTGTGCCAATATTTCAGCCAAAGACATATAAATTCCATAGAGAATCTTTTTATCCTCTTAATTTATTATGGAGGGGTGATTCATCAATTTCTTAAGGATTGCAATGCCATCTGCAATTTAATCTTCTTCCAACAAATCAATGGCATTCTGATACATTTGAAAAAGCTCTGATTCAACCTTTTCTTTATTTTAACTCATAATAATAAATAATATATATAATATTCAAAATCTCTTCGATTCAATTTTCTTCACAACAATCTAAATCATTAAGTGAAACAAAAAAAGTGGGTATTGTCATATCCTTTGATTGAATATAAACATCCTTCGCATATTCAAATTTAAAGTCATCATATTCAGATTCAACCAAATTCTTTGTATAATCGCTAATTAACATCTTTCCTTCCTAAAACTAAATAAAATATCTTACAGTTCCCGATGACTCCATCAAATTAGCAATTGTGACATCTTCTCCATAAATATCATATCTAACAACATCAGTTCCAACTACTCCACCGAGGACTCTACCAGTATGCACTCCTATTCTCATGTTTAAATGCTAATATTGGGGATCCTATTTGATATCATTAATTATCTATATCATTTTGAGACCAAAAGCTAGTACTTTTTATGCCTAAATCAATTTAATATAATACTTCTTCGGCAGGATCTCTTTTTGTGTAATCCAAAACTCCCATACACACATAGCAATCACCAATAGTAAACAGTTTATATATCTATGCCATTTAACAATATAAATCAAAAGATTGAAACAAGTTTCTAAGCATTTCAACAACAGTTTCAGGCTAAACAGAGCTTGAATATTTAGTAAAACCAGCGATGTCTGCAAATAAAACAGTAGCATGGTCTAGAACATCTATAAATGTTTCAGTTTTATCTGATTCTGGTTGTAATAATCGTTTTAATGCATGAGGAGGCATCAAGTATTACAAAATATTTTCATATTTAAATATTTAAGTTTATAATTGTTGACTCACTCTATAATTTTTAACAAGGATTTCATTTACTTAATGCTCAAAGTAATAGGTTAAACCATCAGTGCTTATTATGAAAAATACTATTTCCAATATGTACTTTTTATATACAGTTAATAGAATCAAAAGAATAAAGTAAATGATTTATAAATATTATTTATCTTTTAGAATAAAAAGTTATTAGTGAAATAAGTTGATATAGATTGAAGTAATCTAACATAATTACAAAATTATCTCAAATTCTTATTCATCCACAAAGTAAACTATTAAAATGTTTAATGAACTTATGCTTATAAAATAGATTAAACTTAAAGATTTAGCTTTTTTAAAATCTTAAAGATCTTAGAATTTGTAAAAAGGAAAGATAATCAATACACTAACAATGAGTTGACATAAAATAACAATGATTAGTTCTATTTTATTTGATGGATTTAATTCGTCTAATAAGAAATATAAAAGGCTTTTACAAATCATAAGAATTAGTAACAGTATAAATGTTTTTCTAAACTATATAAATTCTTGCAGATTATATTCTTCGTAGATCTAATAATACAATACATGGTCTTTGCTATCGTATTAACTTTTATTCAATTCATAATCAAAATCTTTATCAAAGTCTAATTTAAATTTTTTAATGTTCTTTAATTTTATCAAATCTAATCTTTACTAAAGTTTTGAAATGCTCTATTTTTTATTTATTTCAATTTCATCAGAATTTTCAACAAAATCATTTTCTTTTTTTATAAGATTCTCTTAAGCTTCAAAAAATCCAGGATTTTCTATTTATTTTCCTTTTCCCTCAAAATGATTTTCATTTTCCTTTTAAACTAACTTAAGAGGTCGTTCCTTATCTTCCGGTAGAATTATTTTAGTGTTTGATTTCATCATTTTTTTCTTATTAACCAAATCAGCCATTATTACAGTTCCCTTCCTTTTGATTTATCCTCTTTGAGGCTATTGATTATTCTATTAATTTTATGCTTCCTCTGCAATCCTCACCTACTTTATGCTCTCTTTACTTGGGTGTTCCAAAATCTAGACCATTTGAGTTTAAGAATTTTATTGTAGTACACTTAACTAAGGTTATATACTTGAGCTCTATTAGTTTTGTGAGGACGAGATCTAATTAGAAGAGGGTTAAAGTCTAATGTCTGAAATAGGTTAAAATAGACTCATTGAAAACTATTACAAGGTTGATGGATAATGCTAAATAGCTCCATCTTCATTTCCCCTTTTAAGTGGTTTATGCAGTTACAGTATACTACTTCTCATTTTTGGATTTGTATTTACAACCTTGGGCTGCTATTAAACTTGAGATTGATTTTCATTCTATATTTATTATCCTTAATTTAGATCTTAATTCGAACTAGATATCGATTTTTAAGAATTTTAACGTTTGACTTCTTGTTCTTTAGTTTCATGATCAATCGATTACTTTTTCTTGATCATAATTTAAAACGTCTTTTTGTTTTATAACTATTACTAGAGCTGTCTTAAAACTAGTATAGGGGATTTGTTGGGATCATTTCCCAATCCTATTGGATTCATAACAGAAGCTCTTTTCATCAAAATTTTGGCAGGAGGTTTCTTATTTTCAGGATTTTTTAATGGCATAACTTGAACTCTAGTTTCATTGCTGGATTCTTAATGATCTTTAATTAATTTAGATGATATTAATCTTGTTGAATCTTTATCCTTTAGTTATACCTTGAATCGAAATGTTAGAAGTGTCCCTTTTCCTTTAGCAGCCACTGCCTTTTCATCAAATTAATATTTAGTTGTATCTTTAATATTGTTATAGGCCGATTCACTCAATGTAATGAATCCAGCATCACCTGTGCTACAAACCCTGCTTGTAGTATTTACTGTATCTCCTATCAATGAGAATTATGGTTTATGAACTCCAATTACACCAGCAATTACTCTACCATAATGAATTCCAATCTTTAATTTAACATCTTGATTATCACCATATTTCATTGTTTTTACAGCATCCATCATAGCTATAGCCGTTTCTAAAGCTCTAGTTGTGCTATTAGCATTTTTTTAATCTATTTTTAGATTATATTGTTACTTATCACTGCATCATAATCCTTCAATCCTCCAGCTGCCATATAAGTTTTACCAACTGTCTCTATCTTTTACAAATCATACGTCTAACACAATTAGTCAAAGGCTCTGTATAGAGTATCTAAAAAGTTCAATATATTTTCTTATTCATATTTAATAACCTTGTCGAATTGGTAAATATCACAAAATAATATTGTAACATCGCCTTGATCTTGCTAAATCTAAATCTAACCTTTATTCATTCTCTCTTAAATAAATCTTGGCATCAATAAACCTAAAATATAGTTTATCTTCTTTTATTCAATATTCAGTCTATTCTAATAAATATATGAAGATCTCTGTAAAAATTGAAACTTTTAAACATTTTCAAAAATTGGATATGATATTTCAACTAATAGAAACCCAAATTTGACTAAGCAATATATCACTTCTTTTTAATTAAGAAAATTCATTGAAAATCCATTTATTATCAAATCTATTATGTAAATGACCAATTATAAGATAACATAGAAAATAATTGGAACTATTGGTTGAGTTGTTATTGCAAAAGCAAGAATAAATTAGATATTAAACATGAATCCAACAAATTCTTGATAATTTCCTATATAAAGTACATCTATTAATATTTTAAAAATGTATCTTAAAATAAGGGATAGCAACTAAAAATATTATTAGATCTTTTTATTAGTGATCACCCTTAATTATAAAAGAGAAATAAAAAGTTAAATGATAAATTAAATTAATACAGTTAATAAAATTGATAATGGAAATACGCTACTTGTAAGTATTTCATAACAGTACATTATTAGTATGCATATATCATAAAATATAAAAGCATAGAAAATGTTAAATTTATGTTAGTTCTATTATTTAAAGAAGTCTTAAAAATCCTTTTCGGTTTTTTTATCTTGAAATCCTTGAAATTTATCCATTTCATCTACTACTGATTAATCTCCCTTTATTTATTTAGTTATTATTTCATCTACTAAATCTTTATTATCAAAAAGCTAATCTGTAATTTTTTTAATTTTTTAATTAAAAATTAACTGCATTTCTTCTTCTTCTTCTTCGCTAAGTGAATTGCTTGAATTTAGTTTTTTTTTTAATTCCAAAATATCTTTTTAGTTTTACTCAAAGGTGATTTGTTCTGAGGGTATCATGAAATTTATCGAATAAATCTCCAAGATCTCTTGAGTCACAAATGATAAACCAATTAGAAAAACACTTATGAAAATGAAAGCTAAAAAATTTTATTAATTGAATTCATCTATCAGTCTTTAATCATCAGTAGAGGCTTAAACCAAATTAAAACATATTATTAACAGAGTCAATATAAAAATTGTAATAGTTAATTACATAAGTTTATAATAGATATTTTCATATTTCTTTATAATATGGAATAAAATTTTAGATTTATCTAATAATTCTAAGCTTATGTAAAGTAATACTGATTTTGATGTTTAATCAATTTTACCATTTGAAGAGATAACCAATAAAATAGTTTATTCAGTTAGAATCAAATATACTAAATCAATAATAACTATTACAAAAACCCCTAAAATTCCTCTTAACATACTTCTCTTCTTTATACTTTAAAATATCATAACATAAGTAGATTAAAATTTAAGCGTTTATTCTTTCTGATTACACAATAAAAAATAGTGCTAAATAGATGACAAAATATTGCTTGGAATTAAAAAAAATATCAATAGCCAAAATAGTTAAATATCTTCAAATTAAAAGCTAATAATAAATATTATCAAACCTAATAGTAAGCATCTATATAATTGGATTTCTAAAAATGCTAAATAATTCTACATCTATCTAGGGCAAATAAGAAAAATCATCTTTAATAGTTATTTAATATTTAAAGCTACAAATTTTGAATTTATAATAGTTATTTCCTATTCTTTTTTCATTAAACTAACTGTTAAATGAGATTTACTAAATAGATATTCATCATCTAAAGAATTTCCAACGCTGAGTATTTTTTAATTAGTTTTTTATAGAATTTTTGCTAATTTTCCTTTTTATCTACTTGTAAATCGATAAGCACCTAATCCACCAGACATTTAGAATATAAAAACAAAATGATATTTTAAATATTCATCCTCTAAAATACTATCAAATGCTTCAGAACTTACAATTATAAAGTTATCCTGATAATTTGGTATATTATTAGACATCAGATTTTAAAGATACTACCTAAACTTATATTGTAACTATTAAGAGTCCCTTTCTTTGAATTCAATAATTTGTTCTTTTGATTAGATTATTGAATATGTTCTAACAAAAAGCATTAAATCGTCATAAGAATCAGGTATAATGATGCATAGTTTGATGTTATAATTTTATAAGGTGAAAAAGATTCTTTCTTAATTTACCTATTCCTATATGAATTCTTAAGATGAATGCTATAATAATTTTTATTTTGTTGATGATATTCCAATAGCAAAAATAGGTTCACTCTTAGATTCAAGTTCAATGAATAGTTTTTCTATTTCATGAGATCTATTTCCATATGTCTCTGAGATAGCGGATAATTTTTTCAAGATATCATTTGTTTAGGAATATCCTAATTACCTTTTCTAATATAAAAATGTTTTTAATCCGTCCCAATTCATTTCTTATAAATTTTCATGATATTTATTTTCTGTCTGATTATTTGTTTCAATTCTTGTATATAACAATGCACCTTCATCTAACTAAAATGATTCTGGATCTCTAACTAATACTGATAAAATGTGTTTCCTATTCTCTGTAGGTTCTAAAAAAGTTAGAATCTCAAAGACTTTGGAACTGGTACCAATTGAAATAACCTTTTTTATAATTGTTCTGCTATTTAATTCTTATTTAGTATTCTCCTATTCTGTTGAACAAATTAGATTATAATCAAGTAATTCACAAAATTATAGAATGGATTCATCATAACTATTTTCAAAGATAAATTCTAATTTATTTAATTTTTCATTAAACACACTTATAATACTATTTGTTAGAAGCATCATCACTAAAATTTCATTATATATTCTATCATCTTGGCTGTAAAGAATATCAATAAAGTCCTATTCATTATAATTTTCGCTTATAATTCTATCAGAGTTTAGGTCGTTAATTTTTTTTTAGGACATCTGGCTAAAATTAGGATTTTGCTTAATAATAGTTCCAGGCTTGACAAATTGATTTTTTTATTTTTACAATCCAATATGTGATGATTAGAAAGATTAAGAGATATTATGATTGGATGCATCTTTACTGTTGTCAAAAACTTAATTGCTATTTTATTAGTGTTTAACAAAAGAAGAATCAAAAATGTATCTGGCACTCTTTTTCTTGCCTATGCCATTATTCAATTTTGTATCATTTTATTTTTAATCCTTTTAGTTGTTATCTTTAATATTCCCTATTTTCTAAATCTAGATTGAAGCTAATAAAATATCAGTACAATTTCTGAGATCAGGAACTCTTTTTTCAGAAATCAAAAGATCAATATCTAAAGTTTTCATTTCATCTTATGTTTATTATCTATTAGTGTCAATTAATAATTTGTCACAATTCGTCTTTTATTTTGGTGAAGCATTTCTCACCAAATTTTTAAGTTTATTATAACTAAAATGGTATGTTTTAAAGTTTTCAACAAGTTAGACTACTTTAGGTTTGGCCTTAAATAAAAATTTTGGATTGTCCAAAATTAGAATATCAGTCCTAATAAGATCTAAGACATTCTATGAAGTTAACATCATAAGCCCTGTCTCATTATTATTATGAGATTTGAACCCTAATAATTATGTTTGTCTTTGAAATGATAATAGTGGCAAATTAAAATATTTTTCTATAGGCATTAGTATTTTCCTATCATTTTATGATTTAAGAACTATTGGATAATCATTTGCTCTTAACTTTTACTATTTTTTAACTTTGTATTTATTTTTCACCTTTTACTATTCCTTATAAAATGCTTTATTATTTTTGATAATAATAAAAAAATAACATATTTTTTCTAACAATTATAAGTTCTAAGGAAATATTAACAAGCAGTAAATTAGACTTTTAAAAAAATACTCACGTATAAAAAAGGATGAAAAAACCATATTAGATATAAAACATATTGAAAATAAGATCCAACAAGTATAAGAGATGTAAGTCTGAAATTCTACTATCCAGCTTTTTTATGAATAGTTTTATTTCTTTAGAGTTGTTTAACCATAACAGCAATCCTCTCCAACTCTAATTGCCATTCCAAAAATCCAGTCTACCCTATCCAGCGTTTCTCCCTTCAAAATCATATTTTTTTTATTAAATGAAGTAGCTTTTGGATCATTTTTTAATTTTATACTCCCTACAGGCGACTCTTATATACTAAAAGAGATTTGTCCATTTAGTTTTGTAATGAAATCCATTATATTACCTTTTGTGTTGTGATTAATGTTAACAAATGTACAAGAACATGCAGTACGCACTTCAAAATCAACTAGAAGCTCCTCTTAACTTGAGTCTAAAATGAGAAGATCAGCAGGACTCTACTTCCCTCTCTTTAGACATACAATATCTCCCAATTATAGTTCTGACCATTTTATTGATTTGTAGGATTTGAATCTAAATACTTATAATATCATACTCTAAATAATCTTAATTTTTTTCTTCCATTTGTTAAATTTCTTCTTCAGAAATATTAGGAAACTTCGAAAATATTCGACATTTAGAATTATTAACTATAGATTATTGGTTTTCTTAGTTTATAACTGATTAATAGCAAGTTTACTAAATATTAAAGCTTATCTAAAAAGTAACATGTCAATGAATAAAAAACTATTATTTATTCAGTAAAATCTTAATAAAAAGTTTTTCCTGATAATGCAATGACTAATATAATTAAAAGGATCAAATTTTCGACTCTTTTTATTAAATCAATCATTTTTTTAATAACTTGGAATGACTAAAGATAAAAGACAATTCTTTACTCCAACAAATTATATATAATTGATTGTATTTTCAAAATTTATTATCTTTTGCACTTCTCCATTGGAAAATTCAATCTATGAATTTACACATTTAATACTTTATAAACCTAACCATTTTCCTGTTATTAAAATAGCGTTTTTTAGACTGATTTCTAAATTTACTTTGGTAGCCATAAATAACAGTAAGAAATAAACCTATGAATTATGGTCATATTAAATAATAAAATAAATTGTCATATTAATTTATAGAAGCCAATAAAGTTTCAAAAAATGAATAAATTGATTTAAATAAAAATGGATTTTTAAGATTAGAATCTCTTGTAGGATTACAATTGATAATAAGAGGTATCTAAATTATTAGTATTTCGAAATGATGAAAATTTTATTTTTTAAATTTTAGGAGTACTAAACATGTATTTAAGTATCACACTTAAGAGATAATAAGGTATTTTGAATTAATATTATTAAATTTCTGAAAATAGCACCATTTAATTGAGGTTAATTAAATTTATTCTTAAATAAATATTATATTAGGACTCTTGGAATTAAAAATTAAATAGACAAAGAAATATTTAGAGATTTATTTGAAATATATAAATCATTATTTCTTGTTTATATTTTATCCAATCCTTCTATTTTTCTAGGAAGTCCATTCATAATTTTCTTTGCTTGTTGTTTTATGATTTTTTGATTTTTGTTAATGATTTCTAATCACTTGGCCATAAACCGATTCGCTTGGATGACTACAAAGCTCTTTTAATATTTTATCTTTCAATGTATCTTCATTTTAAACTTACGGATTTGAGTTCATCCCAACATTCATGATAAACTGTCTTTTACTTTCTTATTCTGTGGATTATGGCTTGATTTATTTTGATTTAGATCTTAAGTGGCCTTCCTATTAACGATGCAAGTAGACAGCATCACATTGTTATTATAAGTGAGAGGCTGACTTTAAATTTGGAACTGATCCATATTATTATTTGTGGAGGTAATTTTATATTAGATTTTACTAAGCTAAACATAATAATTAGATAAATACATTTTTGATTAGAATTATTCTTTATTTAATTATTATAGGTTTACCCTTACAAAATAGATTTACTAGCAGGAATAATCTTTTGTTTAGGCGTTAGTTCTCTATCTTCGAGACTTCCTCTTTCAGCTTCTTTTATAAATTTCTGGATTTGAAAGCAACTCAAATTATTATTTAACAATGAATAAGATTTTTCACTTATTCTTTCGCAATCAGTTGTTGTTTTTTATTTTTCATTGCATTAATAAGAATATTTGTCAATTAATTACTTTTAAAGTGCTTTTTTCGAACTTACCTACTCTAAAACACGAGAACTATTTTAATAAGAGATTTTATCATTTGGTGTTATATTATCCCTTCTCAAACTAAGCTTTTATTTCCAACTTTCAGGGGTATTTGCATTACTTCTGACAGGGTTTGAATTGACTGATTCAAATTTATTAAACTGTTAACGAATAGGAGACTGCAATTGTACTTAATTCATAGTAGACATAGGACTATTAACCTCCTCATTTTCAAACATATCAAAATATTTTTAATGATTTGACAAATTAGATTCAAAATTTTATTAACTAGTCATCGTCTTTTGATGATATTCCATATTGTCATTTTTAATGAGCAAATTATAACACATTTTATTCATAAATGTTAGAATTTAATTTTAATCAACATTGACCTATTTTAGAGATAATTGAAATTGATTATTTATTTATTGATATCGTATTTCATTTACTTTTTTTTAATACTTTTGCATAATCTCATCAAATGGTTTCATTTCCATTTTCTTAACTATGTTGTCATGATTAGTAAAAATATCAATAGAAAATTGCTTCAATTATTGTATTAATTGCTTGATATTCTCTATTTGCTCCTAAACTTGATTTTAATAGGTGGAATAGTCATTTTATAATTTCTGCTGATATGTTTGTCTTAACTAATTAGTTGTCTTTAGAACTATATTAAAAAATTCTTCACAATTGATATTCTATTCCTCCCATTAGTTTATTAAGTTGTTTTTAATATCATTCATGTTAACTAATTTTTAATCACATTATTAAAGAGCTTAATGTAAATCCTTCTGAAAGTTATTTATTTTATCTTTCCTTTATATTTCCAATTATACCTCTTATGTTTCTTCTATTTTAAGACCTTGCAAAGCTAAATTCAATGCACATTTTGAACAAAATAATTAATTGCTATTTTGCTATACATAAAATTTTGCCTATATTTTAACAAACAAATTACTTTTTTATTTGGGTGCTTCAAACAGTTGTTGCTATCATTATTAGCATGTTTTAAAATGTTTGAATTTTTCAAAATTCTCTCTTAATCAGTTTTTACGAAACTCATTTCATCTGAATTTGATAAATCTGAAGATGAAATTGATTAAAAACTCATTTATATTCGTTAAAATAATAATTAATATAATAATGAAGAAGTAATCAAAAATATCAAATTATAAATACGATTAAACATATCATATAATGAATTTTTATCTCTAAATACATTTCGAATAGATAATAAATCATAAATAAATCATAAAAATATTGAACTCATAAAATTTATTTAAATCAGATTATCAATAGAGAATAATGAATCAAACTCAACTTTAGGAAATAAATAGAAAATAATATATTATTATACTATAATTTTGATCTCATATCACTACTAATAAAATAATGAGCATCTAGAAAAAAACTACTTAATAAATATCTTTTTATTATTTATTAAATCATTATTTCATAACCAACACATACTCTTGTATCTATAATAATTAAATTAAAAACTGATAGTTTTTTGATATTTTTTTATGATTAACAAATAATATTAATTTAAGACTATTAATGCTATCTATCTTTTTATTGGATTTTAAAAAAGAGATAACTTTATTAGAATTACAATATTTTGTATTAATTATACTTTTGCATCTTGGATAATTAATATAAGAGATTAAGAATTCTAATTTCAAATAAAAATAAAGTTTCAATTAAAGATGAAAAATTACTAATTTATATTTGAAGTTGAGGAAGACTAGGATCATGGGAGGATAGAAGATCTAAAACCTGCAGATGGAATTTTCTTATAATAGAAAAAGCTTAAGCAACTATTAAAATCTTCATAGCATAAAAATTGGTGTAAATTTAAAGAAAATGAATCATAAATGAGAAAGAAGAAAATAAGGAGGAACAGCAAAGGGAAAAAATAAGTTCTTGAACTAGGCTTGCATCTTAAAGGGTTGCTAGAATAGATTATAAATGAGTCGATTTAATAAGCTAACAAAGGGTTTGTCTTTAAGTAATTACAAAATTGCCAAGAGATAAAATCGGTATTAGATAAGATGGAGAGGATTCTAATCGGAATGAAATCTCTACTCTTGTCGTAAATGATTAATAGTTGGAAAGAGGATTGATTTTAAATGTTAACATTCTTTTTTGAATTACTTTATGATATTAATAAATATAGAAAATGTCGAAGGGTTTCAATCTGAATTTTTAAAATGCAAACGTAATGACTTTTGAATAAGAAAATGATTTATTTGCTGGTTAGAGTATAAAGGTAATATATATATGAGTAAGCTAGTTAAAATTTTAATTAGAGGAGAGTTATTACGATTTAGAGGTAAAACTTATAATTTCATAATAAGTTAGTTTAAGGTTGGATAAGATGTTGAATGGGCTAAGAAATGTGTGGCTGAAAAAATAGACTGTGGAAGAAACGATTTTGTATGGCAATTAGGATTAAAATAAATTAGGACCTGATTTTCGAAGGGAAGATAATGCCAGAGTTCTTCTCTTTAAATGATATCAAAAATTTGAAGGATTAATCGATCATTGAAATTCGAATGAAGAAGTGATTTAATAATATAATGTATATACAATTATATGCAATACCAGGGCAAATATTTTTGGGAATGTTTGCTCAATTCACCTATGATTTTGGAGTGATCTATTACTTATGCATGATGACAATCCTTATCAGTCTATATGCGTGCATATACATTAGCAGCAGCCAATTATTTCCGAGATGTTTATGGATGATCGTTCCGTTTTAGATGGTACTAACTATTATGAATTTCGATATGGTGAGTGCGGGAATCATTCCTTATTTGATTCTTACAGATTAAATAAATAGTGATATCATTATCAGATTACCAAAGAAACCGATTCCCCCTCCAAGAAGATCATTTAATGCTTAGATTGATAATCAACATAGCATTCACATTCAAAATGTCATCAAATAAAATGCACAGAGCCTCAAAAAATATGAATATTTTCATATTGGTTGTATAACTTTGTGTTACATAGCAATACCAAAATATAATTGTACTAGAATGTTAACTATTCAAAAGACACTGCATAATTGTTAAATACTGCTTTCTAATAATATTATTACAAATCAGATTATAATACAACTCTGTTCAAGATAGTCATTTCCTCAATCAAATTTATGTTATGTTCATTGACATTAGATATAAGAGCAATGTTAACTGTACCAATATTGCCGAATTTCATAAATGACCAAAAGATCTATTCTTATTGTTTTTTGACTGAATAGATTTTCATCACATATCTGGATTACGAATACGGAATCTTTATAATTTGATAATATTTTTAAGCTTTTACATTTTTGATTCTTAAAATAAGAAGTACATCATATTAATTATTTTATTAGCACAAAATAGTTGACGCTCTTTTATATTCCATTGCTGATATATGCATTTGAAACCTAAACAGCAATTTATATATACACATATATTGTTATAAGTTCAGTTTATATAGCTTTGCTTATAATTCAGGTAGGAGAAACAAGTGATGTATTTAAGATATATATTGGTGGTAGTGGGATTATTCATAGCAGAACAATGGTATAGCAACTTATTAATTAGGTATTACAAATTGTTATTGTTGATATTTTTGGTTGACACTGAAATGAATGTTAACATAAAACTCTTTGTCCAAGTATTTGTGGGGAAATAGGTATTTGACTTATTCGTATGCTACACTCCTTTGATTACACATCAGTTATTTCAATACAAATATGATGTTTGCAATTTTAATTCTACATTATGTCTTTTGAGTGTGGTTACGTTGGTGGTAACTTTGCATATCCATCAGGAGAACCTGATATTCTCTCGTCTCATGCAGATATATGTAAGGAATGAATAGATTATGTAGCTGTTATCGTTGCCTATATGGCCAGCCTTATTCTACTACGATAGATCAGCGGATAATTTAATTTTAGCATTGATAAATATTGTGCAAATATTAAAATAGTTCTAGTAGCAGGTGGAGGAATGATACAAATAATATATATATGATTTTATTTGATTTATGATTTATCATTCAAATTAATTTAGAATTTGTTTGAATACCAGCATAATTATCTTGGATTTAGTTGAGAGTCAAATCTTATGCCATACGCTTGATTTCTTTATAGGCACTCATTACAAAGTATTCATTTTCCCCTTCGATTCTCAAGAACAGCTTCTTCTATCCAGGCAATGGTTTCTTACCGGGTTCTACAAGACTTCCTCTCTGTGAAATTTAACAATTAGTAAGTTCATGAATCATGTTTAGAAATTCTTTGCTTAAGATCTTCAATCTTGCTTGAGTGGGATAATCGTTAATTTCAAAGTCATAACTTACAAAATCATGATTGTTTCTCTCTCTTTCTTCAAATTCGTTAATGATTTGCATTGCTTCTTCGATGCCTCCTTCAATTGATTTATTAACTTAGCTATGCTATTTTAATACTCTTTTAATTGCATCCATTGCTGCATTGGCCACTTATTCTCTTGAGCCTCCAGAATTGATACACAAATTCGCTGCTTTTGTGGCTTCGGATAGGATTTGAGATTTCAAGGCAGGATCTTTAATCAACTACATAATCCTCTCTCTTTCAACTCTATCTCTTTCCTCCTACTTTTTCAATCTTTCTCTAAAATAATAAGTATAGAATATACTCTTCACTTAATTTGCCTTTTGCAATTTCCTCCAATACTTTTTCATCATCCGAAGACTGTTCATCCATCATCAAACCCTCCAATCCAAACTTCTTCCTCATTTGTGCTCTGAAGTCCTGGAACTTCTATTCCTCCTCAGGTCCAAATGTAAATCCTCCTCCAGCTCTATTTTTATTTCTATAAATCTTTGCTTCTCCTGCCTTGACCTTCTCCATAAATGACTTCTGGTATTCCTTGAGTTTCTCAGGCAATTGTTGCTCACTCTTCTCAAGCAGATAGACCAAATCATTTGCCAGATGCTCGTCTTGAGGAGTAAAGAAGGTGATGGCCGTGCCCTTTTAACCAGCCCTCCCAGTCCTTCCTATCCTATGTATGTAGTCCTCCATGTGATTGGGACAACTGAAGTTGATGACTAAACAAATATGCTTGATGTCTAATCCTCTTGCTAATACAGAAGTTGCTACCATAATTGTTCTAATCCCCTTCTTAAAATCATGGATTGTGAATTCTCTATCCTAGGGGTCCATTCCTCCATGCAACACAAATGACTTATATCCATATTTCAACAACTCCTTGAACAGATCGTCTGCTTCCGTCTGCTTCTCCACAAATATTAGGATGCTCCCCTTTGTGTACCATTCCTGGAACAGAAGCAACAACTTATACAGTTTGTCCGATTCATCCATGAACTCTATTATTTATTCAATATTTCCACCTGCTTATCCTCTCCCTCCTACTATGCATTCTATTGGTTTACGTAAGACCCTTGAAATATACTAATTGATTGATACCTTTTGGCCAGTTGCTCCACGTTCTTTGGGAATGTAGCTGAAAACATGACTAATTGTCTGTCTGGTCTGATGTTTTGTATTATTTTACATATTTATGGTTCAAAACCTAAATCGAACATTCTATCAGCTTCATCTATTACTACATATGTTACCCTTCTTAGATTTGTTATTTTCCCGTTGCTTGTTGTTAAAACATCAATCATTCGTCCTGGAGTACACACAACTATTTCAGTTCCTCTTTTTAAATCACTCAACTAACCAGCTATCCCAGCACCTCCGACACAACAAACAACATTCAAATTCAAAATAGAAGTGAACCATCTACAATTAACATAAATTTAATGTGCCAATTCTCTTGTTGGAGCCATGATTATGGCTATGGGACCATCCCCATCCTTCAAAGCCGGTTGATCTAGAACATGCCTCAAAAGAGGTAATAAGTAGGCTAATGTTTTTCCACTCCCCGTCTCAGCAATGCCTATGAAATCTCTCCCAGACATAATGCAAGGAACAGCCTAAATTCATACATCAATTCATACTTGAGCCTATATCGGAAACGGATTTATGAATTTCTTCTTCTCAATCAACACATTCAAAACCCTGTCATTCAATCCACATTAATACCAATTCTAAATTGGTTTAGGCACATCCTTCCCTCTCACTTTGATATCTCCTAATTACTACCTTAATTTTTTGGCTTCTTCCGGTGTCATTTATACTAATTCACTTACCTCTCTATAGAAATCTTTTCTAAAAGGTTAATAGTCAATAGTGGAATGATCAACCGGTTTTAATTCCTTCTTCTCCAACTTCTTCTGTTTGTCAAAGATATCAGGTTCCTCTTCCAATAGAGCTAACATCTATTATTATTCTAAATCCACATCCTCAGCTTCATCTTCATCTTCCCTTTGTCTCATCTTCTCCTCAAGTTCCTTTTTCTTTAATTCTTTCATAAATTATTCATAAAACTTATTATCCTCCTCATCTTCCTCAATAATTTATTATTATTCTAACTCCTTTTACTAATTTTATGTTTCCTGTCCCTGTTCAATTTCCATCCCATTAGTATTCTTTTTTTCATTCGTTTAATTGACACTGTTTTGTATGATGTCCTCATAAGTAATAACTTTTTAAGCATTCAACTTCCTTAGTTCCTCTTCAATGGCTTACTTCCTCTTCTTCTCCTTTTCCTCTTCCTCCTTTCTCCTTCTTTCATCTTCATCTGCCTATTATGTTGCTTCGGCTAAATAATTAAAGGAATTTGTTACTTTCAACTTATCTCATAAATGCTTCAAGTGGATCCTCCTCTTGATCATCATACTATTCTTCTCTCCACCTTCGTTTTATTTGTGGTCTTGAGAATTATTATTGAGGTTGTTATTGCAATTCTTTTAATTTAGAAATAGATTAAAGATTTTTTGTAAAGTACTTAACTTTGGATGCATTTTCATCTTCGCTATCACTATCACTATCATTATTTAATGTCTTTTTGCCTATCAAGAATCTTTCCTGTTACTGTTTTTCTACTTTTTCAACTTGTTTCTGAGCTTCTTGATCCTCCTCTTCTTACATTTTCGCATCCTATCTATTATCATTCCCATTTTCTTCTTAATATTATTCCTCAGCATTATCATCTTCTTCAATTCCATCAGAATCATAGAATAGCTTCTCTCCCACCAATCTACACTTTTTTAATGCATCTTATATTTATTTTTCTTAATTTTTTTGTGACCAATCATAGAGTTATTCATCTGGGGGTAGAATTGGCTCAATTACTTCAGGATCTTTGTAAACAAATTCTTTTTTATCGTCATCATCATCATCATCTGAATTTTAAAATTTAATCAATTTAGCCTTCATTAATCTGGATAATCGCTTCTATTCGTCGTCTTTCAACTTCTATTCATCTTAGGCCTACTTTTTCTGAGCATTTATGGGGGAAGTACTATGGCTTTTCTTTCTGCTCTTCTTTTCTTTTTTTTTTGATTCTTTTTACTTTTTATTTTTCTTTTAAGATTCCTTTTTAACAGATTCTTTCTTTTTTATGGACTCCTTCTTTATTGAGTCTTTCTTAGCCTTTGACTTTTTTTCCTTCTTCTCTTTCTTCTCCTTCTTCTTATTAGATTTGCTTCTACTTTTACTCTTCTTTTTGTCTTTCCCCATTTAATAAAAATTTAAATAAAAGATAATATTTATCAACCCTGTTTATAAATGAAAATAAAATCACAATCTTTTTACAAACTCCTTCAATCTTCCAATCATCTCTACATACACATCCTTAGTTGCTATCGTCAGCATTCTTTTAATTATGAGAATCATTACCTAAACCCTTGATACTTCTCAGTGCCATTCCAAGACAAGGGTAACAAAATTATGTTTTCCTCCCCAAGTAACTTCTTGGCAAATTCTGTATCACTTTTAACTTAAAACACCTCCAAATCAATAAGAACAGTTAAATAAAATGTTCCTTAAGCTGGAATGCATTTTAAACCTCTAATTTGATCTAATTCTTAGATTAAAAAATCATGATTCTCCTTAAAATGCGTCATTCTGTCTCTAGCATAAAATATTGTCAATTAATCAAGTATTTAAGGTAGAGAATTAATTACGAATACATTGGCATACAATAAAAACTGACATATATTGTACATTGCCTATTTGATTTCAACAGCATAGTGATTTTTATCATAAAAAATCATCCATGATATTTACCAAACAGGTGTAAAGAACATCTTGTCCATTTCTCCCAAACGTATTATGGGTCCCTTATCTGCCAATTCTCAGAATGACACAAATTCCCCAAATGACATACCATAGTAAATTTCATCAGCAACTATTAAAACCCTATTCTAATTCGCCCAATCTATAATTTCCTAAACATGTTCCTTTGAAAATACTGATCCACAAGGATTCGAAGGATTTATAACATATAAAAAACTTAGTGTTTTCATCTAACTCGCTCTTCAAATCCTCTAAATCAATTTACCATTTATTCTCTGATTATAATTAATATTTTCTCACTTGAGTACCAGTTGAATGGCAATAGGAGTGATTCTAAGACTTCGGGATCTCAGACTTAACAATATCATAACCTATCTAACTCATCTTGCATTGCTCATGTCCAAATTAAGTTGGATCGCCCTTCATAAACGATATCAATGGTTAACATTCTCTAATTAAAGATCAGGGTTATAAATATTAATTTAGACTCGTCAATTTAATTTACTATTTTTATTAAATTAGCAAATGTAAGTTAAGTTTTCACATTAGAATAATTTGCATAATAACAAATCCAACAGTATTAGTGATTACAATTAATAAACAATATTAAACAAAATACATAATAATCACAGTTATCTTTCACTCTTTCTGCTATTGTTGCTATTGTCTATAAAGTTATTAAGCAAGAATATATCGATTTATATCCATTTGGTTTTTATTCTTGAATTTCATACTCTATTTGGCTGCTCTTAATTTTTACAATAAAGCCTCTCTTTCCTATGAAAAATAAAACTTATTTTTACCTTATCAGTTTCTACATATGTTTCCTCTGATATTTGTTAGGTTTACTATTCTGTTTTTAATTACTAATTGCGATTGGTACCAAATTATCTTCTGCTATCTATGATTTATAGAAAAATTAGAATACCTAAATTTGATTATTGAGTGTCTTTTCTTTTTTCATTCAAAGCCTTTTTTAAGTTGGCTAATAAAGCATCTGCTTCCTTGACTCTTGTGTCTTCAGGCTTGAGAGTCTAATTTTAATACATTATATTACTCTCTTTAATAGATCAGATGCTCTTTCTTAGAATTCAACTGCCTTTTAGAAGTCTCCAATTTCACCATGTTCCAAAGCAATCGCTGAATAATATCCAGATATTCTCAATTTGTACTATTAGGTCTCTGTCCCTGAGAAAGACTTAAACAATGATTCACACTTCTCCAGTCCTTCAAATAAGCAGTTCAAAGCACTCTAATGCTAACCACTTTCTGAATAAAGCAATGACAAATTTGTATATTGATTAAATACTTCTTAGCCTTCCCCTCCAATTAAATTGGCAAGATATAAAGTATGCAGCATATGATTGAAAGCTTCCTTATAACTTTTGGTCGAAAAGTAATATAATGACAAAGCTGTTATAGCTTATATTGTTAAAGGGTGATCATAACCGTAGATTGCAGTATAAATCTAAATGGCTTGCTTTTAGAAGTGTATGGCTGCATCATATTCCTATTTTCTCAAATAGACTGCTGAAATCTTGGAATAGCAATTTGCCAATTCTTTATGCATCTAACCATGTAAATTTAATATTATTTGTGATGCAGTAAGATAAGATTCTAAAGCTTGATGAAGATTTTAATGTTCAAGCATATACTTTTGACCAATTTCTATATTATTTTTAGCATCCTCTGATACTTACTCTATAAATTTGATAATTGGCTGGATTCCTACTATATCAGAAGGTTAGAAATCATGGTAGTCTCGAGCTACCAATTGTAATCCTATTTATTAACATAGCTCTCTTAAACAGGATAATTTATGGAACCCTTTCTTATTCAATATAGATGAATCTATTTTATGTTAATATCTGGCTTCTGCAATCTTATTGATTTAATCCCAAACCTCTTAGTATGTGGGATATTGATAATTGTTGGCTTAAATTAAACATCGAAAGTGAGGTTTATCACCATTTTGAGTACTTTTATTTTTGTTCTTCTTCTTTTTCTTCTTCTCCTCTTATTTATTATTATTAACTGAAGGATTGGAATTAGAGAATATTACATTTAAAAGATGACTCAAGATTTAAGATAATTAATTTTGAGGTGCCTATCTCATGGATTCTCTAAAAATGTGTTTTAATGTCTTAGCAAAGACAACTCTTTCCAGAGTAAGTCTTAAAGAGGGTTATTCTTCAGAACGAATAAAACTGATTACTTTTCCAAGATATCTCATATTGACTCCATGAGAATGGAAAATGTCTGAGATGCTTAGATCTGAGTGTCTTGATGTTTCTGGTTATGATAATTCTTAAATCAGTTGAGGAATTGCTTAATTTAATAAAAATGTAGCCAATTTTTTTAAATCCTCCTCCTATTATGTTAATTTCTCTGAGGTTTATAATGCGGTCTTAGTGCCCAAAGCTGGGTTCAACTTTAATCCTTCCTTAGGATTGCCAATCAATAGATTTTAAATATTTTAATATGCTTCCTATTATGTTTTAGGGTCATCACTATTATTTTGTTTAATTTTTTAAATAGTATTAACAACCCAATAATTTTGAAGTAATTCATATCTCAAAACACAACATTAATTGTTTTCTCCTTAATAATTATAGTCTCTTGGAGAAAGTCTTAAAAGATCGAGCAAATACATTCTTTTATCTGATCCCATGATACCTTTGACTTCTATGCTTCCAGCCATGGAATACTTTTGTTGGTTGCTGTCAAGAAATACAATATCAGTATCAAGATGGAAGAATTCACATGTTTTTGACATGACTTTGTGAAACTCTTCAGATTTTTGAATGGTCTTTCCATCATCAATTGAACCATACTAAGTGCAATTGCTATGATCACTATTGAGTATTCCTGGTATAATGGACTATGCAATAACTCTTCTCCCTTTATAATCAACTAAACAAGTATTCAAAACACTTAATCCAGGAATGTCTAATTTATGGAGAATCTACAAATTTCTAAAATCGCAATTAGTTGTTGAGACTGTTGGTGTAGCATCAGGACCACTTTCTTACTTTAATTTATATAATTTTAAATACTCTAAAATCTTCTGGTGTTTCCATAGCAAAACTAAAGAATATCTGATTGTAAACGTAAACCTATTAGCATTCGACATCCATGGGATTTAAAGGCTAGATAATTTTATCGACAACAGCACAAGCTCCTCTAACTGCAGCTTCAACAAAGTCTCCATAGACCTTTGATAATGCTTTGTCTCTATTCAATTTTTGAATTAAATCAATTTTGGGCAATGAACGAAAGACTTGACAATTCTTCATTCCAATCTCTCAAACTAGAAACATCAAATCCATGTAAATCCAATGCCCAACTCTCACTTCTTTAATGATCCAATGTCAAAGGAACTTCAGGCACTGACAACCACTTATGATTATATTTTATAGTAGCTGGTAATGCAGGTTGTTATTACTCTGGGATCGCATTAATTAATTCCTTTCTAATATTATGTAAATGGATCAGTTTACTTAAATGAGGGACTGTGATCCACAATCAAATCTATCAGATTGTAGTAGCAATCACTTTTTTGAGTTGACTCAAACGTTCTCCCTTAAGAGCTATTGACATAGAAACCTAAATTCGAGGCTGTTATTATCAGTTCAACTGACTCAATGGTTTTAAGGACGATATAAAAGAGATCACCTAATTATTGTTGTGTCCAATACCCTTTAATTTTCGCGAAAGAGGAGGGGGATTGAAAGATGACAACCCCAACTATTACACGTTCTATTTAATAGCCTTATTGTCATCATTTAAGAGTAAGGTTGGTTTGATAGCTGGTTGGAGGATATCGTTTAATTACAAATCCCCTATTTCTTTTAGTGATAATGAATCTTCATTCGAAATTTTGCCTTTGCAAAGATATTGATAATGTGATAGATTGGCAATTATTTCTTAGACTCTTCTTAAATGAAATCTAGCTGTTCTTTCATTAAACTCATCTATATGATTATTGAAACCTGTACCTAATAACACTTGCAACTTTCCTCCGTCGGGAATGGAAAACTCACTGTACTCATTGATTCGCTATCCTTTATGAGAAAAGTAGAAATTTTGAAAGAGGGACAATATTGTGGATTCTGTAAGATATTGTCTGACTTCTAGCAAAGTTTCAGCTATCTCTAGTGGCCAAGTATATTTGTCATAGAAGTCTAAATACAATTTTACACTTTCTTCTTTTGTTTGTTTCATCTCAAATCGACCGCAAATTAAATTAATATGCAAAAATCCTAACTTAAATATGCTAAAACACCGTAATATCTAAGGAGAAGCTCATTGAATTCGTAAAATTCATCGAGTCCTAAAAAGATAGCAAATTAAACCCAAGACCAGATGACTGGTAGCCAACTACAGTTAGAAATGTCGAAATCCTAATAATAATCATTTCATAGTTCTAGTAGTCCCGTCGGTCATTGTTAGTCAGTTAGGTGAGATCTACGTTAATAAATAGCTCTAAAACATTTCAGCATCCTCCCTCCCCAACTAGAACTTTGTAAAAGAGACCCTCTTAAATCATATCGAAATAACAACTTCAATCTATGCATGAACGATCGATCATTAAAATGTTAGGATTGAATTTGGAAGCTATTTGCACCAAAAGTTCTCATGAGAAGAATAAGATGGTCTTCATTTGTCAATATCCAAATTGTGAGGCAGATAATAGGTTAGGTTGCTCTTATTGTTAAATTGAATAACATGGTAATCATGCATCTCAAAATATGGAGATCTAAACATTTTGCAAAATATTCGATGACAGAAGACATTAAGTAAATTCAATATACCATTATAACCTAGTTTGACAACCTTTGCAATTAAATTATGAGAGTTCCTGATAAAATTACTTAAGTAAGAACATTTTTTGCAAAATTGAGAATAACTGTCTAAGAAAGATTATAGTAAATAGAAGAAAATGTAATTAAATCAATTGATGAAGCATTATCATGGTAACCTTTAGAAAGAGATCTTCAAAATAGAGTAAACTACTTAAGCAACAAAAATATATTTGATATGACCTAAGAAGAACTCAAAGAAAGTTTAAGTTTCATATAAGGTAAACATCTATCTGAAGTTGAATACATTATTGATGAAACTGAAAAGTATCTGACAACAAAAGTTGATTAAGTTCAATAATCTTGGAATGATTTCAGAGAACAATTATAATTTGAATTAAGCACTGCTTTAGGAGACAATAACAAAATCTAAATTATTGATTCAAAATAAAGGAAAGAATATGCTTAACAAAAACTCTAGATTTTAGCATAAAAACAGGAAAAGTATCTCGAACAATTTCGACCCTTTTAAATAATAATGAATGAAGTTTAAGAGGAAGAAAAAAAGGTTGAAGTTCAAAAATAAGAGGAAGTCAAAAGATAGTCACAAATTTAAAAATAACAATTAATTCAAAAGAAAAAAGAGTAACAGTAAAGGGAACTTGAATAAATTAAAGTAAAGGAAGAGCAAAAGAAGAATGAAAAACAATTTGAAAGAGAGAAACAGTTAAGAACATTTCCACATATTCTATACACTTAAGATTGTCCTCACAGATTACCTTGCAATACCATTCCAATTTTCTCTTGTTGTAACAAAGCTTATCCTTGCACACAATGTCATGGTTATCAATTTCACCCACCTAGAATCTCAAACCCAAGTTATAGATATTGTATGAATTGCTTAGAAATCTACTTAGTACTTTTTCCTACAAATCAATCAGTCAATTGTCTCAAGTGTCAAATTAAATAATCTTGATCATAATAAGATTAATTTATTATCTTAAAAATCAAAATTTGATCCATTCTCCAATTATTACCCTAAAGTATGATACCGTCTCTCTACTTTGTTAAATCTTTTCGAGGTTTTCTTTCCAAAATCACTTATTACAGTTTTTTGTTTGTTAGTAATATTGCTTGCAATAGAGGCTGTTAAACCATCACCAATGGGGCTTAATCATAAATTAATATAATACGGGATATTTGAGGAGTTCAATTATGTTGAGAATAATGTTAACGAAAACCGTTTATCTGCATTTAAAATACTTTTTAATTACTGTTTTATTGCAGACTTTAGAGAATCTCCATTAAGTTATGGTATTGATTTGTGATCATTTGTATTTTATTGAAAATCACTTACACTCTCTAATTTTCCCTTTGATATTCCAATCTTTCTATAATGGATTTTTATTTTATTATCTAATAAATGATATTTTTATTTCTATTCTTCAACATTTTCTCTAACTCTTTCACTCTCAACTAACCTTCTCTATCTTTTTTCTTCATCCATTAACACCTTTGCTTCTAATCTCCTTTTTGATATTAATGCCTAATAAGGTAGCGTTTCATCATAATCAAATTCTTTATCAAACTTTTCCAATTTTCTGATACTTTCTCTATAAACCTTTTCTTCCTATTGTACCTCCATTACCTATAATTTCTCTATAATTTATTGTAATCTCTTCGATTTATGCTTCATTTGATGGAACTCATCTCTCTTAATAAAGTTTATTAATATACTTTTATATACAAATCAGAACAGTCTGAATCGCCCTAAATCTAATCCTCCTTATCTTTAATCTATACTTAAAGATTTTGAATCAAGGGTATCATAGCTTATTGTATCTTATTACAAGTTTAAGAGTAATTGAAACTAAATTTGCATTATTCTATACTTGCAATTAGGAACCTCATCTAATTTGTACTGACACTAACGCCTAACCATTTCTTTATCAATTTTATTTTGAACTTCTTCTGATTTTGAGAGAGAAGCCAACACCTTATTGACTTTTTTGATCTTATGTTAATGAGAAACTGATTTAATAGGGCCATCTATGCCCTACTTTGTAGCTATCAATCTTTTTTGTAATAGCGCTAATTTCGGTTTGAACTGGTTGGTTAACTTTAAGAAGTCTTGGCAATACTATTTTCTTCTCTGAATGTAAAATTCAATATTTTCTTTTGTCAATTACATAAATAAAATAAATTGTTTTGTTTTTAAATCCAAAATGTGTAGTATCAAAGATATATAACACAAGTTTCATGATTACTTGAATTAGAATTAGAAAATAAATCATGTACAATATTCTACTTTTAAGAAATAAATAAATGGAGATTTATTGAATGTATCCTATAATAGTTTAATAATTAAATTAGTTAAATTGATAAAGTTAATTTTATTAACACCACATTTTTTGTAACCTTCGTTGTTTTATGGCATAAGAAATTGTTGGAATAATTGATTTTTTAGAATAATGAAGGGAATACAAATTATAAAATAGTTTAATTAAATATCAAAATTTCCTACAGTTGTTTACATATGAATGGATTTCTTTAAAAAATCTTGATTAAAGAGCTAGTTAGGTTTAAAAATTGAAATACATTTATGTTCTTCTTCAAGAATTTGAATTTCTTTATTTTGAGATATTAACTTAAAGGCTTTTTTATTTATTGTTGATTATTTTGAAGGATTGAAAGAATTTACTTATAAAAATGTTTGAATCAATTTTTCAAAACTCATTTCGTCATTAATGTTTTCTCTACCACTCATTGAAGTTTTTGGCTACTAAATTGAAATCTATTTTTTTGGTTCTAAGGTGCGACATTATAATTCTTTTCTCTATATTACAAAAGATCTTTCATAAAAGGATTCAATTGGTTATTAAGATTTGCGTTCGATGGGTTAAGTTGAATGATGCCTTCTCTTAATCTTTCTGAATAAGGATTTGTTTTCAATTAAAACAGGAAAGAATGGCTCCATTTCAAAGGGCAGCATAGTGTTAATTTGAAATTATTTTAAGTAGTTAAATAACTTTATTTATCAAATTTAGTGAAACAAATTTTGATGCTTTCAAAATAAGGAATAATATGTAACGCCGAAATATTGCTGAACTTAACTTTATTAACTTAGTTAATCTCAAAATGTAATTAATTTCTATATGTTGAGTTTAATTGTTAGGTCTATAAAATATAATTCATTCTCTGCAAAACTCACATTTATAATGATGATGATAACAGAGTGGATGAGTTAATTATAGGAGAACTCTAATTTAAACCAAATATTTGTAGAATAATGTTATTTTGCATTAATAAATTAAAATTAAATCGAATTATATAGAAATGTTCGAAATGTAAGAAGAATTAAGCAATGGAGATATTGCTTAAGTCCAAGATTCGAATCAGCTTAGACTTTCCAAAAGGCAATCATTCAAATCAGATACAATTCTGTAGTGGAATGCGTTGTAGGAGAATCTATAATTGCAATATAATTTGTTAAATAAGGGTACTTTGTGGCAATTGCAAATTAGAAAATGAAACCAAGAATGAGCGCATATAGATTCTACTGAATACGACAGAGAAGTATTACCAGACTTAACTTCGATATAAAGACTTACGTAGAATGTACAATCAACAATAAGCAAATAATTATAATCAAAAACAATGTATACTGGGATTCAAATTTGATAATTATCATTCTGAAATCCAAAAATTCTTATTTTTGTTAATGGAAAATCAAGAGTTATTTGCACAATTAATCCATTCATCTTTGGATGTTGGTGTTCATAATTTAGATGAGTTTATATTTGATATTCTTACTTTCCTCTATGACCCTATTGTAGGAGCTGGTCTCTAAGAAGGAGTTTTTAAATTATTAAGCGAACTCTTAAAATTGGAATTGATAGATCTGAAGAATCCATTAGAACTGTTTCAGGATAAAAATAATCTGGTTTGCAAATTTCTCATTGGATTCAGCAAAGGACCATTATGTCAATCATATATACAATAAATCTGTGGATAAGCATTAAACTTATTAATGAATGTGAAAGAAGAATTGCAATTGAATCCAAAGATGTAAATTGTATATATATATAAAATATAGAATTTACGAATCTCAGTTAAAATTGAAAGAAAGCAAAGAATCTGCAAAACTTTTGAAATTAAAGCAAGAGAACAAAGCAAGAAAAATAATGTTTAATATTATACCAATGTTAATGTAAGGAACTGAAGAAAACAAGGATATCAATGTATATGAGAATGTTAGAAGAACAAATATACCTGAATATATACTGAATGCCATTATGGAATAAATCTCTCCAGCCATTTAATCTTATTGTCAAACTCCTTTATAGAGAATAATGGACCCATAATTGTTAGAAGAAACCGCTAAAATTCTATATGATAGACATAAAGTGACAGAGATGATCATTAACTCTATTTGTGACAACATTTTAAACAGTTTACACAATTTACCTTTTATGATAAGAGCTTTATGCAGATTACAATATCAAATCTTTAAAGTCCTATATTAATCATATAAATAAGAAGAAATATTTAACTTGTTGATCTAATTTTTCATTAACAAATGGATATTACCTGAGTTCACAGCTATGTTTTTAAATTAACAATAATTAGAATCATCTTAATATTAGACCAGCAATATTGCAGCTATAAGCAAAATTTTATTGTCTGTTTGGAAAGGAGAAGCCATTGAAGGCCTCAATATTTCTTTAAACAATGAAAATGTATTTAATTATTTCAAAGAATTAATTGAACTACCTCCAACTTAGTTGAATTTTTATATCAAAGAAAAATCTGAAAAACATTTCATTTCCTATTTACTTTCTATATCGGATTTATAAATATTGTTAAATACTATATCAAAATCGAGAATAGAAGGTTCTTTGGGAGGCAAACAATTAACCAGATATACAGATTTAAGAGAATTAGCTGATTGTATAATGAGGTATAATTAAAAAATGGGAAGTGATTTTATGAGTAATCATGTGCAATGGAAAGGATAGAAAGTCCAGGCAAATAATATGCATTTTTCAGTACATAGACTATCTGATCTTTATAATGTTAATTATATAGACATAGCTTTTAAATTTACAGAGAAGTTCAGTGCATAGGATAAGGAAGAGTTGTTGTTTATTTCCAAGGCAAAGTAGGTAGTGGCATAATTCTTAATTTCTATTGAGCGTATATCCCTTCTGTCTAAATTGAGAAATAATATCATCCTAAGCTTCGACAACCTAATATACATGTATAAAGATGTAATCTATATTATGTAATTTAGTCATATGAAAATAAGGGCCAAATAATCAAGCAATATGAGAACATTTCACCTTAGTTATACGCAAATTATTTGCTTTCAATTTATAAAATGATTCCAAATCAATATACAAGCAATAATCTGTCGCTTTTATGTCAGGAAATGATATAAGAATTCGATTAGAAAGTTACTAATGCTAAAAATCGTAAGTTCTCTTTGTTTCTTATTTAGAATAAAAGGCAATGTTAGAAGCTTTCTTGAAAATTATCACATAACTTCAAACAGAGAGAAGAGAGATTAAAGCCTTGAACAAATAGCTAAAAACCATTGAATTAAAAAAAAAATTGAATTATTTTTTAAAGAATGTCAAAATACCATGTTTATTGAGTTTCAGATATGGATAAATCAATTTGATTTCAATTTAAGACACATCAAAAACAAAATCATTAGATCCAAAAGATAATGAAAAATAATAATTCTTATAGATTGTGAATGGAGCAGATTTGAATTCATTATAATTGGAATTGCCATTTTAGAGTATAAGAGACTTTATAGATATATTGAGTGGACTGAAGCATTTGCAACTTGCTTTAGAAGGAGATTAAGTTTTTATAGAGATGTAATTTTTAAATTTGTATTATTATAGTGTTTAGAAACTATTTTAAAGTTATATGAAATTAGTAGAAGAAAGGTTAGAACAGTAGTCATTTTTCCCATAAAATTAGAATGTGAAAAAGAATAATTAATATATTGATCTATGTTATGAGACAGCAGAGAAGTCTGTTGTTCGTAGAATCATGATGAAATATTGTACAGTTAATGAGATAAAGGAAGATTAGCCATTTATTGAATAATGTCAAAAGAAATTAATACATCTCGAAGAATAATAAGAGGTGAAAATTTGTTTATCAGAACTACCTATGTTAATAAAAATGAGCGAATGTATTTGATTATATAAATTGAATTTAGCTTTCAGATAGATTGATTAAGTGATAACTCCTATTGAGAAACTACAAATGATTTCTAATTGTTTAAGTAACTTATCCTTATTATTGAAAATATCTGGAATTGATGATAATCCTGGCTAAGATGGAACTCTGCCAGTTTTTATTTATTTAGTTGCTTAAGCATGTCCTAAATTTATGAAAACCAATTTGAATATCATTCAATCTTTATTCAATTTTGATCGTTGGAAGAACTCCACTTATCCATTTTCATCAACTTAATTATAAGGAGCATACGAAAATATTATGAGTTGAAATTATAACAATATATATCATAATTATTTTTAATCATCATTATCCCAAATATTGTCTCCTTCAAATACCTCTCCCTATTCTTAATTCTCCTCCTCCATTGCTAACCTAACATATTCTTGAAATGCAAATCTATCCCAATCAGTAAAGTCTGGATGATCAACGATGTCATTTCTTACTTGAAAAGGATCTCTGTTTTCATAACCAACAAGTTTATTTAAATTAGTTAAAAAGTTAAAGAAAACTCCACAAACAGATAGATTCTGTTTAAAATGATTCATTTTAAACAGAATATCATTATCAGGATGCAAAAGATCTACCATCTAACAAACAAAGTCTTGAAACAATATGGGCTCATGATTTAAACAATCCATTCGTTGTTTCAATTCTTCATAAAAGTAGTCCATTTCAAATCCTGTTATGATACCATTACTATCTAAATCAATAACTTTGAACCAATATTCAATAGATTGAATTGTAGTCTTATCCTCCTCACATTAAATAAAGTAGACAAAATCTTCGTATGACATTTTCTGATCTATTTCACTCCTGAACCTACGAGGTATTTAATCAAATATTCTATCAACTACCTTTCTACTCAGTCCATGACTAGAATAACGAGAGAAATCTTCTTTGCTAATATGAAAATCATGATCTCCATCCAATTCCCAAAATTTACAATAGATAACATAGAAATGCTCATATGAAAAATATTGTCTAATCTAACTAAGGAGTTATAAAAAGGTACCTTATTTATATCATCTTCTTTTGCTACTAAATCTAAAATATCAAATAGATTGCTTTGTTTAAAGTCTCGCCATGTAATTTTACCATTGTCTTTTCTACATAAATGATAAAATATTCTGTGAATGACAGTGTCAGCATATCGTTCTTAAAATTCAGGTGTTGCTTACAAAAATTCTAATCCAGGATGTTCTTAAAGCAAAACTATTTAGGAAAGAGAATGTACTCTTCATGAAAGGCTTGAAATCCTCAAATTCAATGTAATCATTTTTTGGTTTTTTGAAAATCTAAAAGCATCTATTTTTTGGTTCTTTTTAAGCTAAATGTTAATTCCAATACTTTAAAAACCCAGATTTACTTATCTTAGTAGCATTACCCTCAATAGCAGTCATTAAAATTTTGGTGGTGTATTTGCAAAGTCCACATAAAATTGTTGTAATTTATTCGAAATGGGTGGCATCAATTAAGTCTGATTTCCCAAAAATTTCATTGATGATTTTCTGGAATTAATAAATACATGGAATTTACATTTTATTCAGATTATAATTACAAATTGATCTCTTGATTTGGGAAATAGAATTGCGGAACTTATTCGTAATTCTACGCTTTTTCTACATGACATTTCTTTTGCAAAATTTATGATTGAGTAAGTGATTATGAAAGCTCTTCAGGTATTCTTAATTTCAGATCGTGAAATGGGTCTGTTTTTGGCGGCGATGCAGGTCCCTAAGTCTTTTTGTTTGGTGAGCTAAACAAAGCGCTCTATGATACACCAGACACTGCCATTTTATTAATAAAAAATGCATTTGGTTGAGCAATCAGATTATTTTATTTGCCATCTTTGGCATCTTTGATTAGTTGTTGTACTAACTTTTAAGTTTGAGGCTACGTCAGCCATCTAATGAAGAGGTCATTAACCCTTGTTTTTGACAACTAAAATCTCACATTCTCTGCCAGTGAGAAACCTGCACCAACTCCTTCAGAATACGATTTCTAAAGCATAAAATAATTAAAATATCTTTTTAATTTGATGTTTGCTATCACGAAGTAGGCATTGTTTAGACAATAAGCAATGAAACTCATGAATAGATTTGCTGTGGTTGCCAACAATAAACCAGAAAAAGGACCATCTCAAGTAATATTAAAATTAATGCCAAAAGGGACATCTGACTGATAAATACACAGTCATCGATCACACTTATGATGCAGTAGTTGTAGGAGCAGGAGGAGCTGGTTTAAGAGCCGCCTTTGGTTTAGTTGAATTAGGTTTTAAGACTGCATGCATATCTAAGCTATTTCCAACTAGATCCCACACAGTTGCCGCCTAAGGAGGTATTAATGCAGCTTTAGGTAATATGACTGAAGACGATTGGAGATGGTATATATGACCTCAAATTACATAGGCATGCATATGATACTATAAAAGGATCAGATTGGTTGGGAGAATCAAGATGCTATTTACCTATATGTGCAAAGAAGCCCCCTAAGGCAGTTTATGAATTGGAAAGTTATGGTTTACCATTCTCTCGTACTCCTGAAGGCAAAATTTATTAAAGAGCATTTGGAGGTTAGAGTTTGAAGTTTGGAACAGGAGGATAAGCTTATAGATGTTGTGCAGTGGCTGATCGTACTGGACATGCTATGTTACACACACTGTTCGGCAGAGCTTTAGGTTACGATTGCATTTTCTTTGTTGAATATTTTGCATTAGATTTAATGATGGATGAATAAGGGTAATTTTATATTTATTATAAATTTGTAGAGCTTGCAGAGGAGTTGTATGCATGTCAATGGCAGATGGATCAATCCATAGAATTAGAGCTGGATATACAGTCATTGCAACTGGAGGTTATGGAAGAGCATTCTAATCATGCACATCAGCACATACTTGCACTGGTGATGGTGGTGGTATGACCATCAGAGCTGGTTTACCCATGGAAGACTTAGAATTTGTATAATTCCATCCTACTGGTATTTATGGATCTGGATGTCTTATGACTGAAGGATGTAGAGGAGAAGGAGGTATTCTTAGAAATTCATTGGGTGAGAGATTTATGGAAAGATATGCTCCTACTGCTAAAGATTTGGCTAGTAGAGATGTTGTCTCTAGAGCTATGACTAAAGAAATCTTAGAAGGAAGAGGGTAACTATTATATTATTATTATTCCTAGAGTTGGACCAGAAAAAGACCATATTTATTTACATTTAAATCATTTACCCTCCTGAATTGTTACATGAAAAGATTACCAGGTATCAGTGAAGCAGCTAAGATCTTTGCTGGAGTTGATGTTACTAAAGAACCAGCACCAGTATTGCCAACTGTTCATTATAATATGGGTGGAGTACCTACAAATTTCAAAACAGAAGTGTTAAATCAAGTTAATGGAAAAGACTAAATCGTTCCAGGACTATTAGCTGCAGGTGAAGCTGCTTGTGCCTCAGTTCATGGTGCAAATAGATTAGGAGCCAATTCATTATTAGATATTGTTGTCTTTGGAAGATAGGCAGCCAATTTAGTTGGTGAAAAATGGAAGCCTGGATAGAAACAGCCAGATCTTCCCAAGAATGCTGGAGAAGCTGCCATCCCTAACCGACCTACTTGGTCAGACGTTGGCCAAGGGATAACTTAGATAAACTATTGCTTAAGTTAGAAAGGATTTATAAGAGAACCATGTAGAAACATGCAGCTGTGTTCAGAATTGAAAAGACTTCAATAAGAAGGTGTGGAAAAGGTTAAGGAAATCTATTCAAGAAAGGATGATGTTAGAATTAAAGATAAGGGATTGGTTTGGAATTCTGATCTTGTTGAAGGATTAGAATTAGAGAACTTATTATGTATTTACTATTTTAGATCTAATACTAGTATAAGGAAAAATGACCATCGAAGGAGCACTTAATAGAAAGGAATCCAGAGGTGCTCATGCAAGAGATGATTTTCCAGACAGAGATGATAAAAATTGGATGAAACACACTCTCGCTAGAATTCAAGATACTAAGTAAGGAGATGTTCAATTGACTTACAGAGATGTACATATTCATTAATATAATCATAGGTCATCACAAAAACTCAGGATCCTAAAGAATTCGACACTGTGCCACCTAAGAAGAGAGTCTATTGATAATTATACAATAAAATATATATAATACAAAATTTATGACAGAAGTTGAGATTACACCAAAACATTTGAAATTTAAAAAAATTGGACAAGAAAAGACAGTATACCAATATATAATTATTAGATTACTGTCAAGAACAATAGGAAGGTTGTGCTTAATTTTGCATTCAGGCTTTTCAAAAATTATGAGATAGCCCCAACTGCCCTTTAACTACTTCCAGGGGAGGCTACTGTAGTAACGGTTAAATTAAGGAATGTTGAAGCTCAAGAGGACTTTATTTACATAAAAGGAGATAATTTAGATTGCAGAATTGCAGTTACTTTTGAATGTGATTCAGATCGTTTGGATTAATATATTGATTAAGATGTCCAAAATAGGACGATGACATCACCAGGATTTGGAAATTTATAGACATTTGGCAATGTTAGAAGTGAATAATTTAATGCAGAAGAAAATAAAATACTTCAACAAAGAGTCAACTATCTAACTTAATAAAACCAGTTGCTTAATGATGCTTTAGAACAATTTATGAACTAAGAGATGGATGGTAATTCTATCAAGGAGTTATTGAATCACTTAATCGAATAGGAACGATAGGATATTGAATTTAGGAGTCAAAGAGTTTTATTAATGATTGAGGAGAAAGATAGAGAAATTGAGGATTTAAGATTGCAACTATAGAAACAGTAATTCAACAGTAATACCAAAGATTAACTCAAAGAGTTAGTTAAGGAGAATGAAAGATTATAGATGAAAATCTAAGACTATCAAGCTAGAGAGTAATATTTCAATCAGCATTAACCTGAGAGGGAGAGTTATGTGATGTTGTATCGTAAATATGAAAGCGTGCTTGATCAAAATAAGAAATTAGAATTGATTAATAGATCAATGAATGATGAAGTTGAAATCATTGCAAAAAGATTAAATGATAGTGGATTATAGAATTCAAACATCAGAGTTGAAGAAACTAGAGATGAATTAGTAGATAGGTTGAATGCTCGTATTACTTAACTTAAACTAAGAGAAGAGAAGTTACTTGAAGAGAATGCTCGCTTAGAGGAAATGCTTATCCACTAACAAGGATCAAGTTAAAATTTTTCATCAAATCAATCTAAAAATTTAACAGATGATCTATTAAAAAAAGAGTATCAAATATTGGAAAAGTCAAAGAAAGAATTAGAAAAAAGATGCAATGATACATTATCCAAATCTCAATTGCTAGAAAAGTAAGTAGATGAATAAACCAAATAAGCTGGGTATTTGGGAGATGAATTGTGGAAAAGTCAAAGAGATAATGAAAAGTTAAGATAAGAAATCAAAAAATTAAAGGAATAAGATGAATTAATTAAAAAGGAAAGATTAGAATATGAGTCTTAGATTTATGCTCTAGAATAAACATTAAAATAAGCTAATAGTTTATAGGATGTAAAAGAAGAAGCCAAAAAGAGATGGGAAGAAGAAATTAATAAATTATAAGGTAGTTATGAAAATGAAATTGTTGCTTATTAAGATGATGCCTAAAAATTAAAAAAAATTATTAATGATTTAAAAAAAGAGAACGAACTTACAAATACTCAGTTAAAAGAAACATAATATAAACTAGATTAAAAATTACAATAATTATCTTAACAGGAAGAATAAATGTAAGAATTACAATTCAAATATCAAAAACTCTAGAAGATTAATCAGTAAAATTAAATTGACATAGAAAAAACAAAAAGTGAATTCATTGTTCTCAAAGAAAAAACAGATGTTGAATTACAAAGAAGAGATAACCTCGAAAAGTAATTCTAAGATAGATAATTATGTCTCTAAGATCAAATTAATAATATTATGAAAGAGAAGTCAATTACATAAAGTGAATTACAATTAGAAATGAATAAATTATGTTAATAGCATAAAGCATCTATTGATTAATTATTAATGGATAACAAATCATTAGAATAGCAATATTTATTCGCATAAGATCAACTCAAAGTCTAAAGAGATTAATACTCTTAAAGAGAGGATGCCTTAATAAGAGAAGTTAGAAGTATGTAAGAAAAAATAGAAAAATTAGTTTAGAAATAGAAAGAAAAATAGAGAAGAAACAGTAAAAGTATCAATTCTTCAGTCGATAAAACAGCAGCCCCTACTTTTAATAATATCGAAGAAGAAAGAAGATTAACTGATTTATATATGTAGAAAATTAGAGAATTGGAGTAAGAATTAAATAACTCCAGATAATAAAAAATGTAAATTGAATTTGATTTCAATCAACTAAAGACAAAAAGTACATTTTTGTAATAAAGACAAGCAAAAGATCTTTTAGCTTAATAGTCACCCGTCCTTGCTGATGATCTCAATGAACTCAAAGAAACTATGGTTGAAATGAGATTAGAGAGAGACAAGATAATTAATTAGCTCTAAGAAAAGGATTATTAAATTGATCATCTGAACTAATAAATTTAAGAGTATGCTTCCCTTGTTTAATAATAACAAGGAAATCTCGAATAAATGGAAATTAAATTAAGTTATATAAATGATGATTTCAAAAGGACTCTTGAATAAAAGAATGCAGAATTGCATAAACTCAAGCTTGAACTTAACATAAGAGAAGAATAGAATTAAGTTTATCAAGAATAAGCTAAGTTATTAACAAATGAGAGAAGAGAGATAAATGAGAAGTGTTATATATAAAATTTTGAAATTGAATAATTGAAAACCAATCATCAAGAGGTTGAAACATCAAGAAAACAATTAATCTAAGAACTTAGATAAAAGATTGATGTATTAATTAAGGATAATGAAGAAAATTCTGAAATCATTCAAAAGATTAATACTGAAATTGTTAATCAAAAGGAAATATATGAGGAAATTATTGAAAGATAGGATAATACTATGGAATTAATTAGTGAGAAGTTCAATTAAGATATTTAAGAATTGTAATGCAGATAAAATTAATATTTCAATTAGAATGATGCTTATAAAAAGAGTTTAAATCCCACTAAAGAATAATAATGGTTTAAAGAGTTGATTCAATCATACCATGATAATGTTGTCTAACTTGCTCAGAATATGTAGAAGTAGAAATAAAATAATGATAAAACTAAATAACTATAGTAAACTATTAACCAATAAAAATAATAACTCAAAGAATTATCTGATAAATTAGTCACTCTTCAAACAGAAAATTAGAATTTAACTAAAAAAATTGAAAAACATAAACCTAAAATTCCAAGTCTTAAAAAACCATCCACAACAACAAAACCATCTTAATAAAATAAATAGAAATCTGATGAATAAGTACCTATTACCTTGCTATTACAACAAGGCAAGGTGGCTGAAGTTGAGTCTAAATCTAATCAATATATAATTTAATTGAAATTAGCTGAATAAAAGATTGATCAATTAAAACAAGCTAATTTGATTTATGAATAGGAATTAAAAAAAATTAATTAATCAACTTCATATTTACAAGATTTACTTAAGAATAGGGATTAAACAATTCAAGAACTTTAAAAGCAATACAAATAAGAAAATCAAAAAATAATTAATGAATTAAATTAGGTTTAAAATAAATTTGTACCTGAAGACAAAGTTTAAGCTCTCAATGAAGTTATTACTTAAAAAGATCAATTAATTAATTAATTGAAGGATGAGATATAAAGGAAAAAAGATGTAGCTGATTAATTTAGAGGAGATAGGGAAGATCAAAAATAAATTGTTGAAAAAATAAAAAAATAAAATGAGGAATTATTGGCAGAAAATGATAAGTTAAAAAGAATAAATAGAGATAATGAAAGGTAAAGCACCAATTTCAAAGAGTTCAAAGAGAAATATGATCAAATGAAAGTTTAAGAGAAATAAATATAAGATGAAATTAAGAGTATATAAGAAAAAAATAAATAACTTAAGTAGGACAATACAAGGAAGGATGCTAACATAAAAGAATTAAGAGATAAAATCGATTAGCTTTAAAGTTAGAAACCAAATGATACTGAAAAATCAGATTTAATTTAATAAGTTAAGAAACTAAAAGATGAAATCAATAGAAAAGATTAAGCAATCAAGCATTTTAGATAGAAGTTTGAAGAGAAGTCAAATGAATTTGAAATTTATAAGAATGACTATGCCTCTAAATATGCATAAACTGTATCAGAGTTAGGTTAAATATATTTTTAATATTTTTAGAAAAGGAAATGAGGAAAAATGAATAAGGGAAAATTGGAAGCAAGAAGTTTGAAAATTAAGTCAATATGCTGATTTTCTTATTAAAACGTATATACAGAGAGAATTATATGGAATTAAATAAGGGTAACCAAGCCAAGGTTGGGATTAAGGGCGAAAATAAACCTAAAAATATTGCTAAATTTTCAGAGTCAATGAACATTCTAAATTTGGGTCCTGAAGATCTTGAAGAGTTTTTAGAGCCAAACATATCTGTAACCACAATTAAAAAAACAAATAATAAAGATTTGGATAGATTCGAGACTCTATTTATGAATCCTGATCAATTAGATGTAAACCAAATTTTTAATATGATAAACAATATTATTACTGAAAGAGTAAACTGCGGGTGAATAGTATGAATTACTTAAAAATTAGTTTTATTATAATAATTTATATATTTTTGTTTCGTTTTAGCTTAATTGTTATGTATTGAATATTTTTATTGTACATTGGCTCCTACAATTTATATTAAAAGCCTAATATCATCAATTATTTTTGAATTGAATAGCGAGCTTATCGGATTTAATACTACTTTCACTTTTACGACTTTATCAGTGGTGTAGAATATGAATTTAAGAGTAGTCTTTAATCAATGTGATGGTTAAATTTTTAGTTTGATTTTTGTTATATTACTCAATGAAGAATTTTGGAGACGGAAACTAAATTGAATAGAAAGTTAACTTTAAAAGACTCAGTACTTTTTTTCAATTTTTATATATTTTTTATGTTATATAATATTTTTCAATTCTTGTTTTGGTATAAGCCTGAAAGAAATCATTCTTTTGGAAGAGGTTTTGTAATTTTCATATGAATGTGATTTCCACTCTCTGAGAATTAGTCATATATTTTTAGTTTGCTCTCTTTCTAAATTATATTTTATTTATAAAATGATAAAAACATTTAGTCTAACTTTCCATTCTCTGGAAATGGAAGATGCCTATAAAGAATGGTGTTTCAATAGGAATTAGAAAAGATATTAACTATTACTCTGCTTTATTATTGTATACCTAGCAGTCATGATTTCCAAGTTTAACAGCACAAGAACTTTATTACCTCTGATAATTTCGTGTATTATACTAAGTTTAGAAATTACACTTTTATTCTTCCTAAGGAAATACCATGAAAGAGTGGAAATTATTATTACTTTCAACTAAATATTTATGTGCTTAATTTGTGAATTCTATAGATTATTTGGGGGAGAAGCGAATCAATGGTACATCGGCTATAGTTTGGCATGTATAAAATTAAGTAAATTTAAATTTTAAATTAGTAATTTATGTTAGAGGTAATAAATTTATAATGTAAACTGGTCTTTAGATCCTTTGTTAAAGTTGTTCATTTATATTAATGAATAATGTGCAAATTTATGAAATGATCACACATAATTTGATAACTGTGCTTATGATTGCCTTAAGATATTCAATTGAATCTGGAAGCAGGTAATATTTCGTAGCTTATCAATCATAAATTTAGTATGAAAATATTATTTAAGATTTACTTCCCTCCTGGGTTGTCATAGTTAAATTTGATAAAAACTAAGGATAGTTAAGTTTAGATAAAATAAATAGCAATATGAAAGCTAAGCTCGACATTCAAGATGACAAATGTTTTCGAGATTTTTTAAGAAAAATGAAAGCAATTCCCTATGAATCAGAAAGACAAAGTTTTCAATCCATAAAGTTGGAGCACACACTAATCAGATTATTACAATAGTAAAAGGATGAGCATGCAGTCGAGAGATACTATGCTGAGATAGATAAGAATGAAAGCAAAACTAAATAATTAAAATTCAAGATAACTCAAGTTTATTTTAAAACTTTCGACCCTTCTGTAATTTTGCTATTTGAAGAATTAAAAGAAGATAAATATGAATCCTTAATCTAATAGATAGAGCAAAGAGACTATTCTTAGTCAACCTATGCCAGAATCTCACTCTAGGTCTTAACTCAGCAAATTTAGTTGTTAAAGTTTATCAAAATGTATTTTTCGAAAGGAAAATCACTTTAATGTCCTACTCATCTTCTGAACTGTATCAATAACTAGATCCAAAAGGGATATAACATATTCAATCTGAACTTTGATATATTGAATCAATTTAAAATTTCCCATAGGTAAATTAAATTCGAAGCAATTGAAATTTAGCCATTATTGCTTATTGAATAGTTGTGTGAAGACTTGCTGTTGACTTAAGCATAAAGTAATCCTAAGAGGAGATAAATAGCAATTTCTGATGTAATTAAAACTGACAGAGCAAAGCTAATTTCTATAATCATTAACTTGGTTGAGTATATAAAAATATTAATGTCAATAATCTATGGGGATGAGAAAATCCTAAGTTAAAGTGCTCCATTCGGATTTTAGATTTTAATATCTTTAAAATATTCGAAGGCTCATCCAAAATGCTTGAAATTTGGATTGTTTCATCCTAAGTTGTACCTCCCAGCCTCTATTAAGGAGCTATTTTATAATATAGAAACAGCAATTCATCATAAAAAAAGAAATTGGAATTCGAAAAACTATTATAGCATGATAAATCAATTGACTCATGCATACTCATAAATGTTTGAAGGTTATAAGAAAGATAACTATAAGTCTACTAGTTTAATGGATGAGGATTTATTTCCCCATATTTAAAAACAAAGCATGTGTTAAAGTTAAGAATCACGATTACCCACAGTGTAAAATCATATACCATAATAATTTTAATTTAATATTTTAGGGTATCCCATGGCTTAGTACTTGATAAGTTAATTGGGCCCATGTAATAAATTACAATTTAAGAATAGATTTATAAATTACTCCGGAGGGACTAATTTGTACATGAATTCTTAATAAACTAAACTATCTTTTCTTATTTATCAAAATTTAGATGAATTTATATAAGAATTAAACTAATAGGAGAAGCCCATTTTCGAATACTTTCAAAAAAAAAAGATGTTTAATCATGATATTACTTAGAAATAATATCCTTGTTCTCAATTTGGATCCAATTAGGGAAGATTTTGAGTATTTTTAATTCTTTTTAAAACTCTTGATTTATTTAAAATAATATTGTATGAAAATGAAATATATTTATTTTTAGTATGTTGATTTTATTTGCTATTTTGAACTAGGGTTAAAAATATATCAAACAAGTATAGTATTGTTAAAAAGAGGAAATGAAAAAATTATGTTATTATTTTTATTATTAAATTTGATTTAATATGTAAGATTCAGAAAAACAGGGAATTGATGATGCTTTATTGATGGGCACCTAAAAGAGAGGTATTGATTATTACTTAGAACAACTAAAATTAACTACCTTTTAAGTTCTTTTTGTTATTCGTAATAGTGAAGATGAAGAAGAGGGAATGTTTGGATTCTATTTTTTCAATGCTCTTGATTATTTTCAGATGCATCAATTTCCATTTTATGTTACAATCTATTACCTTTGGAAGTAAGACACTTTTATGGAATTTATCACTCAAGTCTAAAACTTATTTCAAATAAGCAATTACATTCCAAGTTTAACTTATGAATCTCTTTTAATGACTGTCTACATATTGCTATTTTTTATTTTGTTGATCATTCTAGACATTATTTATGTTTCCTACTCATTTTCTCGTAATCGATTTTATTGGCTCTGGCCACTGTTGTTATTAAAGAAGATTACTTCCTTTGTGGTAACTGTAGGATTTCTACCTATCACAGAGACCTTGACATCTATTTTGTAATGCTACGTAGATCCAGACACAGGAAAATACATCATATATGGTTACAATAACATTTTTGTTGAATGTTGGCAAGACTGGCACACATTTCATGCTGTTTTAGATCTTACATTCATCATATTTTTTTCAATTATTTGCAGTATTGTTGCATATGCCTTTTTTGAACCAGCTATGAATACAAATGATAGATCTGCAAGACAGGATTCAAATGGAGAAGTGGCATTTATTACAAATAAAATTACTTGTTAATTGATGTTTAGTTTACTTAGACCGAACTATCCTGAACAAGCATGGATTATGGTTATCACTTCCTTTATTTTATCACTTTGGCTATTTAAATAATACAATTTTAACGATCCTTACTACGATTTTTAAGTTGGATTATTTTATTGCATATGTAGCACACTTTATTTATGGGCTTGTTTCATGTTATTAGTTTGTAAAATATTGGAATCTACTGATTTTACTGGAGGATTTATTGCCTGGTTGATAGGTGTTCCATTTATAATTAGTATAATGCTGCTGACGAAGAAATCTAAAATTGAGACACTCGTTAAATCTTAAACGAAATTCAGAAGTGGAGAGTAAATTTGGAGTCACATCAGATATGTGTTGCAACTAATACAAAATTAAGATAAGGATAGAAACTCTTATATGTTACTTGTTGGTTATATAGAAAAACACAAAGAGACTTGCAATTATGATGATTGTCCCTTAAAAACAAAGTTAAAACAAAGGAAGAAGGGAGGTTAGAATGACATTGATGAAATTATAAGAGGATTGATCTAAGAATTAGATAGGATGTTCGTTTAAGGTTTGAAGAAGTTTCCAAATTCAACATATTTGAGAATCTTTTATGCTTTATTTTTGATAGAGAGAAGAAACAATAAATCTAAGGCTTTAGAATAATTTGAACTTGCTCAATATACTAAGCCAGCTCTTTATTAGGAGTTTATCATATATCGATATAAAAAAGACATCAGGAGTAAGGGGATGAATTCTTAATAAGGAGAAGACGATGATATTGTAAATGCAATTGCATTTAAAAACTACTTATCTTTATGTGAAGAGAAAATGAAGTTCTCTGCTAATTTACATAAGGAATTTTGGATTGAATTAAAGGAGGATCAACCTGATTTAGGAAGGTTAATGAATATTGGTGCTAGAATTAGTAGAGTTACTAATGAAGCTAGGGAGAATTATGAGAACATGCAAAAAATCAATTCAAATATGCCATAAACCATGTAAGTATTTGGTAATTTCATGATTCATGTTATGAATGACTCTAAGGGAGGGGTTAATCTATTGAATAAAGCAAGATAATTGAAGGAACATCTAAGAAAAAACTAATAGGTGCATAAAGATATGATCAACTTCGAAACCGATTAAATCCCATTTATATATGTTAGTGCTAAGAAGTCAGACACAGGTAATATATTATAAATGAATTCATTATTTACTGCTTATTTTGGATATACAAAAGAAGAAATAGTAGGAAAGAAGATAAATGTTCTAATGCCCTAAAAATATGCAGAGAATCATGATAAATATATGAGTAACTTTTTTGATAATTTTGTACTTAATTTAAGATAGGAGGTAGGAATAGAAAGTGAATATCTGGATGTTGATTAAAATAGGTTATTTAAACATAAAAATGGATATCTATTTCCATTAACATATTAAGTGACATTGCATTTAGACTCCCTTGTATACATTGCCACTTTCAAATCGGAAGCTACTCTAAGAACTTAAATCTATTTTGTTGTTGACAAATCCTCTTAGATTCTAGAAATGTCTTCTAGTGCCATAACCTTCTTTGAATTAGAAATAAAAAACTTAGGAGACAAAATTAAATTGAATGATTACATAGCCGATGTATTGACTAAGAATGCCAAAGATGTCTTCTCTAAAATCCCAAAGAAAGATGGATTCTATTATTTCAATTGCCAAGTGAAAGAAATAGTCTTGCCACTCCACAATCCAAATGACAGTGATGAGGAATAGAAGAAAAGTGAACGCACTGGATACTATGTAATTCGTCTCGATAAGATTGAAAAAAATGAAGCAAATCTTAAATATATGATAAAGAAGGGAGCATAAAATACTGGCAGTGTTAGCAATCCAGATTCAGAATTGATATAAAAAGCCACCTCTTAATAAAAAATCACAAATTTGGCGAATGTTAGTTAAGATAGTCAAGTACCTTTAAGAAATTAAGATTGTTAAGATGTCGATCTCAATTTATTTAGTTATATGCAAGAATTATATGAAAATCCACAGGTTGATGAAATTAGAGATCTATTTAAATAATGCAATGCAGAAACTGAGAGTGTTCCTTCAATTGATTTAGCAGGAAGCATCATCACCAAGAGATACATTAATGGATAAATAGTTAGTATTAATGAAGAGTAGGAATAATTGTTTTTATAAATTTTAGAAGATGAGGAAGAGGAGAATTCGTTGTTCAGAAATTAAGGAAACAATTTTGAAGATGAGGATGACTACAAATTATTTACTTATAATAATTCAGCTAATTTGATTCAAATTGCCCTGAAGACTCACCACAGACACCCAGAAATAACAACTTTTAAGATTTATTCATCTTTATGGATTGTATTCATATTGGCTATGACAAGTTTGTAACAATACTTTTGTTCTGAACAATTCACCAATTATAGAATAGACGTCGATGTCTTATAATTAATAAATAATTAATTGGTTGAAATCAATAGATTGACTTCTAGAGTCTTAGATTTGGCTGTCTATTCAGCCAATCTCTATACATACAATACTACTGAAATAGCAAATGATATATCAATTTCAGCTGCCTCTGTTATTGATTTCAATTCTGCTATGAATTCAATAGATTATTTAAATTTCTAATCACAATTTTAAGATGAATTGTCATTTAGATTTTACAAGGATAATGGCTATTACGATGACACTTTAAGACTTGAAACTGCCTTAGTGGTGTTTTGTTCATTAGCTTTAAATTCTTCAGTTACCAGCTATCAATACACATGCAGCTTTCGATAATATTTACTATTAAGGAGTGATCCATAATTACTTTGATGTGCTTTACCAGCAAATATGTGATATTTCAAGCTCTACCTATGATAATATCAAAGATATCATGGATAATCCATAAGTGAATCTCTTGATCTTATTGTCTGCATCAATATTTGTATCAGTAATGGCTATGGTCAAATTTATATTTCTTATGTTTGAAATCAAAACCTAAAGAGAAAATATTCTATTTCTATTTCTGGATATTCCAACCTATCATTTAGATGTTCTTTATAAGAAATGTGACAGATTTTTGAAAAGTTATGTAAGCATAGAGGATTTATAAAATAAATAAGAATAATAGGGGTTTGAAAGTTCAGAAGATGAAAAGGAGTTCCAAGAAGAAAAGATTGAAGTCTTAAAAGCACCTGATGAGGATGAATCTGATATTCTATTGAGGTAAACTTAAAACAGAAAAAAAATCATTAAGAAATATAGACAAAATAGGATTAAAGGCAATCAAGGCATCATTGTCCAGTATATTTATATATAATAATCTAGATTTTTTGTTATTTCAGTTTTCACTTTGGTTTTCACTGTCTATAATATCTTGGGAAGTCAATCTTAGTAATCATAGATAAACTTTCTTTTGCCTCAATATTATTAAAGTTTATACTCGATCAATAATTATGGTTATTACATTAATATCTAAAAGTTAATGATGCTTGATTACACAACCAAAATCAAAGGCATCCAAGTTTCTGAGTATGCAATCAATAATCTCACCATCTTTACAGGGAATGCTGAAAAGATGAGCTCGGTAAATATAATATTTTGAGTTCATTAGTTTAATTTTGATATTCTATCTTAACTGTAAGCATTCAGAGACAAATATATCAATATTTACTATGGCAATCTTTGTGAATAAATAATCAAAACAGCTGAAGTCGATTAATGTTAGCAAATTATCAATTCAAATTTATAATTAGTAATTATTTATTCATAATATCTTACTTTAGGGAATGTATAACACTGAATCTTACTTTTTGGAATATTTTAGAATCAATATTCAAAATTTTTATTAGAACATTACTCAAAAATCAATGTTATTAAATGCAACTCAATTTTTTGAAATCGATAGGGCTTTATACAATTATGTTTATGATGCAATCACTAATATAATTACATATGAAAGAGATCTCATTTCTAGTGGCATGGATAACATATAAAACATTCAATTAATCTTATTAATAATCTTTATAGTACTTTTAGTGTCCATTTTTTTATTTGTTTGGATTCCATTTTTGAATGGGTTGAATACCTAAATTAACCAAACAATCGAAATGCTCAACATGATTCCATTGGAAGTAGTTAAAGAAAATAAGAGTATACGTAGATTTGTAAAATCCTTAATAAAATCAATGAATAAATGATTTACTTAATTGAATATTGTTATATTAATTCATATTTATAAATCCTATCAATTATCTCGTATTTATTTAAGTATAAAAATATCCAAGTTCAATATTTCCTGAAAAATTATTATATTTATATTTATATATTTTATGAAAGAATATATTGAATACTTGTAAAACCTTCTGAAGTAGAATAAGATTGAATTCGAATAGGAAGAGGACTTTATTTAACATAAGGTGAGCCAAATTAATAATGAATTTGGATATGAACACATCAATAGATACAAAAGATAGATGATCTTATCTGAGATAGGTTTGACAGGCTAGAAATAGATTCATCTTGCAAAGGTATTGATAGTAGGAGCAGGAGGTATAGGAGCTCCTGCAATATATTATTTGGCTGGAGCTGGAGTTGGAACAATAGGATTAGTTGATGGTGATAGTGTAGATGTATCAAACTTACATCGTCAAATAATTCATAACAATTATAGATAAGGGATGAATAAGGTATTCATTATCAAATATCGTAGTGTGAATCAGCAAAATTATAAATTAATGAGTTTAATCCTTTAGTGAATGTTATTACCTATAAGCATCATTTATCATCTGCAAATGCAATAGAAATCTTTTAAAATTACGATGTCATATTGGATGCTACTGATAATCCTGCAACAAGATATTTAATTAATGATACAGCAATATATCTAAATAAACCTTTGGTTTCAGGTTCATCAGTTGGATGGGAGGGTTAGATAACAGTGTATGGAATGTAGGGACCTTGCTATCGATGTCTATTTCCACAATGTCCTAAGACTGTATAGAATTGCAATGAAGCAGGAGTATTTGGAGTTATGCCAGGGTTGATTGGACTCATAGAAGCATTGCAGGCTATTAAAATAATTATTGGACAGTAGACTTTATCATAAAAGATGATACTAATAGATGGATTAAGGGATGTCTATAAAGTTGTAAAGCTGAGAGGATAACAGAAGTATTTAATATTTATTAATACTCAGGGATTGTATAGCATGTTAAAAGTAAATAAAAATAAATGACTATGATTATGCATCCTTTGCATAGACTATTTGTAGCTCATCTATTCCTTATAGAGGAGGATATAAAGAGATTGAATGGAAAGATTTCCTATAGATTTAAAGAAGTGAGAAAGTAGCTTTATTGGATGTCAGGCCAAGCTCGTAATATAACATTATCAAATTGGATGGATTCACAAATCTTCCATATTCATAAATTGATTAACTTTAAGTTGAAGAATATAAGGATAAAGAAATCTACATCATGTGCAGAAGAGGTAATAATTCAAGGTTGGCTTGTGAATATCTAAAGGATAAAACACCAAATATATATAATATTATCGGAGGAATAGATTTATATGCAAAGTTATATGATCCTAAAATGCCGTTGTTATGAATTGAATTTAAGTATATACATGTATCTGATGATTTAACTAATTTATATTCAATAAGGAGCACTAAATCCTGGAGGTGGTAATCCAGTGTTTGGATCTGTATTTTTTGGTCTTCTAAAGAGAAGAATGTGAGGTTCTGGTCTGTGAGTTTCATAGTGAGACCATCCTCTCGATTACTATACTCCCAAGGCTCTCCATTCCATTTCATTTAATAATTTCCCTAGCATTTTCAAATTCAAATTGTACCTTTTGTGATTTTTTTGAAAATATGTTTAGGTAGAATGACATGTCTGTATTCATAGTAGTCATCTAAGTACTTATCGGAATATTCGATTTCTTCAGGATAATGAGGCATTGATATAATTTAAAATTTAAAATTAAAATAGTTAACACATAAATTTTATATTCTCTCTTTTTTATGTCTTAATATATTACACAATTGTATTAATCATATACTTTTAATACTTTATTAGTTGTTGCAAAATGAATCAAATCCATCTATCAAATGTATTCCATTCTAATTGCAAAACTTCAAAAAGGATTTATATTGTAAATGAATGACATTCTAAAGAAGTAGGTTAAAATTTAATCAATATATTTTATTTAAACATAAAAATAATTGATTTTTGAGTATTTATGTGAATTAATAAATTTAAACCAAAAAAAGATATTTAAAATTTTGATTTAATTACTTGTCTCATTCCAAAAGGGAAAATTATTAAATAGATATTCATTTAACGCCAGGAGCCTTTTATTGCCCCTTATAGATAAGAATTTTAGATGTAATTTCAATCGTAATACACAAATTTAGAGTAAATAAATTGATTTAAAGGTTTCTTTTATGCACTTTTAACTAATTCATGGGGCATAAAAATCATAATTCGCTTAAAAAAGATCAGTAATAAGCCTAGGAATATTCAAGATTTTAATGATATTTAGGTTTGTTGATTTTATTAATTTTCACAGATTGATAAAGAGAGATTATTAAGGTTGTGCAATTGCAAATGGGAGAACTAGAGTGGGTGTGAGGGTGGATGTTAAAAGGTTATGAAACTTCGTTCTTAATTTAGTTCTAAATATTAATATTTTAACGATATTGATTTATGTTGCAAAAGAAAAACTCAGATAAAGAGAATGCTTCATTAAATAATAAAGATACATCAAAGCCAAGGATCATAGGAGATTATTAATTAGGTTTGGAGTATTAATTATTAGAGTTAAAACTCTTGGAGTTGGCACATTTGGTTTAGTTAAATTGGGTTTGCATCAGATTACTGGAGAGAAGGTGGCCATTAAAATATTGGAAAAGGAACGAATAGTAGAAGTTGCAGATGTTGAGAGAGTTTCAAGAGAAATACATATTTTAAAATTGATTCGCCATCGCCATGTAATTTAATTATATGAGGTAATATCAATATTAAAACTAGATTATAGAAACAAAGAAGCACATCTTTTTGGTGATGGAATTTTGTGATAAAGGTGAACTCTTTGATTATATAGTAAAGAACGATAAGTAAATATTCCAAGATAATTTCTTAGATTGGATGAAATAGAATGCTTGTCGAATATAGTCTAAGAGTTGATTTCAGGCATAGAATACATTCACAAACTAAATATTGTTCATAGAGATTTGAAACCAGAAAATCTGTTATTGGATCATTAAAACCAAATAAAGATAGTGGATTTTGGACTATCCAACACGTATAAATAAGGAGAGTTGCTTAAAACAGCATGTGGTAGTCCTTGTTATGCTGCTCCAGAGATGATAGCAGGCCATAGATACCAAAGTATCTTGGTTGATATTTGGTCTTGTGGCGTCATCTTATTCGCTACTATCTGTGGTCAATTACCCTTTGAAGATAAAAACACCAGTGATTTATATAAGAAAATACTTGGAGGACAATATACAATACCTTCCCATGTCTCATAAGATGGGTAATCATTTCTAAAAGGACTTTTAAACACAGATCCTTCTAAACGATTTAATCTGGAGTAAATTAAATAACATCCCTGGTTTAAGTTGTATAAGAGAGTTCAATCCATTCCTCAAGGAATTATAATAGGCTACAGCAGAATTCCAATTGATGATGCAATAGTTGATTAGCTAGCAACCAAAGGCTTCAACTCAGATTACATAAAGAAATGTCTTGATGCAAACAAACACAACAATCTAACCACAGCTTATTTCCTTATCTTAAAGAAGCATCTCATTAATGGTGGAAAATCAGTTGCCGATATCAATTCAAGCAATTTCAATGAAAAACTATTAGAACCTGCAACTCGTCCATAGAAACGTAGACTTTTTTCATTTATTTTTAGCTCCAATCAGTAGTCTTTTGGACAGCCAAATGATGAAAACTCTTACTCATAATAGATCTGGTTCTTGTTAGACGAATAATAAATCCCATACTTAAACAAGAGGACTTTCTGTTCTTCCTTCAGATGATACAAGATCAACTAATAATGGATCTAAAAACTACTAAAATTCATCGTTATCAATTGAAGTAACTAATTAATATCATTTTTAGGATTAATCATTCTTCTTTGAAAGAAAAAAAGTCCTAATCCTTCCAATAGACTAACAATAAAAAGATGACCACTGACATTTAAATCAATGATAGTTTAAATAAAACAACTTTTTTGGGCACTTGTAAAAGATCATCAAATGTATGCACAGCTTCTCCTGCTCATCAGAATAAATTATTGAATTATCTAAGTATAATGAAAAATAATATTAGAATCATCTACAAAGACAGGCACTCCAACAGCTCCTAGAGGTAATTCGTAACCGAAAATACCCTAAAATAGTAAGACTACAAAAAATCAAAAGGGTTCAATTTTAAATTTCGATTCTACCTATGATAAAAAAAAAGAAAATAAACCAATCAATTTAGTAGATACCACTAATATTGATAGTAAAAAAAGATCATTGCACATTGACGGAGTAAATATTTTATTTTAGACTTTTAGGATCTGTCTATGCCAGCCAGCACAAAACCATAATCAATGCCATTTTAACTCTGGCTAAAATTAAATAGTAGAAAAGGATCAAGAGATCATAGTGCAGGAGGTTAAAAGACTAAGAAAGCAAACAGTAGTACTACAAAGGCTAATATAAATTAAAGCTTCAATTTTGACAAACGAGTTTGATTTTTTATAAGAATAATTAATTCTATTAATCCATACTCACAATACAAAATTGATTTCAAGTCATTATAATTAAATTATAAACTCATGTAATCTTAATCAAAATCTGCTGGTAATGAAGGTAGAATCCAGTTTACCAGAATTATAATTATTAATCTTGAAAGGACTGCTTTATCTTCCCCTATAGACTTAGTGTTCTCCAGAAGGTTTGCCCTCAAAATACTCTCCAATCTCTCGGTTTCCATCAGCGTAAACAAATATTCCTTTGCCATCTCTTTTATCATTTTTGTACTCTCCTTCATAGATATTTCCATTCGCAAATTTATAAACTCCATGTCCTTCTCTTTTATTATTCACAAAAGTTCCAATATATGTGTTTCCATTAGCAAACTTATATTAGCCTTTACCATTGAAAAGTTGATTGCTCCATTCTCCTTCATAAACATCGCCATTAACAAATTTCTTTTTTCCCTTACCTTCAATTTTGTCATTAACAAAATCTCCAATATAACTAAAATTTAATAAGAATAATACACATTTCCATTAGCAAACTTATATCTTCCTTATCCTTCCCTTTTATCATTTCTGAATTACCCCTCATAGATGTCTCCATTAGAATATTTTTAAACTCCAAATCCTTCTCTTTTATCATTAACAAACGAGCCTTCATAAAATTCTCCAGTCACTTATTCATATTTTCCCTTTCCGTCTCTTTACCCATTTTTGAATTCTCCATTATATCTTGAATTAAAGATTCATATACTTGTCTCCATTAACAAATTTAAACTCTCCCAATCCATGAATTATATTATTTTTGAATTCTCCTTAATATATGTTACCATTTTCATATCTTAAGACTCCTTTTCCTTCCTTGTCTCCATTTACAAAATCTCCTTCATAAAAATCCCCATTATTATATGTGTACTTGCCTTTACCATAAATGGAATGGTTTCTCCAATCCCCTTCGTATTAATCACCATTTGCAAACTTCATGGAACCTTATCCATCTATCGTATTATTTTTTAGATCTCCCTCATATCTAAATATATTAATTTCTATCTTACATATTTCCATAGCTAAATTTATAAGTACCTCTGCCTTATATTCTACTTCTTCTAAATTAGCCTTAGACTGTATCTCCATTAAACGCAATACATTTTCCTTCTCCTTCAAGCAGATCGTCCTTGAAACACCCTTACATTATTTTTTTCTATCCATTTTCTTCGAAAGTGTACTAACCCCAGATGATATGATTGTGTTTCCAATATCCTTACCAAATGGCTTAACCCCTAATGCAAACTCCAAATCCATGTTTCATTTATTGCAATACTTCCCCAAAGTAAATCCCATCAGATTCATTCAATTTATCAACTTCTTTACTCCTTAAGAATAGACACTCAACTGGGGGTTTGTGTATTTAATTTTGTAAAAAGAACTGTACCATAGTTTGATCTCTAACATGTTCTTCCAGCATGCATTTCAAACTAGATAATCCTAAGACCTTTTCAAATTACTTGCCGGCTTCCTTAATTTAGGGTAGATTCCATCTCTACTCCAGGAGATTAATTGTTTCATTTAGTTTTTACACCTTCTCGTAATCAAAGTAGGTAAGCAATTGCTCATTGATTATTTTGAATCCTCCATTGTATAAGGTATTGTATGATTATTCTAATTGCTCAACATATTCAAGTAAGGTTGTTATATCTTTAATGAAGTACTATTCTAATTTCTCTATCAAGTAGAGACTATATAAGTTGGATCGATTACAGTTGTTGTTTTTCTTGTTGAAAATTAACAATCTTCTAAGCGATTTGATCTCTGGGATTGGTTTCGCTGAATAGTTTATAAGAGAATTGACATTTTTCAACTAAGTCATCTTTTTGATTCGAGAAGTACTCACTTGGAGATGAAAGGAATGACTGTTGAATGTCTTCACATTCTGTATTTAGTTTCACTATTGATTAATCCATTATATTATAAATAATCAAGATATTTTAAGGAAGGGGGTAAAGAATTGCCAAATATGGAAATTCAAATTAATTGTATTTATACTAAATTTATAGTGTATTTATTATAAATAAAATGACACAATAAAATACACATTATTTCAGTTTTACAGGTTCTCTCTCTCTGATAGTGTTACCCTTCTACATTTAACATAGCCGAGACTAGACAATCTATCTAGCCTCTTAAAATGTTTAAGTTTAGAGACTAGATCCTAGTCAAAAGAGAATTCAGAAATTGTAGAATAGAATTATAGAATAGACCAAATCTTTACATATTATGAATATGATTATGTGTAAAATATGAATATCTTCTCAATCTCAAGCCAACAATAAAAGGATGGCAAACACAATTTATAAAAGGACTCCATAGCAAGACTTGCATGATCCATCAGTTGTAGATGCTGATGACCAATGATAAGCACCTAAGGTATTGGTGAAGCATGTAGTTGATGTTAAATTTCCGGTTCCTGGGGCATTAATGCAAGCTGATCCTGTGGCATTCCAAGAGCATGGTTGAACTGATGTTCCTGACAAATAGACAAAGCTGCAGGACAATTCAGTTGTGTAACTTCCACATACTGCTTATTGGCAGGTTGTTCCGTTCATAGCACAATAAGGTGTAGTGCAGTTTGCAGCTGTTCCAGTTGAGCATGTTGGAGTATTGGAACATGTGGCTCCATTTAGGTAACATCCTCTTGCTGTTGGACAGGTAGTTCCTGAATATGATGAGCATTTGAAATCAACACAATTTGTTCCAGTGGTTGATGTTTATCCGCATAAAGCATTTTGAGCTTAGCAATCAGCATCAGTGGCTCCTTTTAGACTGCTGCATGATGAAAATGCGAGACAAGTATTGTTACCTGCAGTTGTATTTAAATAGCATGCAGTTGGGAAGGTCAAACAAGCGGCTCCTTATTAGGCTGTGCAATTAGCTTTTTGACAAGTAGATGTTGTTCCTGCATTCCATGAACATCCAAATAATGAAGAGCATTCTGTTGATAAATAGTAATCACTGCAAGAGCAATGATCTGATGGGCTAGCAGTCCATCCAAGAGCTAAAGCAATGATGCATGAAGCAATGATGAATTTATTCATAATTTATATTTTAAATAATGATATTTATTAGAAAATGATTTGCTTTTGAATCCAAATTAGCTAAATAAATCCATAATATGTATTGTTAATTAATACGCATTATTTTGATTTTTTAATGCTCGTACTCATCTCTATCACACTCCATCCTAATATACTTCACTATCCCATCTTATTTTTTGTCTTTACTCACTTCATCATCTTTATTTAAAAAAATATGGAATTATTTTTAAAGTACTACATATTTCCCACATATTTTGATCAAAAGCCTATATATGTATTGCTTACGACATTCATAGCCGCTTTTTATAATTTTTTTTTCTTTTTCATTTTCTAATACTAATTTACAAGAATATGAAAATTGGAGTTATGATTACTTCTTAAAATCAAAGCTGAACTTTTGCATTGATGAAGATCATTGTTTTTCAGCCACAACAAATATTCCAATCCAGATAAATTATAAGAAATGAAAAAAAATACACTTATTACGTCCAAAGAAAATTATTATCTAAATAATCACGATATTAATCATTTGATTACATATTTAATATTAAAGCAAAAATACTTGATACTATTGGATGCCCTAATTCTTATAGGAAGCTCAATAAATTTAACTTAACAATTGTTTTGAATGTAGAAAATTACTAATCTAATAATAATTATAATAATCTTAAATAGTTTTTGTAAACTTAAACTCACTCCAATTCAGAGAAATGAAGATTATACATTCATTGTAACACATATTTCTATTAATAATTAGTGATTATAAATTCAAATCATTAATATTATGAAACCAATAAAGTATTATTTATTAAATATTATTCTTAATATACTGACAAAAAGGGAATATAAGTTGTTCATTTTTCAACCTTTCCAAGCCATAAAGCCAAAAGTGACTTTCCTTTAACTGCAATAATCTTAAATCTGACCCCTGGAATATCACCGACTGCATGTCCCTTTCTTCCGAATCCAGCTACAGTGACTTCGTCATTTTCATTTAAAAAGTTTAAGCAACCATCCTTGGGAACGAAGGCTGATATTTTTTTACCATTCTTTTTCAATAAGACTCTAACACACTCTCTGACAGCAGAGTTTGGTTATTTGGATTCACTAGATACACATTAAAAAGTATATTTACACTCCGATCTTTTCGACAACCAAACCTTTAGCATGTGATGCACCCATGAATGGATTCTTATATCTTGACCCAATCATAGCCTTATTGTATTCCTTATCAGCCCATCTGTTAACTCTTCTGTGATCTTTGAGCTTTCTTCCGGCTCTCATACCTCTGGGTTTACCAACTCCCATGATTAAAAGATCTTAATTAAATCTTTTAAATTAATACAATCTTCATTTGATTTAATAATAAACACATTATATTCACCAATCATTCTTCTGTTTTGGATTTTTGGTTGTTATCAATATTGCTTTTGTGATTATGTCGGTTATGATTATATTCAGTGTTTTATTAAACAAGTGATATCACTAATTTCTACTATTAGTTTCCTTATACTTTTAACCATTAATAGTTGAACTTTTTCTTCACAATATCCTCACAAAGTAGTGGCTGAAGATTTAAAAGAAAAATTAACGTATGTAATATAAGCTTTTATTTTGTATAATCATTATCATGGTTTACTTTACAACAATATTTCAATCTAAGGTATTTCTATCTTGCTTGCGTTTGACTATTTTTTATAGACTTTGCTCTGCCCCATTATTTTAAGATGAAGTTTAAATTCTATTATTCAATAGTACTCTTATATACTTATCACGATCTAAATAAAACAACTATCCTTCTAAATTAGATTGTTTTAAGGTTAGTATCTTACATGATATGAATTTTTCATATAGATTTGTTCTTATGATATGTTTTAGACCAAGGTTATCTCCAGGCGATAATTAGATCTATTGTTTTTGATCTTCCTCCAATTCTATAATGGTCTTTCTTCTTTTCTAACTAACTTGTTTACCTTCATCTAGCTCTACTTCCTTTTGTTAAGAAATGATACAATTGCTATATATAAGTGGAATATCATAGTAATATTCTAATAACATCCTTCTTTCTTTAGTTATTGCATGTGGCAAAGAGATTACAAATATGATCATAGTTGTATTCATCAAAACTAATCCTCATTATAAGTAGAGGCTCAATTCCTTAATTCAATTTTTTTCTCTTGATTAGTATCCCTCTATTTCATTATCTAAGATATGTTTATTACGTAATCTTTCTTTCATCTTCCATGATCTTTTATCATTCTATTTAAGGTCCATAATCTTATCTCAATTAAACGGACATCATAATAATATGTGTTGGAGGCTATTCTACTCTAGGAGTAGCTCAAACTTTCCGAGGTTCAAATTCCAAGCTTGATGTTTTCCTTTGAATAAATTGCAGTCTCCTTCTTCTTCTTAATAAATGTAGATCTGAAATGATTTATCAAAGCCAATGGGTTTCAATGTTTTAAAAACTTGAATCCGAAGAATAAGGGTTACTTAAGCCAATTTCAAACTTCTAAGCAATCTTGGCATTAACTCCTATCATAATTTGGTTTGTTGTATAAGGAATGATTGTTTCAATAAATTCTATATATATTCAATTTTAATTATGTTTGTAAGAGCACCAGCCAAGATAATCATTTCTGGTGAGCATTCTGTTGTGTATGGACATAAAGCATTATGTGCAGCCATCAATAAATACACCAAAATTAAAATACACTCAAACAAAGCTAATTCAATAGAGATAAGATGGGGAAATGATTGGCATGAAGTCTTGAATCTAGATTCAAATAATACTAATTCTTAGTTAGCTTAAGTGGCACGCATCTTAAATATCAAACCCTCAATAATAGAAGTGGAATCTGAAGTACCCATTAGTTCTGGATTAGGATCCTCAGCCTCTTTCTGCTGTTGCATTATCCAAAGCTATGAATGGATCTATTGAATAAGCAATTGAAATTGAGAATATATTTCATGGTAAGAGGGGAAGCGGATTAGATGTGTAGGTCACTAATCATGGTGGCATATGTATATTTTAGATAGGAAAACCGATTTAGAAAGTTAATCTTCCTATTCAAAATATATTGCTAATTGATTCAGGCGATAGAAAATAAAAAGGAACTGAGGGATCAATTGCAAAAGTTAAAAATTGTGTTGAGTAAAAGGATGGAAGATAAATTTTGAATAGAATTTCAGAAGTAACTGAATAAATAATTAAAGAAGGACTTGTGAAAGAGTTGATATATGAAAATCATGATCTTTTGAATAGGTTAGGCATTTGCACTGATAGGATAAATGATATAATTGTAATCAATCTAATTAGATTTAGAGAATTTGCAAAAGAGAAGGTGTTCCTGCAAAAATGACTGGTGCTGGAGATGGAGGGTTTTGTATTGCGTTTCCAAAAGATGAATAAGAATCTGACTTTTTAGTATCAAAACTGCACAATTATAAAACCTTAAAATCAAATATCGATAAAGAAGGTTGTAAAATAATTTGAGTATTTAATACATTTGTTTTAATATTGACTCATTTTTATTAGTCTTAATAATTTTATCCCTCCAAAACTAAGTATCGTTACTTAATATTTTTATTTAACTTCTTCTATCGATTTGTTTCAATTTGTAGATTTGATTCAGATTAAAATACAACTTGATTAGAATGGGTTAATATGATGTAATGTAATGTAATGAATGATACAAAATATTTAAAATTATATGTGTTTGTATTACATGTCTTCATTTATTAATTTAATTAATAAAATAAAATGCAGATTAGTATTAAAAGCAATGTTCTGCAGCCTATACCTATAAAGAGAAAGATAATAGGGTTGCCAGAAAAAAATACAGAATTCAATGATCTTCTTAATTTAATCTGGAAAGCTGCATCTGCTCCAGCAACACTAGAGTAGATTGAAACAATTAATAAAGTAAGTAAGGGGCGGTAGTTTTGCAAAAACCCTTTCATGTTAATTGACTAGCCAATTTCTGAAAACTCTAAATCTATTCAGGAATTACTAGATGAAATTGAATGATACCCATTTATATATATATATATTGTCACACAACATTTTGAAGTTCATCTATTTATCATTGAAATTATAAGTCCTACTTAAGAATGTCGTTAATATTAAATTAAAAGTCTCTTAAAAACGGGTGTTACAAACATTGGCTAGCGGTGATTCGTTATGTTGGATCAAATTCTAGTAACTTCTTTAGTAAATCTACGAAGTCTTCCATAGTGGCCATCTCTAATTATAAGTTTCTTACCAATTTGAACCTTGGATTGTTCTTAAACTTGATTTATTGAATTCCAAATACAACTCCTATATATCAGTTATATTTTATATTCCAGGATCAGGTAGATTGATATTAAATTCATTCTCATACATTTTCATAGGTTTAAGTTCAAAATTTTAGTCCTACCTAATAAAATAATTCTCACATTTTGGACTATTGGAGATCAACCCAAAGTTGGTACTAATATTAGTGATAAATTATAGATTACATAGAAATTAATCCTAGAATTTTTGAGAGTTGATCAAACGATGATGTCCCTTAGAATAATGGATATCCTAGATATAACTAAGCAGCCACACATCCTAATGACCACATATCAATAGCGCAAGTCTTTTTGTAGCCTAGAATAATCTAGATATACATAATATATTAGACATACCTCAGGTGCTCTATAATACAAACTTTAGATATAATAATATAAATGGATGTTTACTTCAGATGCAGATCCGAAATCAATTATCTGAATTTATTTGGCTGTGTTGCTATAATAATCCTAAAAAGTTACTCAGTAAATAACAGGTTTTCTGGTTTGATATCACAATGTACCCAATTTAAAGAGTGCAAGAATTCTAATCCTGATATGACTTATTTTAAAATATTCTTTATCATGCACAATGAAAGACCCTAATATTTTGTTTCTTGTAGTAATTCTTCCAAATTAAATCCCAATAATGGAAAGACTATGCAAACATGATTTTTAAAAAGGAAATAATCAATCAACTTAATTATGCTTTCATGCTCCTATTTTTTATTCAGCAGTCTAATCAATTTAATTTCTTTCATGGCTTGTAAATTATATGCATTAATATTTTTTATTATTTTGATTGCAAAATTAGAATTATTCTTCTAACATCTATAAACACTACCAAAAGTACCAACACCTAGCCATTCTTTAGCAATATATTAATTGTTTGTCTTTTGATTTACTATAACATCATCCAGTCTTACAATTAGATCATAATTTTCATTATCCAATCCATCATTGTAGACAGCTAAGTTTATCGCATTTAGATACCTGCATTTGGATGAGTAAGAGTTCTAGGAGTCACAGAAATTGTTTCAGCGTACTATAACAATTCTCTGATTTTTGTTGTGACAAGATGAATTGGTTATTTATCCCTTTACAATTGTTTATTATTAAGACTCTCTATTTAACAATCATATAATTAAAAGTGACTCTTTTAAATACCAAATTAAGAAAAGCTGAGTGTGAGGTTAAACATTAAAATCTTTATAATTTTAATAATTCAGAAAAATGCTGGAGAATATAAATGATTGATTCTTGTCTCTCTAATCCAATTCAAAGTTCTTGTATTTTAAAATACAAGGACAATTGGATTAAACTTCCAATTTCTAAAAATATGCTAAAGTTGATAAACTTTCATATTCATAATAAAATGGGTAATGAAATTACTCTTATTATCATTATCTCCATATTATAATATAGTTTTTATGTTCTTACAGATTGATTGATTCTAGTGAAACAATTAAGACTAAGAAATTAATTTATATTATAATATTCTCAAAATTTAGTAATATTATGTTTATAAAATAATTAATGTTAATACTTTTCTTAGTTTATGTTTAAGCGTAATTTACATCAAAATTGCACTTCCATTACCCAAATGCTGATGAATCAATTGCACAATTCACAATCACTAATAAGCATTAAATTGATTTCACTTAAATCTCATAACCATTTTACTTATTTCCTAGATCATATTTGGAAAATTTGCATGTAGATGGCAAAGTCAGAGAATTATATATCAGCTCCACACAAGGTATGATGCCTGAACTTAATGCCCCCTAACATGGTGTGCTTATTATAACGAACGAAGATGCTGATTAATTAATTGCTATTAATCAAGTATCTGAAATTTTTAGAATTGCAAAATACAATATGATCTATGATCAGGCTTATTATTATAAATTCAATGGAGATTAGTCACAACTCTCCTTTATGGGATTTGATGATGACACAATCTAAGTAGGCAAAGTACTTTTGGCACATGATCCCACTGATAACATTTGCATTGATGGAATAGAATTTATTCTACAATATTTTGGATGTAATGGTAAGAAAGGAATAGCTTAGATTATTGATCCTAATACAATATTTAGATCAACCTATTTATCTCTCTAAGCCAAATTTGAATATGATATATCCACCAAAACAGCTACTTAAAAAATTGTACTCCTCATCAAGTACGATACTTAATCCTTGTCTAAGATTTTTAATCTAGATCCCAATCTGACTTATCATTCCTGTCCTGAATTTGATTCTGAAATAATTTAACATTCTACAAGAGCGATAACATATAACTTAAAATCAGCCAAACAATTCAGATTGGGACAGTTAAGCAAAATATAAGATGATACTAATATGATTAAATACTAACCTAAGAGTATCACTTATTATAATAAATTTAGTAACTACTAGAAAGTTCTGTGCTGGACCTTGGTTTGCCTTTGATTCCTATATCCATCAATAAGTGACTGCCTATGAGGATGGGGTTGCTACCATTTTGCTTTATTTTCCACATGAATTTACTCCAATTTATCATACCTTAGAAACAAGTAAAGTAAGTTAAAACTAATTTTTTTGGGAAGGTGAGACAAAAAAAATTATTATTACCGCAAATTTGAATTAAAATGAGACCTTTTTAGTTAAAATTAAGTTTAGCAAAAAATTGAAAAGCTTTGAAGAATACCCTCATGATCCTGAAAGAGGATAGGACATTGTAAGATTATACCCTAATTACAATAGATTACCTCTCCAGTAATTTTCAATGGGGAATTATACTTGACTTCGCATTAGGTTACAAGATAGCCGTATCCAGACTTTTCTATGCCTTTCAACATTCTAACATTTTCATCACTTGCTATGGGATACTTTTTCTTGTAGATTTTAGGTATGGCAGTCGATAAATTCATTCTTAATAAGCCAGAAAAGGGATCGTTGGCTTAGAGATTGTTAAGAAAAATCTTTTCATTAGTATCATTTTGAGTGTAAAATTTATATTGAGAATAATAAAAATATTTTTTATAGATATGATTCGTATTTATTAATCAAGTGTGTTTAGATTTTTAATATTGATATTTTGCGAACATTTAAAAATAAAAATTAGTAAAAGTGAAAGGATATTATTAAAATGAAATAAATATGATGTTGTAAAGTGTTTGCATAAACTAAAATACTGTTAAAGATTCACAAATCATCATGATACATAGAACTTATGGATTGCTATTATTATTCTTATTCTAATTTTTATTATTCTCTTTTGGTTGAATACTCCTTGAACTCAATGATTTTATCTAAATAACATATGATCATTGTAATATACCTCCATTGGAATCATAATCTAGAAAGAATTAAGCAACAAAATCAGCCGTGTTATATGGGTTCTATGTAGGAAATTGAGCTCTCAATTCATCATATTTCAGCACCTTATCCCCATCCGAATCAAACATCAAGAAATCAGCTTCATATGGTTGTAATCCAAGCACTATTCCTAATAGTAATAACACAATCACACGTCTCACCATTTAATTTAATTATTAATAGTATTCGTTATTCCAAGAATTGAGTTCTTTTCAAACGTATTTTTTAAAATATATGAATAAATGAATATCATTTGTACAATATCTATCATTCTTTTTAGAAATAAATAATAACTCAATAAATAACTGTGCTAGGATCCCAGCAAGTGTGATAATTTTCATTTAGTTAATCAATAACCTTAATATCCTCCTCCGAAATTTGAAAATCGAAGATCTCAAAATTCTCTTTTATATACTTAGGAGTCTTTGATTTTGGCAACACAATAAATCCCTTCTGAACAGCCCATCTTAAACTAACTTAGGCAACAGTCTTATGATATTTCTTGGATAGCTCTATCATTTTCTAATTCTGGATCAGTTTTGGGTCATTTCTAGCAATAGGAGAATAGGCTTCAATTAAGATGCCTAATTATATATTACTTAAAATTACTTTGTTATCGACAATATTCAATTGTAGCTTGATCCCAGCATAAGGGATGTACTTCTATTTGGTTGATAACAGGTTTTATTTTACAGTTCAACAAAAGATGTTCAAGATGATGTTTTAAAAAATTGCTAACACCAATATTTTTAATTAATCCTTCCTAAAACAATTACTCTAAAGCTTTATAGGTTTAAAGTCTCACAGTAGCATTGTTAGGACTGTTGAGCTGATTACCTGCAACACCTGGCCAATGAATTAATAATAAATCAAGATATTTTGTATCCAAATCCTGGAGGATTTTTTTGCACGATTTTAAAGTGTTCTCATATCCTTGTTCAGATGAGGCAATCTTAGAAGTTATGAAAAAGTCTTCTCTTTTAGGAACTCTAATATCTTTGCCATTTTGATAGTAAGATGCTGAATCTATATGAGTATACCCACTAAAATAATGTTAATTATAAATCTCATTACACTTGCAAAGCATATTTGATTCCATCCACCAGTTCCTTTCCACTACACTAGTAAGTACCATAACCTATCTATGGGATTTTATTGCCATTATTCATAGTCAAAAGAGGAGCAATTAATTTTTACATTTTATTATATTAATTCACATTCGAACACCATCAAAAAAAGAATGTGCCATAGCCTCTTCTGCTGTAAGTCTTAATTTATGATCATAAATCAACAATTTGCTTATCAGATCCAAGCCTTCCTTTGTAACTAAATGCGCATTCTCAGGATCTATATAAATAGTAAAAGGCTGTTAAGTGTGACTGATAGATATATATATATAATCTTTACATGGGTGGATCAGGGTAGACAAGATCATACTTTTCCAAATATTTAAGGAGATCCTCAGTTCCCAAAACTGCAACAATCTTATCTAGTTATTCATAGACATCTTTGCCTTTGAATAAAGGTTACTTTTGAAATATCATGCTTGCTAATGTACAACCAAAGGCCCACATATCAACACTGTAATCGTATTGTTTATTATTGACTAACAATTCTGGAGCTTTGTAATAGCGAGTTCCTACTCTAGTGTTATATCTCTTTTTTGGATGGTAGAACTCTCCCAAGCCCCAATCAATTAAGTAGAGTGTATCATCTTCTTTAATAATGATATTCGCCATTTTGACATCTCTATGCATTACTCCCTTACTATGTACTTAATTTAGAGCCTTTTAAGTGTTGTAAATACTTTTAGCAATTAGTACATGTATAATTATATCTTTGGTAATTCTAGTTTTCCAAATAGGTGAAGTAAATTCACACTACTTAAATATTAATAAATAAAAGTAGCATTCTGTTTCTTATTTTGATTTCTAATAGCATCTATCAACTACAATGTATTTGTTGTCCCCTTTATAGCTTTCAACACTTGAATTTCTCTATTGATTGCCTGCCATTTCATTGGTTTTAGTTCTTTCATTACCACTGCCTCCCCATCATCTCGAAGTCCTATGAAAACTTAAGAAAATGCTCCTCTTCCTATTTTATCATATTTTGTATATCTTTTGATGTCTCCATCCTTGTAATATAAATATCTGGGGTCCACATCTTTTAGACGCTTATTGAAATTGGCATTCCAATAAACTTTGGATACACGCAGATGATTCTAATCTTTTATTGTGCATTACTTTGTAATAATCATCTTCATAATAGAATATATTCTCGAAATGATTCTAGTGAGGTTTTGTGTTTAATTTACACTATCCTAGAACGGCTAAGACCATCAATATTAGATGCATCATATAAAGATAATTAATATTATAAAATTTCATGTTAAATTGATGAGAGGAAAGTAAATTGTTATAATAAAAATTGCTTAATTCAAAGTATAAACTATGCTATGTTGAAATTAGTAAGAAAAACTACTATGAATTTAAGTTCCCAAATAATTTAGTTTTAATATAAAATACCAAAATGGTTATTGAATTCAAGAATAGAGATAAATAAATGGTATTTAATAAAATTTGAGCATTTTCAAACTTTTTACCTCCTTCTGCTTTTTTCATATGGCCCTTGGTTTTAAAAACCAATGAATAAACCTCAAATCACCTCAAATTTTCAATATTTCCCTATGATTTGAGGTATAAAATAAAATTCAAGAAATATATAAATTAAAATTTGCTTTTAGAATAGAAAATATTATGTAATATTATGGTTATTGCTGAGTGTAGAGCAGTATTATTTATGCTCCTGAACGTACCAGAGGAGGAAATACTTGAATAAAAACCCTCAAATCTATAGCAAATTGAATTAAATAATGAAAAATATTTATCATCATATATAAACTATGATTTTATTTCAATGAATATGTCTCTAAAAGGATTATTCTTTTGTATTTTAACAAATTTATTTACGATAATACGATCAGGATTATAATCCTTGATTATAACAATGTATGATGAAATCTTTTTAATCTGTAAGATCGCATAATTATTTTTGTTTGACCTCTTATCTGACATCTACATCTAAGGAAATTTAGTGATAGTTGATTGGAATTAGGAATCAAATTAATTATATGCAATTTACTATGAAAAAGTAGTAGGAGGATAAATTTGAGATTTCTGTTTAGATTTCTAAAAGCAGAGTCGATAGAATAGGTAATTCAATGAAGTAATGAGATTGAGTGATTTGTTAGCAAGAGTATTCAATTTTGAATTTTAATATTAAAAATGTCAATTTTGAGTGAACATACGATATCAATAAAAAGTGAAACCATAACAATGATGTCGGTTTCACATAGTGCTATAAGTCCATCTATAGCGATCTGTACAATATCTAGAGTGATGCTGTATAATGATTAAGGAGAGAAATTTGATTATGAATTGGCTCGTAATTAGAAACCGACTGCAATAGCATGGCATCCTATTCAGCCACAATTGTCTATAGGGTGGTAGAATGGTAGATTTTAAGATGTATAATTTAGGCACAATAACAATATGGTAAGAGGATACACGTACTGCCAAGGAGGAATCAGCTGTGCATAAAGAAGAAATTAATTTAATACAATATAACACCAATGGATCTAGAATGGTCAGTGCAGATATATCGGGTCTGGTAGTCGTATGGAGAGGAATAACGCCAATGAGTACATACCAAAAAGAAGGTATAATGACAATTTGCATATTTGCTGATTTAAATAATATCATCAAGGCTTAAAATTTATTCTTTTTTGGTGGGAAGTCAGGATTGGTATGTTTGGCTGATGATAGTAAACATTGTTCAGAAGTCTGTAAAGTCGTGGGTAGTATTAAATGCTTGATGATATACGAGAAATATAATTCAGTTATCATTATCACAAGTGGTTTGCTTTTAGTTTAATTTAAAATCAGTACAAGTGAGAAGACATAGCCAGACAAAAAGGTTAAATTATCAATAGCAGGAGAGCCAGAATCATTGTAATCTGTTTGGATTGGATAATGTTTAATAGCAATTTCATCAAATGAAAATATGATTAGAATGTTTTAGTTGGAAGCAGATGAAAATTATGTTATCACTCTGCATGAGTTTTAAGAATAATATCCTAATGAAAAGATATTAAATGATAAGATTACCTGTGTTCAATACAGCAAGAAATCAAAGAATTTAGTAGCTGGAACTAAAGATGGCAGGTTGGTATTTTGGAAAAACTATGCATTGACAGATGAATCTCCAGTTGAAAGTGAGTAGTGGAAGGCATTAAAAATAATTACCCTTAATAAAACAGTCAATGAAATTGCTATTGGTAAGAACAGTGGAGTTATTGCTGCAAGATCAGCAGATTCCGTTAGAATAGTTCAAGAATCTTTGGTTCATGGCAAAATATACGAGAATGTTAGAGTATTGTAAGTAGAACATAATAAAATCTTAATCTATTTTAAAAATGACTCTTAAAATCAGGACAAAGAGAAAGGACCTTGGTCAATGTTTTTATGGGATAGCAAATTTCCTATTAAGTCAATTGATTGTTCTCAGTAACATCTTTTGGTTTAGAGTGCAAATAAGATTGAGATAAGTGAATTTACAAGTAATAAACAAATAAATCTATTTAGATAATTCTTAAATTCTAGCTAAATCGTCATTTGATAGGAAATGTGTGAAGGCTGCTCTATTTTAAGAAGATCTTATATTATTTTATGAATACAAATTTGAAGTAACAAACTTTAAAGGAGTTTAAAAATACTTTGTTGATTTCTCAGAGAGTGATGGAATCATAGCTAATTATGAATTCAACAATAAAACAATGGTCATTTGGACACATAACAATTATTTTAGATTATATGATTTTAGTAGAAGAGAAGCTCAACTTTCAGGATTTAATTGCAAGTTTGAAAATGACAAGGGTCCTTTAGGTACAATTAAATAATGTGCTGTCAATTGTGATGGATCCAATGTGGCTATAATAGCAGATAATCATGGAAATCAAAATGACTTATTTTTTGTTTATAATCCAGAGAACAACAACTTTTAATCATTTGAATTACCATAATACAGAAAAGCTACTTAAATAATGTGGGACTATTCAGATCCAAGGTTCTTTGGAGTTACTACTATCTGCACTAAAATTAAAACAAATAGTGAAAACGATGTTGAAGAGGAATAGGCTGATTTCAGAGCTAAGAAGTTTTTCACTTTCTTTTTCAATCCATAGACAGGAATCAAAGAATAAGATTGTTATGTACTTGATGAAAAACAAGAAGGAGTACTGTCTATTCGTATTCCACATATTAATGTAATTCAGAAAAAAGAACAATCATATAGAATTTAAGATATCCTCATGAATGATTTCACTGGCTTAGAAAGAGCGGATGAACCAACCAAAAGAGCTGTCATTAATTTCTCCTATCATTTATCTTGTGGTAATTTGGATGAGGCCTATAAATCTGTAAAGGCTATTCAAAATCCAACAGTCTGGGAAAAAATGGCTTAGATGAGTGTCAAAACCAGAAGATTGGATGTCGCTGAAATTTGTATAGGAAACATGAGATTCGCTAGAGGTGCTAAGGCAATTAGAGAAACAAAGAAGGAACCTGAATTTGAAGCTTAATTAGCTATGGTTGCTATTCAATTAAATATGATCTCTGAAGCTGAAAAACTATATTATTAATGCAAGAGATATGATTTACTCAATAAATTGTATTAGGCATAAGGATAATGGGAAAAGGCATTGGAAATCGCAGGAAGAAACACGGACAGAATCAATCTCCTTATCAACGTATTACAAATTGGCTAAACAATATGAAATTTCCAAGGAGTGGGATAAGGCAATCCAATATTATGAAAAGTCAGGTAATGCACAAAAAGAAATACCTAGAATGTTTTATGAGGCTGATGAATTATAATATTTGGAAGGCTACGTCCTATAAAAGAAAGACCCAGTGCTTTATAAATGGTGGGGTAATCATCTAGAGTCATAGGAACAATACGAAGAAGCAATGAAGTTCTATAGAGATTCAAATGATGCCTTGGGTATTGTCAGAGTGTTATTACACCAAGATAATGTGAGACATGCCAAAGAGACTTGTAATGATAAGAATGATCCAGCAGCACCATTACTTCTTAGCCAAATATCTAGAAGCCCAAGAACATTATCCCTGAGGCCATTTAATATTATACAAAGGCTTAATACTATAGTGAAGCCATTAGATTGGCAAAGGAGGCCAATTTTAATTTCGGATGTTACTGCTATTTCATTGTAAGCACCAAAGTTGATTATGATTCAATCAGCTATATATTTCGAATAAAAGAAAATTATTGATAAAGCAGTTTTACTTTACATGAGAGGAGGACAATTACAAAAAGCGTTGTAGTTGGCTCAAAAAGAAAAATTGACAGATTATGTGAAGAAGATCAATTAAGAAATTGCACTTTAAAAATAGGAAACGGTAGACCTAACCTTTACTAATACTGGTTCATTGAAGGAAGCTCCATCACAATAAAAATTAGGTAATCAATAATAGCCATAATAATAATCTACTTAATCAAGGGATAAGGCACCACCTCCAGGATCATTACAAGATTTAATCAATAAAAAATAGTTTGAAAAAGTCTTAGAAATGTGTGATAGTTAAGGTTTATAGATAACTGATGATTTGGTTAAACAAATGTTAGATGGTCTAGATGACAAAAGAAAGAAGGAAGTTTAATTGCTTATTGCTGAGAAATCAAAGAAAATGGGCAATTTCGAACAAGCCTCTAAAATGTATATACAGATGGGAGAAAGAGTTAAAGCCATGAAGGCTCTTTGCAAATTGGGTGATGTTGAAAAAATAATTGCCTTTGCTAATAATGCTAGAATGGCTGAAATCTATATTCTGGCTGGTAATTATCTTTAAACTGGTGACTGGCATAAAACACCTGAATTGATGAAACACATTATACAATTCTATAGTAAAGCCAAAGCATTTGATCATTTGGCTAATTTCTTTGAAGCATGCTCTTCAGTCGAAATCGATGAATATAGAGATTACGATAAGGCTTGTGCTGCTTTAAAAGAAGCCATCAAATATTCAGATAAATCAACAAACCAATAGAAAACATAATAATTGTAATAGAAATTAAAATTAATCAATGATTTTGTTCAAGCCAAATAGAAGTCTCCATAAGAAATGTTATAACTCTACTATAAGTTATTAAATGATGTATTTATTTATAGTATAAATTTAGAGTAACATCGAATATGCAGTGAGATAAGGAGATATCTTTGCTGAATTAATCGAATACTATTATGCTCAAGGGCAATATGAAAAGGCTTATGAGGAAATGCAGAAAATGCAGAAGAAATCCATTGTACTCAATCCTTATTTAGATTAAGAATTAGTATAAATTTTACTTAATTTTAGATACAAAAAGTTATGAATTATATGAAATAAAAAGTAGGTAGTCAATAATAACAATAATAATAATCATAGTAAAATAAAAAATAACCATTTGGAAGATAATAGGAGTAAAATGAAGATGATTTCCAAGAAGAGGAAGTTATTGATGATGGAATATGAATCATATCAATAAATTAATTATTTGTTATTCAAAATCTATTTTATAAGTCTATTTTTATTATAACATGAATAATAATGATTCACCTTCTATTATCATTGATAATGGATCAGCCTTTTGCAGAGTTGGCTTTTCATCAGATAGAATGCCAAGATGTTCTTTCCCCAGTCCTGTTCAAAGAATGAAATGTAAACTTGAAATTTACTAGATTCGAGAGATCAAATATAAGAGGATTACATAATTAAATATCCTATATTAAATAGCAAAATTGTAGATTTTGATACCATGGAGACTGTCTGGCACAAAGCATTTTTTGAATATTTAATGACTAATCCTGAAGATTCTTCAATTTTAATTACATCATAATTAAACACTTCAAAAAATGAAAAAGAAAAAACTACACAGATAATGTTTGAAACTTTCAATATATCGAAATTCATAATCTAAATATAATCAATTCTATCATTATTTTCCAGTGGAAAAACAACAGGATTTGTTGTTGACTCAGGTAATGATACTACTTATTTTGTACCTATTTATGAAGGATATAAATTAGATATTAAAGATAATTTCTGTAATATTGCCGGTAAATCCTGTTCAACTTACTTAAATCATTTAATTACACAGTCAAATTAGAAAAGAGTAGGAAATTTAGAAATTCTTGATTATATAAAAGAAAAGTATTGCTACATTACTTTAGATAAAGAATAAGAATTACAGAAACAGTAGTAGAATCTAATTCAGGCAATTAGTTATGATTTGCCCGATGGTTCTCATTTAAAATTAGATATTTAAATCTTCTTAGCACCTGAGATAATGTTCAATCCTAAATTGTATGACAATTCTAGTATTTTTGGATTTCATTAGTTAGCCTTGAATAGTATAGGGTAATGTGATTCAGATTTGAGAATATAATTGCTTAAACATACGATGATATCTGGAGGCAATTCTCTAATTCGTGGATTCTCAGAACGATTTCACTATGAATTTAGCAAAATTAATAATTACAGATATTCTTAACAACTGAATTTCATAAAAAGTGAAAAATTCTCTGTTTGGATTGGAGGATGTATTATGACTAATTTGGCTTAAATTTCAAGTGATTGGATATCTAGAAATGATTATGATGAATATGGGCCAAATATAGTATAAAGAAAGTGCTTTTGAAATTTTATATGATTATTAATTGGTATTATAGTATTTAATAAATAAATAAGTTCTACAAATGTTAGATCATTATTATTTTTTACAAGTCAAAAACATTTAATGTGAGCAATCTTAGGTCCGAATTCTTCATATTCATGTTTTGTTATCCAAAATGGTTTAAAACTCGTTAATGTAGATAAAATAGATCCTCCAATCCAAGTTGAATTTAATCTATTTGGAGGTACAATAACCCTTGTTTAAGTTGGTGACTGAACCAAATTTTCAATTTCCTTAAGTAATCGTTCTTAAAGTCCAGGGAAGAGAGTTGTTCCTCCAGTAATTACAATATTATTATAAAGCTATTGTTATATATCTCTGTCAGATGTAAAGATAGACTAATATGTTATTTCATGAATGCCTGGCAGTTCATATCCAGCCTTCGCAGGATTGAATAAAATTTCTGGACATTTGTATTTTTGTTCTTTAATTGAAATTTTATTTCCATCAGGTAAAATGTATGAACTATTATGGGATGTATTTCCTTAATATTTATTCTCCTCTGCAATTGGATCTAAAGCCACATAACATAAGGATTCTTTAATAGCTTTTGCTATTTAATTTCTTTAAAATGGAGTGTAAATTTTGAGAAATTCCTCCTTTAATGTTTGTGACATATAATTAGTGCAGTTGCTTCCAGCTATATCTAATTTCGAAAGTTATTGTCTCAATTGGAATCCTTCATAAATTGGTACACAATATGTTGCTCCTTCACCTGAATCTAAAATCACACCTGTAGTTTTGCCTAATGAATACAATGAGAGCACAGTCTAGTTTGAAATGTGAAGAAAAGGAACTTCAAAATTTTCAAACATTATCTATGTCATCTTTTCTTGATTGATTTTAGAATTACAAGGCGCTTCTGTCAATAATACAGGATGATTAGAAGGTGAAATTTTTAATTGGACTTCAAAAATATATCTCCAAATCTACTCTATAGATTCCCAATCCATTATTTACCCATTTTGAATTGGATAACAAGGTTAATTATTGTATTAGTTTTCTTCTATTTGATTGCCAATTAAAAATTTAATCGTTTAAGATTCTTGTACTTTGTCAACTCGAGTTGGAAAACAGCACCTCGGAGCCGCTTCTCCTACAATTCCAGCTCTTATGTTACATGAAGAATTTTCAATTACAACAGGAGGATGAGATTCTATCATAATTTTATTTGTAAAAATTTGATTAAACAATTTAAGTTAGATGGAGTTTAAAATTATAATAATATGTTTTATGGACCCAAAAATTCATACGCATTAAGTAATCAATTTCTGTTCATATATTAACTTAGAATAATCCTATTTTTTCTAAAATTGATTAGTATCAAAAATGTAATTTATGAATTAAATCAAACCATAATACTATTCAAATAGGATGTTATCAATTCTATTCTCTAAATAACAAATGGTTTAAATAAAATATTAAGATATAGATAACATTTTTTCGTAAAGGTGTATTACTTAATCGAGATTCTCAGCCTATTAATTTGAATTCATCATAATGTACTTAATTTGTTATCTCTTTAAAGAATAAATTATGATGTCGAATTGACCGGCAATCTTAATTTGGTATTTTACTCAATTTACAATGTAATAATTATGTAAAGTAATTATTAAGATAAATAGATCTAACTTTATCATCTAAAAGTTATAAGCAAGACTAATTAAATTCCATATTAACTATTAATATAGGAAAATGATTAAAGGAAACTGAGCAAGATTTATTTTTATTCTATTCTAAACCTGGAATTTTTGGATTGAAGAGTAGATGATCCTAATTTTTAACCAAGATACGCCTTGAAAAAGATATTGATGTTATACTAAATAAAAAAGTCGAAAAGATTTTAATAAGAAAGATAATTGAAAATTCTGTTTTAATAATCCAAACAAGAAAATTGATAATACTATAGACACATTATAATCAATAAAAAATCACTTTTTATCAATAATAAAGAGACATATATCAGTGATTTATTTAAGGTTTCTTTAATTCCTTTTGGAAAATCTGATACTTTTGAAATAACTATTAGATATATGTTGTTATTTATAAACTAACATCTTTAATACTATTATAAATAGATATATTTAAGCAAAGATAATTATTGATTTAATCTTTTAGAAAATAGAAAAATTAAGTTGCAATAATAGAAAAGGAGATGATAAAGAGTAAATCTATTTTCATAAGTTTATTAAAATTATTTACACTTTTTTTGTAAAACTTTAAATTGAAATGATAATTGAATTACTATAATTAAGTAAAAACTACAAAATGTATAATTTCCCAATTTATACACATTCAAATAATATTACTCATAAATCGTCTGATCGTTTTTTATATTAATATTTCCTTTTGAGATCGTTTTCCCATTTTTGAAATACTAAACTTTATTGCTCTACTTTTTTCCTCTCTTCCTTGCTCATTTTCATATATTTAGATTTTTGGAATTCTAACTGCTGTTTTCTTATTTTATATAATTATATGTCATCCTCTTATGTAATATCTAAATTTATTATGTTCAAGTACAATTTGGTACACGAATTAAGCTGAGATCAATTTCTTCTGCTGCAATGCTCTTTAATGAGATTAGCAAGACGAAAATAATCAATAGAGTCTTCGACATATAATATAAATAAATAATGAAATTTAATACTATTGTTTAATTCTAGAATTTTGATTTATTATTTTAGGATTCTATTATCAACTTAATGAACTAATTTTAACTTACCAAGACTGTCCATGGTGATATTCTTTTCATTATATGATATTATTAGGGTCGAAATTATCATTATATAATTAATGAGATCAACTATAAAATTAATGGAAAATATTTGTTTTGAGTTGACTTTTAGTTCTTAAAGGTAATTGAATTGGAATTACTTTTTAATTTTATTTTATTATACTGCAATTATAATGGCTATTATTAAAATTAAATATAATAATAACCATCAGTTGATAAAATAATAAAAGCAATAAGATTAATTTTGTAATATTTGCATGAATGCGTCAAGCTAAATAATTTTATATTCAATTTATCATCCTAAAATCAAATGTAAGCTTAATATCCAGCAGTGGTAATAGATAATGGTTCTGGTTATTGTAAAATAGGTATAGCGGGAGATGATGCTCCAACAAGTTGTTTTCCAGCTATTGTTGGAAGATCAAAGTAAAACGATGGTATTTTTTCAACATTTAATAAAGAGTATTATGTGGGAGAAGAAGCATAAGCAAAAAGAGGAGTTTTAGCAATAAAAGAACCAATTCAAAATGGAATAATAAATAGTTGGGATGATATAGAAATAATTTGGCATCATGCCTTTTACAATGAATTATGCATGTCTCCTGAGGATTAACCTGTTTTTATGACTGATGCTCCGATGAATTCTAAATTTAATAGAGAAAGAATGACTTAGATAATGTTTGAAACTTTTAATACGCCATGCTTATATATTTCCAATGAAGCTGTTTTATCCCTTTATACATCTGGCAAAACTATTGGTTTGGTAGTTGATTCAGGAGAAGGAGTAACTCATTGCGTACCTGTTTTTGAAGGTCATTAAATACCTCAAGCTATTACTAAAATAAATTTGGCAGGAAGATTATGCACTGATTATTTAACGCAAATACTCTAGGAATTGGGATATTCATTAACAGAACCACATCAAAGGATTATAGTTAAAAATATTAAGGAGAGGCTTTGTTACACAGCATTAGATCCACAAGATGAGAAGAGAATTTATAAAGAAAGTAATTCTCAAGATAGTCCTTATAAATTACCTGATGGGAATATTTTAACAATTAAAAGCCAGAAATTTAGATGTTCCGAAATTTTATTTTAGCCTAAATTGATAGGATTGGAAGTAGCAGGAATTCATCACTTAGCATATTCTTCTATTAAGAAGTGTGATCTTGATCTTAGGTAAGAACTATGCAGAAATATTGTTTTATCTGGAGGAACCACTCTTTTTCCAGGAATCGCAAACAGATTAAGTAATGAATTGACTAACTTGGTACCATCTTAATTGAAGATTTAAGTTGCAGCTCCACCTGACAGGAGATTTTCAGCTTGGATTGGAGGGTCTATCTAATGTACACTATCTACATAGTAACCTTAATGGATTAAAAGATAAGAATATGATGAATAAGGTCCATCTATTGTTCACAGAAAATGTTTCTGAAAATTTATAAAAAATTGTTAAATTTTTAATAAATCTTCGATTTTTTACCTTTAAGGAAATATCATTAAATTATTCTATTAGAAGAGATTTCTCTGTTAACTCTGATCGAAACTTTCTATCATACTATTACAATTCATTAATTATTTATATTAAATACTGTTTTGGATTGTATATTATTAATTTGTAAATATCAATTATTTTAGATTCAAAAAGTATTTATGAACTTTCTTTAATAGAAATTTATCAGATGATTTATCCTTTACAATCAAAGAATTTATTATATATCTTTAGTTCTCTGTTCTCAAATTAAATTTATTTATCCAAAATCATTAGCTATAAATATCTAAATTTATTTATTTTAAGTGCAAACTACAATTTGATAAGCAGAAAATTTTGAACTTTTTATAAATATGGAGGATGATAATTAACAAGTAGTTGAAAACTTCAAAATGGGAACAAAATAATAACATAGCAAAACCAACCTAATTATTTTTATTATAAGGGTAGTTATTCATTTTCTCATTATCTGCAACCTAATTAATTGGATAACAATAAATTCAAAAGTATATTTTAAATGACCAGACAAATTTGGTTAACCTCAGAATTTTGAGTTTAGGGGATTATAAGGTTTATATTATAATTAGAAAATATTTGCAGTATATTTAAAATTGAATAGGAAAAAATCCTTTTAGAATTTGATACCCAATATTTAATTATGGTTTTGTGCTCCATTTGTGGAAGAAAAAAAGAGGAGAAATTATATACAATTTTATTGGATAGATATAGAAAAACTTACCTTGAATTGAAGAGAGTGGAAGAGAAAAGATAATTTCTAAAGAAAAATTATAAAGAGTATTGTCATTTAGGATGCATAGTGTTTTTTCTATAGAATGTTCAAATAATTTAGGAGAAATATTATCTAGCTAAAGATAAATGCGTTACAGACTATATATTTTTTGGATTGGATTCTATACACAAAAGCAAACAACTTATAGATTGTTCTATTTGCGATTAAGGTTTAAATAATGTGTAAGCTCCTCAAAAGAAGGCTTCCATTAATTGTTCGCATCATAAATGCAAAATGCTATATCACATCGATTGCATCATTTAAGTTAAAAAAAGAATAACCTGCACGAAAGCAAGGATCAATTTCTACTGTAATTAGCATTTTGATAAAAATGAACTATAAGCTGATTGGAACTAATGGGAATCTATAGCGTATAATTTAGTCCAAGAAAATATCCATATCAAATAAGAAGAGGCTTTTAGAGGGGAAATCAAATACTTAATTGTCTCAGTTGATGATCCATTTTAGACAATAGGAGAAAAACTAGATTAAAATTCCTTTAAAAGATTGGATGAAGATTTAACTAAAAAGTTGAAAGTTTAAAAAAAAGAAACAAAGGTTGAATAGGAAAAAAAGAGATAGAAATTTTGGGATATAAGCAAAGATTTTAAATCCTAGTATGAGTTTGGTCCAAGACCAATGTTTTAAATTGATTACCAAGCGAAAAAAAAGGAAGAGATGTTAGTTGCGGTAGATGAAGAGGAATAATAATAATAACCGATTAAAAAAGCGATTATGGAAGAAATCATCATAACAGATGATGGTATCGAAATTAATAAGATAGAAAAACCAAAAAAAAAGGCTAAGCCTGTTTAAAAAGTGTAAGAATCAAATGTGAAAGTTAATAACACTTATTCAAAAATCAAAACAGAATAAATAGAAATTGATAAGGAAGAACAAAAGACGTATTAATAAACTTAAGAAAATGGTGATGTTTCACTTGATTAGCTACTGAGTTTTGTTAGAGAAAAGAAAAGTAGTATCCCAACTATTCCAAATTATTTTGAGTAAAGAAACTAATATAGAGAGGTTGTAGAAAAGTAAAAAAACAATAAAGAATAACAAGAAAAAGATGAAATGAGAGAATTAAATGAAATGTAATAATTGCTTAAAAAAAAAATGGAACTATCTGATAAAAGAGCAGGAATATTAAATGAAAATAATTAACAAGTGTCATCTTTGAACTCTTAATTTAAAAATAATACTAATGAAATACATAACAATGGTAATAATCATAAAAGCGCTACTACTAATTTTAATAGTAATTCTACTAATTATAAATCTAATGATAATGGTGTTATTAATCAAAATAGTAATATTAATTGCTGTATTATTAGCAATAATAACAACCCTATTAATAATAATGATTAAGAAGGATAAAAAAAGGTTTTACTTTAAAAAGAGCCTTTGAAATAAAAACAAATACCTAATGCTGATATGATTGAAAATGATAAACAGAATTCTAAATTAACCAAAGTTGATGATTATTCAAGTATGTCTGCTTCAGAATTGTTAAATTTTTTATTAAAAAATTAATAATAACAAAATAGAACAAAAAATCGTAGAAAAAATGAAACAACAAGAGCCCTTTAAGCATAACATGAAATCATTTATTATCCATAATCTGACGAAGCATGGGAAGAAAATCTGGAAGGATGGTGGAATAAGGTTGAGGAAACATATTTTAATCCAAAATAGGATATCTACTCAACAATAGAAAAATTTAAGAAGACTAAAGATTCTGATAAACAATTTCAAGAAAATTTGAAAGTGCTTTTTGAGATTAGAAATGGAAACATTATGTACGCTGAATATAGCTTATAGGATGATGAATTATATGAGCCAAAACTACAAGAGGATTAAGAATACAATTTTAAATTCTAAATGTTTAAAATAAATTTTATACTTCGGAAGGAGATGAAGATATTTATGACAGGTAGGGATAAAAATTAGTACTAGAAAACTTAACAGTTATAGAACCATAGAGGTAATCAGAAAATTCTGTTTTCGATTAATTTTCAAACGACAAAGATAGTTAAGTATATGTGGATTATTATTTTGAAAAATATTACGAAAATGAACTCGAAAAATTGAAATTTCAAAATTAAATAGACATTAACTATTTGAATTAGTAATCTATTAAGGAGAAAGCAAAAATTTCTATTAGCAAGCAAGGACATGTTTAATTAGACAAGTTGCGATATTATTAATTATTGAAAAACACAAAGTTGGGGATGAAACAAATAACAGATGAAGAACATTAAATGAGTATAAAAAAAAAGATAGATCTTTTAAGTAGTTTAAGAACAGATAATTTTTTTGGTAAATGCAATCCTTCTTAATTAAAATAAGGCTAAAAGGATGAATTAGCAAGAGAGACATGTTGTAAAGTCTGTTTTAACTATCAATTAATTTAATTAGATAGTAATAATGATTTATCATACTGTGGTACTTGTTTAGCAACTTTTCATAAACATTGTTACAACACAACAGATTAGTTTGAAAATTGTGATCAGTGCAAATCATAAAACAATTCATAGGTCTGCTATATTTGCCAAAAATGCTATACAGGAATACCTCTGAGAGAGATTGAATAATATTGGGTTCATATCACTTGTGCATTACTATGTGGATTATTAGAATTTAATTAAACATAATTTAAACTGAAAAAAGGCATCATATAATAATCTTAAAGTCCATGTATGATTTGTGAAGAAAAAATTGGTGTTTAATTGTCATGTAAGGAATGCGATAAGTAAATGCATTTGTTTTGTGCCTTTTTATGGGGGTTTGAAATTACTATACAAACCGAACCAGATTGTCTTGATCCTTATATATCAACTTATTTCTTGTGCCCTAAACATTTTGAATATAGCGAAAAAGATATTCTAAAGCAAACATACTATAGATAGCATGGAATTAATTTTAATTAAGCAGGATGCTTTGAAACATTAGAAAATTTCATAAAATGTAAATTGATTGCACATTAGAAAGTAATAAATAGAATTCAGAATATGCTCTAAATATGAGGATTAAATATTTATTTTAAGTTTTATTATATTAATCAATAAGTTAGTTTACTTCTCAAACTTTTATTTCAACTCTTTCAATTTTAATTAATTTAATTTCTTGTTAAATTTAAAAATGTTGATTATCTTAGCTTACTTGAGAATTTAAATAAGAATAAAATATCTCCTATATTTTTATATATTTTGGCTGGCATATTTTTTGATTATCTTTAATATTTTTAATTCTGTTAAATTTCTTCATTTTAGGGTAAAATTCGTTTTTATGGTTCCTGAGAATTATATTCTTCTCATTTTTGATGATAGTTTATTTCTCTTAATTAAATTCTTATTCTTTATCGTGCTTATAAAATTTAGCTCTCCATTTCCTCCAATTTAACCTTAATTTTTGAATATTTATAATAAAATTCTCTAATATTTTTGAAATTCAATTTTTATGAGGGTTATATATTTTGGATTATTCATTTCAAACAGGTACCATCTGTGGTTTTTGTAGGATTTGAATATATTTTCTAATAAAAATTACATTCATTCTTAATTCTTAAAAAAGAGGCAGAAACTTATTATTTTTATTTAGTTATAATCATTTCATATTGTAATTAAAAAATTATAAATAATTTTATGCAATGATTCAGTTTATATTTGTAAATAAATATACACATTTAAATCAAAATATCTAGCAACATTTACAAATTAATGTTTTTTTTTTTTATTGCTTATTCTCTTGTAAATTAGTGGATGGTGTCTGATTAACTTATTTTATATCTATGATATGATCATTTTACTAAACTTATACTATATTTTAAACTTTCTAATCTTTATATTGTTATTTTTCGTTTTTACTTTCATCAGCTTAAGTTAGATTATAATCAGTTATTTAATCATTTCCTTAGCTTTAGTTTTTATATAATAAATCTGTTTTATCATCTTATAAATATTAGCTTTATTCAATCATATCTTGAGTTTAATTCTGGTCTTCAATTTCCTAGTATTTTTCAAATCTGTTGGTATTTTAACCTGATTTATAATCTAAATTATCATTTATTTACATTTCTTTAAATTTATTTTATTGGTTTTGATTTTTTTAATTAATATCTAAAGTTGGATGATTATTTTCATTTTATTGAGAATTTTTATTTTCAATAACAATATTATTTATGATCTAAGTATTACTTATGTTAGTTTGTTATTGGTTTTGTTATAGTGAATCCAATGATTTTGGATTTGTTTCGAACTAATTAATATTATTAGTATCTTTAGAACTAGAAGATGACTGAGATACATTTTGAACTATTAACCCAGCAAATATTGAATCATCATTATTGCTTATTTAATCTTAAGAGATTTATTCAGGTTATTATTAATTTGTTTAAATTTTATTTTATTAATCTACTACGGCTGGGTTTTATTTTTATTAATCATGTTACTATTAAGAATATAAGGCTTATGATTCTTGAAATGGTGTGTTTGTTTATGGTTAAGTTTAATCAACATTCTTTTA